CCACAGCAAGCCCTGCGGATAATTTTGGCACTTCATACCCCCAGTCTGGGGCTATTAGATCGCCACGCCATTGAAAAGCACAGACTTTGACCCCGGCATAGAAGCGTTGGAATATTCTTTCTGCTAAGATGAGCACGTACCAGCATCAGGGATATGTACACACTGAAAAGACCAACCAGCAGTGTGCTCTGTTTACCTGTGATTCTCTTTAAGACGTAGGTACGCCTTGAGAAACTCGTATCTCAATTACCCAAGCAGTGAATTGCGGCAGCCAATTAACTCAACAACAAATGGATGTTACACCTTGCGTATGATTGTGGACAATCCAACCAATCTCAGCTAGATATGCTCCTCACTGCATCCCGTACGGAGTGTGCATCACTGGGCTACTTATCCCTCATTGCTCTATAAAACGAGAAGCGGGATCATCATTATTGCGGAGTGCCAGGAACGAGTTCGCCGAGTGTACCGGCTGCTGATACACCTGCGACCGCCGTATCATGCCGTTCTCCATCGGGACAGGGAGCCTGGACTTAGATCCACTGGTTCATTGGGTGTGCCACAAACGAAGGCGGTTGACAAATAACCAATGTATACAAGGCCTACTACTGTTGGCAAGAATCGGCTACCAACCAATGTTGGATAATAGAACAAAGGATTCACTAGATGCGCTTGTGTGAGGTATGAGCGGCACAGGTAATAGACGCAGACTCCTGGATGTGCTTTGACAATTATTACTAAATACTGTACTACGCTTGCCTGTACCCCGGAACCCACTTTATCGCTCGGTTTGCCCGCAAAGTCCGCGACTTTGGCATGGGAGTCCCGGCTCCTAATTGCCTGAAAAAGCACCATCTCCGGATCAGCCATGCAACGCTAATTACCGGTACGCGAGAACCAGCCAGCTCGGCCGAGTCTTTGATCAACTTCGTCACAGCTAGCACACCCCTACCAAAGTGCCATACTCTCATTGCGCGCTTATACAGAAGTGCCGCTTCTCGCTTCTCGCATAGATTTTCATTCATATGGCGTGACGAAATCCTAGATCCTGCTTAATTTATCTCCAGGTGCTCTGGGCACGCAATGTCCGGTTGCCTCGCATTATGTTGAACGCTCACCGTCGGCCTGATCATGCTTTGGTTTTTTAGGATGTCTCGTTCAAGCGCTACCAAGAAAGTAGGCTCTACTAAGTACCTATTACTGTATGTATCCAGGGTCTAGGATCGATACGAATCTGGATAGCTTGGTTGACGTTAGGGCATGGCTAAGAAGGGTCCAGCCTGTGCTATGGATATGTACAAGTAGTAAGTCCGGCGAAACCCATGACGCTCAGATCTGACTGCCCTCGAGTAGTACATACTTACTGTATATACAAGGCCCCTCTCGTACCTTTTCTTGTACTGAAATTTAGTGTCGACAGGTCCAGATAAGCAAAGGATATTAATCCATTCTTGTTTAGTGCGTCTCACGGCGTACTTCGAACTATGAATATACGACTACTAGTGTGAGCACTATCACTGTTGCTAATGTTCCTATGTTGAATAGTAGGATCGTAAAAAAAAGATGGGTAACAAACGAGGAGAAACGAAGCGCAAAAAAAAAGGCCTTTTCCATTAAACATGGCATGCAAGATCATCCGTTTAGTATCCACCCCCACGGCGTATGGATCAGACCGCAAAATAGCAGCTTGCTCACCGCAGGTCTATGAGTGTAACGTGCCTTCGGTTGTATTATTTTTTTCTTTTTTTTTTTTTGCCGCTAATATCCCAGGGTAGGCGTCCTACAAGGCAGCACCCCTAAATAGCTTCATCCCAAACAGTACGTATTGGCTGGCGGCGGCTTTCGCTTGCGGCAAAAACTTCTTTGGGCGATCGAAAGGCTTATATCTCATGTCCGACAAACGAGCGAAGTTCCCTTTAATAAAAGCCTTGACGCTAAAGAAGAACTTATTCCTGGTGCGCTTTTCTGAGATGTTATTAAACATATACGCAGCGCGAGGTTGCTCTGTGTCAGCGCACATCATAGCAACTTCCTCAAAGTATGTAGTACTAATATTCATCTGCCGGCATCCCCATCTGCGCTCGGACTCCTAACATATATGCCGAGACAGTTAAAGTATGACACACAATTCATGATTGGCGAGTCGAATGATACGAAGACATCTACCGGCATAGCATTGAGTCATTGGCCACTTGGCTGTTACGTGTACTGAGGGACCGACTGGTCATGTTCAACCCACTGCCGGCATCTTCCCCAAAGCACTACCAGCAGAACATGGGGCGTCATCTATTTGACGGGTGTAGCGATCTGTCCTTGATCTGTTGGACGATATCTCTAAGAGTCTCTACAACTATTGGTATACTCGCGATTTTAGAATAACCTTCTACAGCCATTCTAACGGCACGACTGGTGCTAAACGTTGCAACCTTAATTCTCAGCCCAACTAATGCAATATTTCTTACATACCGCGGGCTTTACGCTGGTTATGTCTTTGTGCCCGCGGGATTCCGATGCCTGGGAGGATTACACCAAACGTATACAAGGTACCTCATACAAGCATCCTACGAAGGGCATACAACCCTATTGTTGTTTATACGGCACATCTCTGCCAGGCAGCATATCCCCGTACGAAGAATCCCCGCTCATTGGAAGGAATATAATAGTTTGTGGTCGTCAACTTGAATGCATGCCCATCCCCTGCCTTGCGCTCGGTAACAAGAGCCTGTCCGAGCCGTCTTTCGGAGGGTGGATTGTATGAGCCTAGTGGCAATGACCCAGGTACATCGTATTATATACGAGCAGCTCCTCAGCTCGGCAGGCTGCTTGTAACAGGGGAAACGTCACATTCTCATGCTCGATGTCGACGTCAACGCAATCTTACACGGCTCGGATGCCGGCTGTGGTAACCGCGCAGCTAAAAATCGGCCACCGCTGTGAGGATTGTTTCCACAATCTAAAAGCAAGAGCACTTTTGCTCCGCCAACTACCGAGAATCACAAGGGGTATTACAAGAGTTGAAAATTGAGCACAATGGTATCAAAGTTTTTGTTCGCCATCAATCCAACAGCAAACGAGCTCAAGAGGTTAAGTCCAACTAATGCACCCACAAAGTTCTGGCAGTCGGCAGTGCTGTCTCTTAGCTACCGAGGCAAATCCCAAACGGAATAGCTTACGGTGTTTGGGAGATTGCACATGCCCCAATCTCGGATCAGGATCAAATCACCCAAGGCAGTCTTTTACGGACAATTACTCGCCCTTCTTGCTATTTCAGCAATCCTTCTGAAGAATGGTAGCTTATTATGTACGAGCTACAGAGAGTTGCCTAAATGAGTAGTATTCACTTCCTCCGTGCAGAGTGCGGAGCAATACGGAAGCAGGCACTGAAGTAAGACATGTCCGGATGACACGCCGTGCCGGTAGTAGGCACCACTACATACTTGGGCGCACCTGAGACAACATAGACCCAGAGCCCATGCAGCTTCTTATACGATATGAAATGGGAATTAAGCTATCTCGTCCCGAACCCCTCTGAAAGCAAGGCGCCCAAACCGCCAAGTGCGCTAGCCTGCCCTTTAAAGATACCCTTTGTCTCAGAAAAACGATGTTTTTTGAAGCTACGGAGCTTGCTCTGTGCGTCGACGATCCCAGCTAAACATCGCGCCAGTAACACCCAAGATCCTGCCGAGTGGTAAGCATCATTAGCCTCCAGCTGTCGATCCAGCTCAGGCAGCTGAAATGCCTCCATTTACTTACCTGCACGTACCTACAGAGAACTGTGACCACGCTAGTGCGCACTTATAGCCGCGGAATTTCGTTTCCTAGACGGGTTTCCCCTTTGGTCAACTCTTGCATTGCTGCGCCCGAGTGTCCACCGTCAGAGACACTACTGCATCCATCGCGGGCAGCCATTACTTATATGTACCGAGCGAACCGCGTAGCTGGCGCCTTCATACTCCGGAATTCGGGGAAATCACAAGCTAATATGAGCGGACCTGGGTCATACATAATCGACTAGCTCCCTGAATCATGCGAGACTGTAGCGGAACATGCATCCGGCTCAGCTGCCAGCTGCCGCAAGGGGAGATTTGGAGAGATAAGAGACAAAAGGCATCCACATATTCATGAGCGGCAGAACGAGGCGTGACAAACAGTATGTAATGGGAATTACAAGCTGCGCTTGGCTTGGAACCATACCAAAAAAGCTGCTACCCCAGTCCGGAACAGGCGTTTCTTTCGGCACTTTCTAGTGCAAGTGCCGTTCTATTACAAGTATGGGATGGTGGGAGTTATGCCTGAGTTAGCCGACAGATGATGTGCCGCAATGCTTTCTACAAAAAGCAAAGCCTCTTAGCCAGAGGCGCTCTCTACTCCGTGTACAGGGGAAACTTTGCGTTGTTGGTCCTCCAAATTGCCAAGCCGAGATCATACGTTTTAGAGGTACAGAAGAAGCGCCTGGGCTGCTATCGCAAGGGGCAACAGCTACTAGGCTTGCGCCTCTTTTCTTGCCCCAAGTTCTAGAGCCAGCTTTGGAGTCAGCGCCCCCAAAGACCCCGACTCATAACAACGGCGTGGGCCCCCATTCAGTACGAGGACGGAATACAAACCGCACTTTCAAGCCTCTCCAAAGCGTGTACGTGCTTGAATTTGGCATGGCCTCTTACACCCCTAGCACGCGCCGTCTGACTAGCACAGCTTCTTTTTCTTCCTGGCCTTGTTCCCTCTCTCACCCCCACAGCTTGGCTGCCAGGGCCTTATCCGGAAAAAGCAAAATAATGCGCGCCCATGTTGCTCCCCCAAAGCTCTCTGTCTGATACCATGATCCCTGGAGTCCCACGTGCATGTCACTAGGTTCACGTAAACAGCCGGAATTTGGGATGATGGCGCCAGGAGAATCCCTCGTGGCATCCCGGCCACGCTGCAGAACGCGCCTGTTCGCGGGAAGAAGCCAGAGGCAGCTTCTAGCAGCGAAGCGGCGGCCCGCGGCACCCTTCAAGGACAGATAGGCGGCATCATTTAGCCTCCCTGGTTACACCGTCGCCGGCCCTATTCCCTATTCCTACGGAAGGGTTGCTCGTTGCTACTGCGACTCGCCCTCCATGGTTCGACGGTACGCAGTTCATCTGCCGAGCACCCTGCCGCAGCGGCAGATCTTGCGCAGGAGAGGCTTTCGGTTGTCAGGGCCAGGTTGCGACGGCGGGCTCTCCCCAATTCAACTAAAGCTTCAAAATACAGATGCCACATGCTATGTACAGTGCAAGCAGCATCTCCCTGCGATACGAGCAGTGTCGCGATGCCCAGGCCCAACTAGACTTACAGCTAACAAAAAAAAAAAAAAAAAAGAACAACAGAGCGAGGGGAAAATACCGCGTGTTCAAGCGCCGGCTTTCTCTCTAACAACAGTAGGCGTTCTGCTAGATGACACGAACAATTCAGCTGCCCGATCGAAGCCCACTTATCCGCCAACCATTGCTGCTCAGTGTCATGTCTCTTTCGGCGATGCTATCGTAAAAAAAAGTTGGAGTTCGGCGTCCTGGCGGCGCTTCTTCCCTGGGGCGTGGCGTTTTCCAGCTAGCGGGCGAAGGCTTTTCTTTCGGTGTCCAGATCGAAACAGGCTCTTTTTGGGGAGGGCCCACCTGAGAATGCCCCGGCAAAGGTCTTGGGGAAGGGGGGAATTCATGAAACTAAAACTAGGCTTAGAAGTGCCGCCGAGTCGTACAAGGACGTGGCGATAGGGATAACAGCCCCCCCTTCGAGCGAGATGAGCGAGATGAAGCAGACGCAGGGCCTCCCCCCTTTCCATACAAGTACTGTATGAGCCGGGCACAAGTATGTGATAGAATGCCTACATACGGAGTAACTTCAACCGCGGAGACGTGGAGATGGTGTCACACTTTCGCAGAATTGGGGAGTCGCCCCGAAAAGACTTTGCAATGACGGGCAGTGGTGTGGCCTGTGATCGTGGCCCACGGCCCGCCGCGGCTGAATGGGGGTGGTAACCAGATCCTGACAGGCTACCCCCGTAGCGCGCGTTTTGCTTCTGGGGAGGAGAGCCGGAGACAGAGAGGAAGCCGAGGCGTGGCGTCGCATTGGTTTGAAGAGAGGCGCCGATGCAACCTCATGACATGGCAGAGCAGGGATTGCTGGAAATGCCAATCTCATCTTTGATAACCCGTGTATCTGGGAGATGCTCATTCAGTTCCTCAGATACTGCTACTACTCGCACTACTAGCAGCACTAATGGTACTGCTAGCCGTAGTGGTATTATCAGTGGGATGTTATAGCTGCCTGTTGCACATTCTTGGCACGCGAGGTTTATATCGCGAACACGACTCGCTTGTTTGGTGTAATGAGATTAGGCACGGAGCTGTCCTCTCGTCCGTCCTTCTCTTCATTTCCTGTCTGAAATCTTTCCTCTCTGGCAGCTTAGCTTCATAACCCCCCCTATTTCCCCGTCATACTTGTACTAAATCTCTACATACCCACCCATTACGTCCCTTGAATGGGTTCCATTCGGCTCTCGGGCTTTTGGCTTTGCTCCGCCAGAAGGACAAATTTGGGGATGGCTGTGATATGACCGCCCAAAGCGGTTACAACTTACTCTCTCTCTCTTGCTCTTTTTTACGACGCCTAGCTACATAGTCCTTGTAGTCGTATAGCTTTACGTATTTAGTGTTTTTGGTAAATCGTTTTAGTACCGGCATGGTTTATGGGGAGGTGTGGCAGCATGGAGCTCTTATTTCGTATACCCTTGCTGCCGCTGATGTTACTCGTCACATCATATGCAGGCTTCACCAGCAGCGACGAATCGACGCCGGCCGAAATGCTCTAGGCATCTTCCCAAACACTACGGAGTAACAGGGAGAGCTCATACGGGCGCGTCTACTAGCAGCATGCATTTCCCTTTTTGTTTTCGCCTACATGGAGCTTAGGACCTGGAAATCATAGCTTCGTCGATGAGGGGTAGCAGCATAGCGACACCCATGCTTTTCCAGCCTGACCAAACATGCAAAGAAGCAGGAATGCGGCAGTGATCTCACTCAGACTCGGGTTCCATGACCGAATATCATTCTACGGGCTGTGGGGTTGACCGGTGCCATGTTACTGGATTCGGGAACTTACGCATACTCGTGCTGCTGTGTACATGTAGAAGGTGAGAAAATCCCCGGGGTATTGGCTTACTATACTCTTTTGTGACACTTTTGCTCCCCCCGTTCCCTTCTCCCGGTTTCCAAGGCTGCAGTCTTTTTCTTTCCCCCGCCCTTTGAGGCTGCCGGCTTGTCAAAGGCCGCGATGAAGTTCGCCGAAAATCCTGCGGCGTGATGTCAATTTGTAGTACGTGATTGGGTTTTCTGCTGATGAAGGCACTCATACTTGATTGTCACTCTTACTAATATGAAATGGCAAAATAGTCAGATGCTACCGGCCGAAAGAGGTGGGAAAGAGACAGAAGAGTAGTAAACAACAGAAGGATTGCTTTTGTCGGCTGATTCCTCCTTGCCGAGAGTCTGCCCGTGAGGAGGTATAATAATATAAGTTGTTCGAGAAAGATGCCGGAATAGTTCCCTTGGGCATTGTGCTGTTTCAGGTGACCTACCTGAACGCTGTAGTTTGGACTGTTGGTTTCGATGCCCTCTGCCTAGTTATGGTAATATTGATTCTTGCAGGGGTGAATACGGAAGCCCGTGGGAATGCCAGCACGAACAGCATATACCGTCATTGGGCAAGTTTGCCGCCGCAGTGTGCCCATGGTCATCTGCTTAGTGGTTCGACCTGTACCGCCACTGCAGAGGGCTTACCGCGAGTGTAAGTACGTTGTGTATGACTAGAATTTTTTTTTTATTTTTTATTTTTTTTTACCCTTGACTATGTGCCATTGGTGCCTGCACACATACAGGAATACGACCGACGGCTGATGGAATCTATTCCCTGCTAGGGGGCTGTTTTTTGCAATTCCCGAATTCGTCCAATCGTCGAGGAGTGACCATCAGCCGACGGTATGGAATTACACTACATGGGAATAGCGTCAGTTGCCCAAATCGGATGCTTGTCCGGTATGTGGAGGTGATGTTCTTTTGGCCCTTAGTTTGTCTCTTATTATGGGAGTTACCCTGAATTTTTTTTGTTTTTTGGCCACATTCTTTTGATGGGGCTGATTTATGCTTCAGCAATGCCTTTTCGGAGAAATAGGAGGTATTGAATGTACTTGACGGTATGACGACGGCACATCCAAATATGGATTATTGATTTCTGGTGAGATCAAAAGAGGCAAAGAGGCAACGATAGAATTGCTCAACCGGGCAGATGTTCACATGCTAAACAGGGGCCTTTGAAATAGCCAAGGCACTTATGTTATAATACTATCAAAAGGTCCCGTGTTGGAGCTATGGATATGTGTGACTTGTTTATTTTTTGGAGAAGGAAAATAAGCATTATTGATTGTGACCCTTGTATCTTGGCGTCTTCATGAGCTGTTCGGGTGAGTCACTTTTGCCATTTATTTGATGGTGTAGGTAACGAACTGCTATCGACGAATGCCCAAATGTTTGATCAGGTATTCTCTTCAAATATTAAATCTTGTATATTAATTTACGTAGATGTATAGCTCCCCCCCCCCTTAGAAACTTGTCTTCCGAAATGTCCATATCCAGCAATATATACAAGCATTCGCATAGCTCAGTTGATTTGAGGCTGCCGCATATATCCTACAAAGCCCGAATGTAATGTATCCTGTAGTGCCCAGGCGTAGAAGCACTGGTACCCCTACTTCTATGACTAATTGAAGGACGCTTGCGTGGTATATACCATTTTGGGAGAAGGATTCTCTGCGCAAATTGGGACTGTTGCACGTAGTCTGACGGAGAGTAAAGGAAGCGGAGGTGTGGCGATCCTGCGGTGGGAGATTCGCGTGTCTCTTTTACCTTGACTGAGCGGCCAAACTGGCAAACTGGATGGCAACATGCGAGATACGCCGAAACGGCGTCGAGAAGCTGTATTTGAATTCCGAAATGATAACTCGACGTGATATAATGACATGTCATGCCTTTTGTGTCTTGAGAGCCACATTGTACACGTAACCCTGCGGCCATTAGAAGCGATGTTTGTGATTTGTGAGACTGGAAATTATCTGATATGTTATCTTCACCTTTGTGAAGGAGTCTTTGTCCAAAAGTTTGACATTTGCCGTTCGAACTTTGACTGCATTTGACCACTCATTTTGCTGATGGTGTGCCTGTGCCAGCTTCTACCTTTCTATTAGAGCTATGATGGAGACTTGTTCACGACTTGTGTAGCAGAGTATAAAATTTTTGAGAAGGATGTTTAAACTTTTACTCTTTTTACGGTGGTGTGGCTGAGCTCGGCCAACATTTACACTCATATGGCGGAGAAGAAGGGGCAAAGTAAGGCGTGGATGGGAGTAGGGCTGCTGGTCGCTCTTGTATAAGGGAGTTGGAAGATTGTACTTGCAATATCAATTAAGGAATCACGGAATATACTGTTTCTGAGCTGCAATGCTAATAGACACACATCCCGCAAGACATCACCGCAGTTACGCAAGAGTGTTTGAAGAAACTAAAGGCCAATAAAGGGGCCAGGAACAGTGTCATATACGTGAAACAGGGGCACCCTATAATACTCAATCTTTGCTTTGCGATAACGCTTTTGTGTCTCTTGATTGTTGCTCTACAGATATCCAGCGCAGCTTGAAGAGCAGATACGACTTGATGCTCAACAGCGTCGATGGAAACGTCAAGTTTGGCATTGACTCGTGCGGCTGAAGGCGCAGGGGGCTAGCGCTGCCTGTTTCATCCGTTGGATGTGTTACACATGAAGCACAGCTTTGGCAATTCGTGTTTTCAGCTGGAGGCACTTGTCCTTCTACGACAATGCTCGGTTTCGACGATAGTACTTGGTTGCTAGGCGGCGAGAGCCTACCTACCTACTTAGGAGGCACATGTATAGTAGTAGTGACCGTAAACCATGTCACATATACTACCATACGGGCATACGGGCATACGACGTGTACAGCAACGTTCCATCAGGGCGTTTTTTATATGTGAAGCAGCACTCGTTGAAAGCTTCGGTGAGGTGCTGCCTCGGATCTTGGACGAAGCGTATGTTGTGGCTGAATTATACGCAAACAGATGATGGTTTGGGGTCGCGGAAAAAGACTGCCGTTGACCTGGAGAGACCAAGTTGCATGCTCGAATCGCGCCTTTTGGATAATCCATGGAGCAGTCAGTCTACTGTACTTTATTGCTCCGTATATACGAGCGCAGCTTATGCGACGGATGCGCTTCGGTGTAGCAGCGCTGGGTGGCTGGAGCCGTTGGCAGGCATGATTGCAGTACAGTACATTAAAAACTGGCAAATTAACGAACATTCACAAATATACAAGCAAACGAAATGAAAAGGAATGAAACCCAGAAAACGCCACAGAAAAGCGCGGAATGCTTGCCGCGCGTGCAATGTAACGTCATTAACGCAGCTGCGATTGTTCAGCTCCTCCTGTCCATTATCGTGAGCCACCCACAAAGCAAACAAGCAAACACACGCCCCCCCTCTTCGCTGCAAATGATAATAAAAATAAAATAAAAAAACGAGTGGCCTGGATCTTTTGTCGGGCTTGGGTCGTGCCTTGGTTGCATGCAAAATGATGTCGGCGCAATCCTTCAGGCTCTAATTGGCTGTTGTGGTGTGGCACGTTTTTGGCCCTCCTCTCAGTGGTAGTGCAAAATAGTACCTACAGCAGCAAGGAAAAAAAAAAAGAAAAAAAGGTGCGTTGGGGGGAGTGTGACGAGGCCCGAATTAGACACAACACGGAACGTACCAGCCGCCTCATGATCTTGCGATGGGGCCAGATTCGCAAGAGGGTGGCGATTCTGGAGCGTCGCATCCTTGTCTGGGCGTCTAAGCGGGTGGCGGAGCGGTGCTTCTGTCTCTTTTTTTGCTATTTTTTTTTTATGTACTATGTAGTATTGTGATTCTGTTGGTTCTCGTTGTTTGTTTCTATTATTACTTGCTACCGTCTCCCATGCACTTACTTGCTATGAATTAGGCTGCAGCACCGGCGTTGATGCATCACAGCAGGCTGGTTGCTGATCCGCCGCTCGGACGGGTCGCGTGATGCTGATGCTTCGCTAAAGATGCTCCAAGAAGCTTGTCCACAGCTCTCTTTAGTCTCCAATGAAAGCAGCACAGCTTAAAAATAACGGGCATTTTCTGGCTCAAAGGAGATGTCCAAGCCGGTACCAGCGCAGCTGATGGGGAGGGATGGGGCCGAAAAAGGAAGAGAAAAAAAATGGTGAGATTTCGTGCATCGAGCGAGTGCCGGCTCGTGATGGATGGACAGCACAGCAGCCGGCATAAGATGCTACTTATGCATCTCGATGGATCCCCCTCTGTCAGTACTGTATTTTTATTTTACCATTATTTATTTATTTTTGGGGGGGGGGGGGGGCGTATGTTCACAGCCAGTTATGCTTTGGGTGGCTAAAAATAATAGCAGCAAATACTATGTATATCCAAGGACGTGTCTTGTGACACTGGGCGATGAGTTGTTTGTTTTCACTTGTATGTGTACTCGGAGGGTCTGCATAGTTTTTGGGCCCCTCCTTTCTACGCCTCTATCAAGGTAAAGAGATTCGCCGACGACGGATCGTCATATGATGTGCCGGGCTTTATCTGGATCGCCGATCAAAGAGAAGAGTGTTAGGAGAAGGGCTTTTTTTTTTTTCTTTTTCTTTTTCTTTTTTTTCTCACGCGGATGCTGAGAATAACTCCACAAGATCAAATCGCTCCTTGAGATTCGACGACTTCAAGAAGGTTCGACAACTCTAAAAAGATCAAACGAGTTTACTAAAATGTATAATTTGGTGGATTGATTCAATCTTGTGGAAATGTGGAATCCCCTGAAGTTGTCTGCATATCCCAAATGTATCTTGACTTTCCAAAGCTGTCTGTTATCTGGACGGTCTTGACGTAGAGCGGGCATTGTAAAAGAATACAGACATCAGATTTGGGAAGAGGGAAAGCTTTGTCCAGTTGCTGATATTGGGCTGCTGGTATGTTCTTTGGACGACTCAATCTACCATGTAGCCTAATTACTTGGTTATGTAACGAGATTTTGATGCAGTGCCGAGAACCATCTAGAGATTATCTCAAGTGAGACATGCATGATGCGCGTTGTCCAACTTCCAACGCATGCTGACGGAGACCATGGCCACAGGATCATCGTCTATATTTACACCAGAGGAGATTGGAACATCCATCTGTTATCCAGAATCTCTACGAGTATAAGAGATTGCGACCATACCTCTGTTCATGACAATGCCTCCATGACGGATGCGACTATCCTTCTCCGTCGTATTATACTGGTGTTTGTAGCCTCATTTGCCTGCACACAGTAGTCTTGAGTTTATTGCTTCACCTCTAAACCGCCTATGAGCAGCACATTGTCTAACTGGAATATGGACAAGAGCGTTTTGGTGCTCTTGCTGTTGAGACACAATGTCTCGTGTGGCAGCTGAGATGAGACCGGAAGAGTCTCAGACAAGTTTCTTCTAGTTTGACTTGAGAATTTGAGTCATATCAGGACTCGAGATTCACCCGAGAGTTATCTTGATGGATTATTCAAACATCATCTTAGGATAGTGAGAATGCCGGTTCGTTGTCGTCGGATCTCTCGTGGTTTTTCATGCAATAACTATGGTTCGAGGTATCAATAGATGCTGAACCCTTCATCTGCGTAATAGAGAACTTATCTTGAAACCCATTTCCCAATTTTTATTGCCATTGTTCAACCATCTTTGGCTGCAAGTAGAGCAAAAGATGTACGCGGTGTCGGGCAATGGACCACTTGGTAGAAGATGGTACTCGTAGCTTTTTTTTTATGCTTCCTCTTAGTTGAAACCATGTACCGCTTTTATTCACCATGTATCGACTGCTACAGTCAAACATTTCAAAGAATATTGTGGCAAGGGCAGATTTACAGATATTATCTGCTCTGAAGCTCAAATTTGTGCTCGCACTGCCGTAATTTTCTTCTTCTTCTTTTGTTTTTGCCCCCCCCCCCTTTTTTGGCCTCTCGCGTACCTCCTTCAACACTTCCTGAATCCAATCAACGCATGGCTGAGCATCAACGACGCCTGCCAGCGCATCTTCGTCAGTGACTGACCTCAATCTGAATTTCCACGCAGCTGTCGATGGCCTCGAGGAAGTAGAGCTCGGCACCAATGCTCTCGGTACCACAAGCGGGGTGTCGACCCAAGTTATACCACCGAGGCTGCCTGTAGCGGAATTCGTATTGATAAAATGTTGGACGAAGAGCTATTGGAGCGCAAAGTGCGGCAATAGGCTTCTGCATACAAGAAGCGTTACGCCGACCTCTTGCAGTAAGATGTGGAGGAAGAGCTTGCCCTTCTCAAGGTATGCCGAGTGTCTCTCGCACCCTTCGTCGTCGATGCTGAAGCGTTGATGAGGGATGCGCAGGCGAAGCAGGTCAAGATGCTCGTTGAGGGAAGCCAAGCTTTGATGCTGGACATCGATTTTGGCAAATACCCTCATTTTGCCAGCTCTAGCATTGGCCTGGGTGGCATCGTCACAAGCCTTGCTCTTAGACAAAGGAACATCAAGGATGTCATTGGTATCGTCAACTCGTAAATTATCCGCCTATTATCTGATTCGCACGTGATGTATCTACGAGCAATCAAGGTAACTTAAAGCACATTCAGCTACACTACTAGAGCTGGCTCTGGATGCTTCCCTACTGAGAACACCGGCGAGGTTGGACCACAGCTGCAGGAAATCGGCGGTGAGATTGGCGTGTCTACTGGCCGCAGACGAAGAGCAAGTAGCGAACCACTGCGTATTCAATCCGAGGAAGAAGAAACTGGATGGGCTAACATTGTAAACGGTAGTGCGGGTGGTTGGACCTCGTTGTCCTGCGATATTCTTGCGCAATTAACGACTACGCTACGACTCCCTCTAGCTAAGCAAGGTTGTTGTTTTTGATAGATTTGAGACCATCTAGATTGCAATTTTATACAACAACTGGGAAGCCGGAGAGGAACTGCCTGCTTACCCCTCTCCCCTGGGGCGCGTGGACGTTGCGTATCACGAAATGCCAGAAACACACTGCGCATTTTTTTTTACGAGCAGCTGTGCTCTTTGTGATGTTCATTCATCTGTTCTTATTGGCGATGAATCATGGTTGGGATTTATATTATATAAAATCATGATAAAAGACAACTGAATTAGTCAAAGGTAGGAAAAGGGACAAAAGGGGAGGGAGGGAAGAAAGAGGCTACAGATGATCCAGAGTGCAGATACGGAAATGCAGTGGTGATTTGATGAAAGACAATGTTGCGGAACCAATTGGCAAACGCAACTGGAAAATGCAATTGCTGCGCTCTGCTCTGTGCTCTGCCCTGTGCCCTCCGCATTGTAAGACCGGAGAACTCCGTCTGATGCTATTCGTATAAGAATAGCCAGAAGCCCACCAGCTGAGGGTTGAAGATGTGGGGGGCCCGCGCCAAGGGCAAGGCTGGAAATGGGCCGCGCAAGGCTAGCGAATCAGGGCCTGCAGCCGCTAATGACTGCCGGTAGAGCGATACATGTGCCGCCCAGCTTGGCACAGCAGCGCCCAGGTACCGTCTTAACGTCGATCAGATGCGGTCTAATCTTGGCGCATCCCCTGCCCGCGTCTCCCCCGAATCCATCGCTGCCAGCAATTTTAAACATTGTCAGCCCGCTTTCGTCCTTTTTACCGCTTCTGCACTCATTACTCGGTCCTGCGGCTCTCTGTCTCTTTCTTTGCGCTTGGCCTGCGATCTTATTTGCTTCCATCTCTAATGACCGCTTCAACTGCCTATTCTATCCTTTTCTAAGAGTCCCGGAAGCACGGCTCGTCTCTTCTTATCGAGGCCAAAGACTGGTTCTTGCTTCTCATTTCTTGGATATCCAGCGACTCCGAATACAACATAATATAGCAGTATATACAAACCTCCTTAGGCCTTGCTCGCCTCGAAAATCCGAAATCCGCAACAATGGGCTGGCTTGCGACCTGCACGGGCTACCTGGCGCCAATGTTCATCATCCTCTCGCCCATCCTCTCCTATGGCGACCAGGCCGTCTCGATGCACCGCAAAAAGACCAGCGCGGGCTTCTCTCTCGACATCCCCCTGATTATGCTGGTCGCATCTCTGTTCAGGTGCGTTGCCCTGCTTTCTGCTTTCTGCTTTTTGTCGCAATGCCGGTTGGGCCCTCCTGGCCGTCCGGCGGATCCGGCGCATTCTGCTAACATGGAGGTGTTGGACGATAGAATCTTCTACTGGCCCGGCGCACGATTCGACTCGAGCTTGTTGATACAGTCCCTGATCATGGTGGGAATGCAGGTGGCGCTCCTCAAGATTGCTCTCGATCACCGACCTGCCCCTTCGAATAAAGGCGGAGAGTCCGGGCTGCCATTCGCTGCTGCCGAGGGCCTCTTTTCCCAGCGGCCGTATAATTTCTGGCAATGGAGGTCACCGAAGCCGTTGAGTCTCACCAATTGAGGATATTGACAGTGGTCGAATCGAAGAATGGAAAGGCTAACCTAACCGTATAAGCAGATATTGGCAGTTCGTGGTCTACCTCTTCGCAGGCCTGCTCGTCTGCGAAGTTGTCATGTCCAGCATCCCTCCCGTCTATTCCATGTACTCGGTCCTCATCGGCTACATTGGCCTCTCCGTCGAAGCCACGCTCCCGATCCCGCAGATCCTCGCCAACGCGCAGTCCAAGTCGGTCAAGGGCTTCCGGCTGTCCGTGCTCGCTAGCTGGATCGGAGGCGACGCCATGAAGATCTTCTGGTTCTTCACCGCCACGTCCGAGATTCCCCTGGCCTTCAAGATCTGCGGCATCTTCCAGGCTTGCTGCGACTGCTTCCTCGGCGTCCAGTACTTCATCTACGGAGAAGGCGAGAGCACCGTCAAGGGCCACCCGCTGCAAGACTTCTCCAGTCAGGAGATTGGAGCGCAGCAGCAGGGCAGGAGTACGACGCCCACACGGCGGTCGGCGCCATTTAGCGACTACGAGAGGAATTAGAGAAGAAGAGGCGTCTGCTGGCACGAGACTGGTGGAGATTTTTGGATACACGTATATTTTAGACTAATGTTAACGAACCTCATGGTTATCAGTGATAGATTTGGTATAATACTTTACTAATAGTGCTATGCTTCTCTGTACGAAATAGTACCTATATAGATATATATACGCACATACGCACACACACATACATATATCGAATTGAAAGCTACATATTCATCTTTTCAGGCTATTCTCATTCTCCATCTCTAATGCGTCTCATGCGTTGGTTGCTCTTGGCATGACAACTTATTAGGGGTCGTTGAATCTTGCGCGCCAGGCGTTAGGCTATGATAGTGCGCTACCACCCCGTAGAAACTAGATCCAGTATTGCGACAGCACGCTGACTACAGGTAAAAAAAATACCAATAAATTCAGTGAATAGTTTACACGAAATTCCAAAGTAGCGTCACAATTTCAGTCTAGTTGTTCTCTCATGTCTCGTGCTCGACTATGCGATGCTGCATCCAAAGTCGCTCCTTATGCGTTCTTCACCAAGGCACTGGGAGAGACAGATACCCCAGCCACCCGACTTTCTCGTCGCAAATGGCAAGGGAAAACCTGCCGCATCCACGAATATATGGGATAGCCTGTACGAAGTACATCTACGGCGAGTACCTGTTGAGGTACACGGGCTGAATCTTAGTCAAGCTTTCATGTTGATTCAATTGGCACGACAAGAGGCCCGATTTTTTGGAGACGCAGAATAGGCCTTTTATTTCTTTCTTATTGGGCACCATTGAGACGGAACCAATCGCGTAATCATTCGTGAGGCCGTTGTAAAGAAGAAGCGAGACGGCTATACTTGATAAAGCTGCGTCATTCGCTCTTTAATCAATTTTCTCTTTTTTCTTTTTTTCTTTATTTTAGTACTTTTTCGGGTTCGTACTGTTGGTAGGTTGCTTTCGAAAATGTCAAAACTTGAATGTAAACAAACATCTGACACGCTATAATAGGTGCTGGAGATATTCCTTCGCTTCATCGAGGTTGTTATCAGCAATAACACGGATTGCTGCTACCAAGGAAGGATTTATTCAACAGAATCTTGGCTGGATGTTCGCATTACAAGCCATCATTTATCAACTACTGGCCAGCGACCAAGGTATGTTCTGCTCCCATCCTTTTATTCTAGTTACATATCACTCACCAGCATACAGTCTTCATATAAATCTTTACAATTCAACTTCATCCAACTATCAGGGAGGTTCTCATGCGACACTTAGACGCTTTCACAATCCTGATACACCCATCCACATAGGTAGGCGAACAAAACCTTGCTTCTTTCTGCCAGGTCCTGATTCCCTGGATGTCTTCATCTCATAATCTTGCATCTCATTCACTGCATCCATCTTTCTTTTATCCTATCCCCCCTCCTTTTTTCTTTCCACGCCAAGGCCCTCGTCTTATTTTCTCAAGCCTGATGTTGTATAACTTGCCTTGGAATTGTTGGCTCCGCTCAATTTACATCGCAACAGCACCCCATCACTTGCTCACCTTGGGCTGGCAGCCCCCGTTGCCAGCCGGCAACATATTCTTGGCCCAGGCCACATTTACTTGCCATTCACTTTGGCCTCTTTCTTCTCTCCGCCTCCTTTTCAGATTCTGGCTCTAGTCAGGTGACTCTGCTGCCTCTCCTTCTATCCGCATAAACAACATCTCTTCGCTTCTACCGCTTCCAAACTCTTCCTCCCCTTCACATCTCTGCCCGCAACATTCTCTTCTTTTCTACAGAGTATTCACTTGGCCATCGGAATCACTCAAAGAAATTCTACTCACTCAATCTGCCTTGATCAATTGCCCGACTGTGTGTTGATCCAATGTCTCCCTCGTTTTCTCCTCCCTCGCTAATACTCGATTCCACAGAAAAGACCCAAGAGGAAAATGCCTCCCGCAAGCACCAAAGCCAATTATAAAACCTACGAGGCACAGGCCCGTATGGTACGAGCCATTGTCGCCGCTCATCCAGATGTCAAGTGGAATTACAAGGGTAAGCAGTTTTTGTTTTCATTATGTTGCCATAAATTTTTCACTATCTTGCCTGCCCCATTGTCTGCTTCTTTTGCGGATTTGGTATCTCTTCTTTCGTTTACCTGCTCTTTGTTGTTCTTGCTATCTGCCTGTTTCTATTGGGGCGAAGGTTGACTCTTCGTCCCCAGAAATCGTCGCTTGCTATGGATCCGACATGACTGAACACGCTCTGAACCATCGATTCCGCCGTCTCAAAGCGCAAGTGGTTATCGTACGCGAAGGCCGCAGCAAGGGCCTTGACCCAAAGAATATTTGTGCAGACGGGGATCTCCCGACTACCATAGACGCCGTGGATACGAAGAGTATGCCCAGTCCTTGACTCTCAATTCTTGACCCTGCACAGCTGGCTCGCCCAGTCCCAAGCAGTTCTATTTGAATATGCGTCTTGCTTTCTCTGGCCACAACAGCGTCACAATTTCTATCACTGCCGTTCTAGTAAAGAGCTAATACGTTGCCTATATAGATATTGCCAAGTACTTTGGCCAGTCCACCACGGACGGCATTCAGTTTCAGTTTCGTGGCATCAAGAAAGACGCCGATATCCTCCGTAAAGTCGAGAGTGAAGGGGGAGATGTCGCCAACTGCCTCAACCTGGGCTCAGGTGGCCCCAGCGTCACTTCTACTCCATCCAAGCCAACTCCTGCCCGCAGCGTGGGAAGCCGCACTGGCAGTGGCACGGGTCGCAAACGAGCTCGCAAGATCGATATCATCAACATGATCAAGCGCTCTTCATCTGACGAAGAGGAAGAAGAGGTTGAGAACTGGAGCGAACATGAAAACACGCCTACCAAGAAGCCGAAGAAGACTGGAGCCCTCCCGGGCCAGAGGAACGGGACTCCATCTCGCAGAGCTGCTGACATGGCCAACGTTACTATCGCTGAAGTCACCACGCTGCTTGATGCGAGCGACTCCCAGCCAGAAGCTGAGGCTCCAGCGAACCATATGGCCTCTTCTTTTGCGCCTGACCCCATGACCATCACTCAGCCCGCTTATTCCAGGATGGCCGTTGGTCTTGATCCCGGACCAGCCTTGGGAGGCGTGTCGCGTTCAGGTTATTCAGGCTCCCAGTATCCTCAGCGACAAATGGAATACGGCGAGATCTAAACTGGGATTCTTTCTCATTTTTCTATCTCATCATTCGATTACAAGGGAGGATGATCTTGACTTCCAACTTTTACTTTTCTTCTTTTTTATACTTCCCTTCCTTCACCCGCACGGATGGCTGGCTGTTAAGCACCGAGGAGGGCGGTATATGAAGAATAAGCTATGCGACTCTCATTGCACATGCGTGGCGTTGATGGGGAAAAAAAAAAATTTGCTTCTGGCTCTTTCTCTCGAGGGATTTTGCCAGTTTTCTTTTCCTTTCCTTTTGTTTTTCTTTTCTTCTAAAGCTTTGTATTTTCTGTGCTCCCTTCTTTTTCTTTCATCTGGGCGGCACATATGTTCTCTTTTCCAACAAATATGCTTTCCTTCCCACTTCGTTTTCATGTGTTTCGTTCCTTTTCTCATCTGAAAGGCAGAAGAGTGAACAAAGGGAGATTGAGAGTGGTTGATCTGGCTGATGACTTTTTCTTTTTCTTTTTCTTTTTCTTTTTCTTTCTTTTTCTTTTTCTTTTTCTTTTTCTTTTTCTTTTTCTTTTTCTTTTTCTTTTTCTTTTTCNCTTTTTCTTTTTCTTTTTCTTTTTCTTTTTCTTTTTCTTTTTCTTTTTCTTTTTCTTTTTCTTTTTCTTTTTCTTTTTCTTTTTCTTTTTCTTTTATTTAAAACACAGTGCTCTCTCTAGCTATCTTCAAAGCATTGTGCGCATCACAAGGGAAGGATAATAAGGGAAATGATATGGCAAGGATTTATAGGGATTCGATCTTCATGCGCGGTAACTAAGGCTAGTGTCGGTATAGTAAAAAAAGAATTTGTGCTTTGAACTTCCATATTGTGTCATATTTGATGAAAGTATATTGAAACAACAGATGTTTCGAAATCGACGGAATAAATTTCGTCATTTGATGACTCTGGATTGTGTCTTGAAATATTGTAATTGTACATGCTTGTCTTGTTTCCAGAGTTGAGTCTGGGGCATAAGAGAGATATTGAACCCTCCATTTCTCCATCTGTCAGTAAACAAGTTGATTAATCCCTTCCTACTTTTCTCTTCAATTTAATTCTAGAAAATGATGCGTTTTCGTGGTATTTTGTACTTTCTTTTTTGCACCATCGGCTCCCCCCGAATCCCAATACTCCCACCCTAATTCAAATGCATAAGCCTGTGAAGATGACGACCGACATCTCAGTTGGTCAATAGCCTCCACAGAGCATCTGTATCTACGTAATCGTGGTGGATAATGTTCACCAGCCAGCGGTCCTGCCCGATTTCGTTCAACAGCTTCTCGCTGTCCGAACCTCGCCCATAGACCTTGGCCCACTCGGCCCAGATGTCAAATGCCTCTTCGCTCCAGGCGCGGAAGCTGACCTCTTCGATAATGGTCGGCGTGACAATCTCCTTGCCGGGGAATACGCCCCACGTCACGGCGTTTGTGCTTGCGTTCACGGTGGCTCGGCCCGTACCGCCGGTTGTGTCCGATGAGACAAAGTCGCCGTTGGCATTGCTGGCATAGAAGCAGACTAGCTCCTCATTTTCCTCAGAGGTGAGCTTGTCGTAGAGGATCTTCCAGTCTGCCGATGGAATGAAGAACTCTACGAATGATTTCTGGAAGACAAATCCAGAAGCAGGTCCCCATCCGAATGTGGCATGGTTCGAGGGCAGACCATTCACGGCGGGTTGGGAAGCAACAGTCCACCAGCCCTTTTTGTTCATCGCCTCAAGGCTGGACTTGATGATGAATGACTCGGGAAGAAGGTCTTCCTCGCTCCACGGGATGGCAGAGATCTCTCCTCTGATGTGTCGGACAAAGATGTCGTTGATGTCGCTAGCCGTCTTGGGATGGCCCCAGAGAGAGACAGCCTGTGTGACTGACATGTGGATGCTAACGCCATATCCGTCAATCTCACCGTAAGCAGGTGAGCGGGCGTCACCAAATCTGCCGTTGGGGAAGTCATCCCACGTCGCCTCACGGCCAAGAGCTCCTTCACCCTCGGAAATGGCCAATGTGTTTGCGCGAGTGTTGATGCTTTCGGCCGGGACGCCAGCTTCTGTGCTGGTTGCTTCCCACTCGGGGTGTGTGGCGGCTCTCCCAACAATGACTCGGTTGTGGGGATCAGAACCAACAGAGGATTGTCTCCTGGCTGTGCGCGAGTGACTGCGGCTCTGGCGAGGCGGGACATTTCCATTGACACTGATTCTTGGAATGGATCGCTGGCCCGTCGCTGCCACCGGCACAGGCTCATCCACGATTGCTTCTTCGTCTTCTGGGACGTCAGGAATCAGTTTGGTTCTCTCGAGGATGAAAGAGATTGATTTCTCAAGGTTGAGAGTGTAAAAGTGAAAGCCTTTGGGGCCGGGAGTCCTGCTCTTGATTTCTCTGATCTGCTCTATCAGTTCGCTGAGAATATCAACGCCGACCATTTTGACTTTTTCATCGTCTCCCTTGACAGCATTTAGTCGGGTCATAATTTCTTCCGGCATCTCGGCATGGCTTAGCTTGGCCGTTCGCTTGATCATTGCATAGCTTTGAATTGGCATCAAGCCGGGCAAGATGGGTATCGTCTTGAAGGCGCCGCTGGGGTGGTTTCTCAGGGTAGTTTCAAACTTCTCGTAGGCCTTGATATCGAAGAAGAGCTGTGTCATGATGAAATCCGCTCCAGCCTGGACCTTGTCGACAAGATATGGGAGATCGTGTTCGAAGCTCTGTCCTTCGGGGTGGCTTCCATCACCATGGCCCTCTGGATACGCAGCAACGCCAATGCAAAAGTAGCTGCCATATTTCTTGCGGATATACTTGACAAGATCAATTGCCCATGTAAACTCCTCAGAGCCGGTCGGTTCGTCGGCGTCTCGGTACTCGGCGCGGGGCGGGTCTCCTCTCAGAGCCAAGATGTTGCGAATTCCCAGCGCTCTCGCATCCTCTAGTGCCTGATCAATCATTGCCTGGCTCATGTTTGTGCATGTGAGATGGAGGCAAGTAGTGAGACCGAGCTCTCGTTGACATAGCTCGGCAAGCTCAATTGATTTCTGGGCTGTTGAACCGCCGGCTCCCCAGGTGACATTGACGAAGAGAGGTCGCAGAGCGCGCTCCATCCGCTGAAGACGAACACGCAAGTTGGAGAAGCCCATTTGCGTCTTGGGAGGGAAGAACTCCAGAGAGAAGTACTCTGCGTCGGCCGGCAGCGCCGCGACTTTGTCTGTGATTTTGTCCATGACTGACTAATTGTTGCGCAAGCAGGAATATGCTCGTAAGAGTGCGTTCTATGTCGATGTAGAACAGAAAAGATTCCGGTTAGAGAAATGAAAAATGGGTTGATTGGCTGTCGAGTTGGGTCGACGCGTGACCCCTTCGCTAGTTGACGATACGCTCGATAGCACGGATAGATGCGGGTTTGCCAGTTTTGTTCAGCCGCGCAGCTGGTTTTCAAGAGGAGCTGTGAGATGACGGGGATCAAATCAATTGAAAAGGACAACAGGTTTCGTCAGTGTATCCTTGAAAATGATCCAAGACCAATGCTTGAAGCCCAAAGCGAGGAGTCAATTGACCCAGCAGCAAGGTGGTTGGAAGTCTCTGGGCAAGACAAGATCAGAAACTTTTGCGATGCCGCTGTCGCATGGTGGCGGGGCAGCTGTACATGGAGATCAATTTGGCGGGGGTTGCGTCCGTTGTCGCTGGATCCCCGAGTTGCGCTATCGCTATCGCTCTGCCGAACGCTATGACGCAGAAGGCGATACAGTGCTACAGGGGGCCATTTCACGGGCTGCAAGGCCCCACCAGAGGTCGCCATAGGCCTTGTGCTTGGCTCTGTAGGAGCTCCGATAGCAGCCGTGGGCGGAAAAAAAGCCCGGCGACCTGAATATCAACATCGAACCATCCATCCGTCCCATTGCAACATATCCTTCTTTTGCCGCACATCGCCTCTACTCCCACCAGAAGGAATTGTTGCGGGGGTTTTATACCGCAATATGAAAGGACGATAATGCATATGCTTCATGGAAGCCGCATGGGCCTCACAAGGGCCGGCTCGGCAGTTTGCCGCCGATATATGGCGGCCAGTGCCAATGGGGCGATAAATCGAACAACTGCCCTCGCGCGACACGACCCGCGATACCTGACTCGAAGAGGATATGCAGTGGATCTTGTTGGTCTGGACAAGAAATGGCGTCAAGTCTGGGACCAGAAGCCTACAATTGGCGAGCATCAGGCTCCGGATAGCCAGAAGCACAGCTACATCCTGCCCATGTTCCCGTACCCAAGTGGCACCCTCCACCTTGGCCACCTTCGAGTCTATACCATTGCCGATGTGGTTGCTCGATATCACACCCTCAAGGGTGACAAAGTTATGTTGCCAATGGGCTGGGATGCCTTTGGTTTGCCCGCAGAGAATGCTGCCCTCGAGAGAGGCGCTCCACCTGGAGACTGGACCAAAACCAACATTGCGAAAATGAAGAGTCAGTTGGATGTAATGAATGGAAGCTGGGACTGGTCGCGCGTAAGATCTTTCATGGCCCCTTTGCAAAGATAAGATGAGAATGGTTGGGACTTGTCTAAACCGATTTTACAGGAATTGGCCACGTGCGACCCTGAATTCTATAAACATACGCAAAAGCTATTTTTGATGCTCTACGAGGCTGGTCTAGCATATCAGGCCGAAGCCGAAGTCAACTATGACCCGATAGACAAGACAGTATTGGCTAATGAACAGGTAGATGCAAACGGCTTCTCGTGGAGGTCAGGCGCCAAGGTTGAAAAGAAGAAATTGAAGCAATGGTTCTTTCGCATATCCGAGTATAGCGAACATCTCCTGAAGGATCTCGACAGCTTGGCCAAAGACGGTGCGTGGCCCGAGCATGTTATTTCTCAGCAGAAAAATTGGCTAGGAAAGTCGACCGGTGCTTTGGTCAAATTCCCCATCATGGCCGTCGGTCATGAGGTTGGTGCCGCCATCGAAGTGTTTACTACTCGACCTGATACCTTGTTCGGAGTTCAGTATATTGCTCTCGCTTCTGATCATCCTGTAGTGGCTCAGCTAGCAAAGAAAGATCCGGAGCTGCAAGCGTTTCTCGACACCCTTCCTGGCCTGCCTCTAGATTCTAAAGTTGGGTATTTGCTACCACACATCCGCGGTATCAACCCTTTAGCTTATCATGACGATACCCCCGAAGCTACCAAGGAATCGCTGCCCATCTATGTAGCCTCATATGTATTGGGTGACTACGGCGAAGGGGCTGTTATGGGAGTTCCTGGCCATGATACACGGGATCATGCTTTCTGGCGAAAGCACAACGTCGAGCAGCCCGTGCGAATTGTGCTGGCCGCGTCTGAGGATGAGTCAACAACGACCTTTGACAATGAACCCGAGCCATTTGTCCACCACGGCTATATGACGGAGCATAGTGGAATCTTCAAGGGCAAGCACTCCAAAGAAGCAGGCGAGATGATGATTCGCATGCTCGAGGCAGCGGGCCTTGCCACTCCTACCACGAAATGGCGGTTAAGAGACTGGCTCATCAGCCGCCAGCGGTACTGGGGCGCTCCCATACCCATCGTTCACTGCGATTCCTGCGGCTCTGTGCCTGTGCCAGACGAGCAGCTGCCTGTCCTGCTACCCGAGGTAGATAACCATTGGGCACAAGGTAAGGCAGGCAATCCTCTGGAATCGTCTTCCGATTTCGTCAAGACCGAGTGTCCCAAATGTAACGGCCCAGCCCGGAGAGATACCGATACTATGGATACGTTTGTCGACTCAAGCTGGTATTACGCTCGCTTTGCTGATCCCAACAACCCAAATGAGCTCTTCTCTACCGAAGCTGCCAAATCGCTTCCGGTGGATATTTACATTGGAGGCGTTGAACATGCCATTCTACATCTCTTGTATGCACGGTTCATTTACAAATTCCTAGCCACCACTCCACTTCTTCCCCAATATTCCGAATCGGAAGCCATGTCTGCCGAGCCATTCAAGCGCCTCATCACCCAAGGCATGGTCCACGGCAAGACATATATCGACCCCGAGAACGGCAAATTCCTCAAGCCAAACGAGGTAGACCTGTCAGATCCTTTGGAGCCCCGAGTCGTAGCCACGGGTGCTCCTGCGACGATAGCTTTTGAGAAGATGTCCAAGTCAAAATATAATGGAGTAGACCCCACCGAGTTTACATCCAAGTACGGCGTCGACCCTACCCGAGCTCATATGCTCTTCCAAGCTCCTGTCGCAGATGTCCTTAACTGGGACGAATCCAAGATTTCCGGGGTTACGCGATGGCTGCAGAAGCTCCACGATCAGGTTGTAGCGCTGGCGAAATCGCCTGAGGAATCGCTGCCGGCAAAGGAATATTTCGCCGCACGACCCCCTCTGAGTGTTAGCAAATCGAACAAGCTAACTGTGGCAGAGAAAGAGGAAGTGTTGAAACGCGATTCCGAGTCGGCTCTTTGGCGCGAGACGCAGAAGAAGATTGAATCTATCACGCGGAGCTATGAAAAGATATACTCACTCAATGTGGTCGTGTCAGATTTGATGACTCTCACAAACGAGTTGGTTCAGTACAAGACAGCAGATGAAGGCATCCGGCGACAGACGGCCGACACCATCATCCGCCTCATGGCACCCATCACGCCCGCCTTTGCAGAGGAGTGCTGGAGTCTCCTGCACCCATCCAAGGGCTCCATCTTCGAGTCCACCAGCTTCCCCGTGCCAGACGGCAGTCTAGCGATGCTCAAGGCGGAGTATATCAACTGCGCCGTGCAAGTGAACGGCAAGCTTCGCGGCACGGTGACCATCCCGCGTCCATCAAGCGACTTGAAAGGCGATGCTCTACGTGACTGGATAGTGGATGCGATTTTGGAGACGGAAGATGGAAAGAGTCGGTTTGGTGAAGGCGGATATAACGTGCGGTCAGCTAGGAGGACGATCCCGGTGGACGGGGGAAAAGTTATCAACTTTGTAATATAGAATAGCGATGATGATAGAGCGGATACCCAACTCCGTAATTTCTTATAGACATATTTTCTCTTCTTCCTCTGCGGTATAGCAATTTCTGCTATAGCCTATTTACTCATACTAGTAGTGTTTAGTTGTAAGGAGAGTTCTAAACTGGATGGGCGACTATGCAAAAAATCATATCAAAATCTAGCTAACAAACACGGCAATGTAAATTCTAATCTAGTCGCGATGTCTCCTGTCCTCTTCTGGAAGAAGCCTCTGTTCCTCGTCGCTGGTCACCTTACCACGGTAAATCACATAGTGCTGGAACATGAAAATGGAGTCAAACACCAAGCTGCAGTTGCCGAGCGCAAGCTTTACGGGGTTGCCTGTGACGCCACTCCAGTCATGTTGCAAGTAGCTGTCGATAGCAAGCTGCGCCAAGCTCAAGACCCCTCCGACAACATCGAGGATGATCTGCCAGATACTCCAGCCGCGCGTGCTCTTGTTACGGTAGTTGGCGAGGATCTGAGGCGTGTATTTAACCAGAGTCACTAAGAGCTTGACATAGCCAACGGCGTACACAATGTCCAGCTCGCACCAGTCGGTCGCGGGATTCGCAGACGGAGTCGCCCAGACAATGAAGCAAGTGATGGCGACACCCAGCGCGGAGCCGACAATGATACCAGAGATGAAGCGGCTGGGGCGAGCGCCGGGGCTGAGCTCGAAGCCCCAGAGCGGGCGGAGGAGATACTGCGAGGCGGTGATGAGGCTGAGGACGAGGGCGTGCAGCGCAAAGACGATGTCGTTGAAGGCGACGGTCGGGGTCAGGCCGTTGTTACGGGCGGCATATTGGCTGCGCACGACGGGGGAGTAGTAGAAGGCAAGATTAGAAACAAAGTACGCGGCGAAACCTAGCGGAGCACAGAGAAGGTGAGCGAGGCGCAAGAGAGAGGGATCATGTTAGAGGTGCACAGATCAGATCGTGGCATGTAAGACGAAATATAAGAAAGCATGGGATCTAAGACCACTGGGGATCGAGTATGCACATGGGGTCCGGGGGGAAACGTAAGACGGACATACCGATCACGTTAATAGTAGGGAAGTCGGCCGTGGTGCCGGACGTCGATCGGCGCTGCCAGTTGAGCAGCGGCTGGGGATAGAAGGAGAGGCTCCAGGCAAAGGTGTAGATCCAGCCGAAGACGGCGGAGATGAAGTACAAGAATGCGGCCATTGTCGGGAGGGGGGAATGCCCGACGACGGAGTCAGAATGACTCTCTGGGAGGCAGACAGGCTCCGTGAGAGTGAAGAGCAGCAAGCCACTTCGCAGCTCCGTCCGGACCGGCCCGAGAGGAAGAGGCTTTGGCGATTCCGAGGGAGACGGAGAGAGGAGGCGAAAGTCGAGCTGCGTGCGCGCGGTGGATTCTCGGTATCAGATTCGGGATCTTGTTTTCTTGGGATGAGAAGCTGAGGAGGAGAGAGCGGGTGGCTCTGCTCTCTGCTAGAGGTGGTGGAGGACGAGAGAGAGGAATAATGCGATGAAAAGTCACGGTCTCGTGATGCTCATAGAGGATGTTGGGTGAGAAGTTCTACAGAAGTACCCATAGCCGCTGCAGAGTATGGAGAGCTACTTTGAGCGATGCGATGCGATGCGATGCGATGCGATGCGATGGCAGGCGCGACTTGAGAGATTGCATCATTTGCTGCTTCAATCACCAAGTACACAGGTACCTACTAGACTAACCTGCTCTGGGGCGCCTTATGTAAGACGCCAGATGGGTTGCTCGCCCAAGTACTAAGGTGCCGAATTACCTCGCTATTTCGACGATAAAGTACGGAGTGCAGAGCAAAAGGCAGGGAATATATAAAGAATCTAGCCAATCAAACTCCATACTTGTCGTCGAAGTTGCGAGGGAGCCACAGTAAATCATCGTCGAAAAAGCGAGGAAACCACAATAAATGAAAAACTGAAGCGTTTAATTGGTTAATGATGCTCTATAGCGACTGTTTATTGGCTGGGCCTTAATTTATTGTGATTCCCTCGCTTTTTCGACGATGACGAGACAATCTAAATAATGAATACAGTTCCGCAGCTATTTAATCATCATCATCGATACTGCTACTCAGCATAAATTGCTATAATCTCCTCGCTTAGTTCTCTCAGCATCCGGTTTCGCAGTCCCCTATGATCCTCAAGGCTTCTTGCTATAGTATTATCTTGTCGTCGAGCATAAGCGCAAGACCAAATAATGCTAAGAAGCTAACAATTTTAGAAATAATATCATGATATTCATTAAATTCCTTAATGGATACATCTAACGCTCTTTCGAACTTTTGGTTTAATGGATCAGCTTGAGGATCTGGTAATTCTCTAGCAACAGGTTTAAAGCAAGCCCCCCATCGTGGCAATCTGCATGCACCAGCTCGCCGCCAACAAGTGTTCCAGAGTGAATCTAGAAGCGCACCGGTCTTATAACTAGGCGAGATTGGCCATGATAGCTGCAAGCTAGCATGGAGTCGTTTCCATCTCAATCTGGTTTTGTTGTTAAGCTTAATCATGCATCCCACGTAGGACAATCTTCCATTCGACCATCTCTCGACTTTTCGCAAGCGTGGGCGCTAGTATCGGGAGCGTCAGTGTAAATATTCATTCCTCGTATGATATAATCGCAGTTAGCATATATTTAGAATCAATGGCGTAGCTCTAAAGCGATAGCACTTCATGTTGTACAATATTAGCCTAAACAAAGTCCGAGGGGTCTCAAGGGTAACCAGATACGCCAAGGGGCAATAACTGCTTCATCGCTGGAAAAAGAGCTCAGCGTCCGTGATTGTAGTAACTGAATCCTGGCAACATTGATCTTTACACTCACTCCTCTAATGTTTCAAGCTCGTCAGCGTCAAATCTCGCAATTGACTCATTAGCATGTAGACATTCATCATCAACGTCTTCGCTTACACGCGTATACCTCCTACTATTGGGGTATTGTCGTATTACACTAAGACCAAAAGGATACTCACGCATCCATCTTCTCCATCCCTGCACAGCCTTCATCCTCGGAATCAGATCACAGATGCAAATTTCCCTTCCCCTGTCTGTTGATTATTTATACCTACCACATCGCAGCTTCTTGCCTCTTCTAGCGGTACAAGCCGATCCGGCAAGCCAGAGGTACACTCTACACCGACAGCACGGTGAAGGAGAGCATGTCGTAAGCACACTCTACCAGGTACCTGCTACTCAGCGCCCAAGGTACGTTGCATTCCGGTGCCCCTTTTCTGGTTTGCCTGTTATCCTCGGTATTTCGATCAGCATCATCCAGCACCATCTCACACGTTTCCTTTTGCTCTGCATTTCCCTGCTGCATGGATACGACAGCAAATGTATGCAACGTGCACCGTCATTTCCGATATATTCGCTATCAGCTGAAGGGGCATGGCCTGATCGGACGACCTTTGTTGTGAGCAAGACGCCTGGTCCCAGTGCGGGTCTGGCCCACTTACAGAACGCCCAAACTGCCGGCGGCTTATCCGCCGACGAATGGAAGGGCAAACAGTAGGCGATAAGCGAGCTGTCATGCTGCTGCAGAAAAGGAAGAGGGAGAAGGGAAACTTCTACAGCAGGGCGTAAGACTGCTGGTTTTGGTATTTTTGTGCTGAGCCAAAGATGAGCTGAAGTGAGCAGACGGCTGAGACCCTGCGATGATATCAAAGTGGTTGACATTCCTAGATATCATGCTAGCACGTAGGCTGTATACATCATACAGCAAATGCTCCGAGTACAAAGCAATCAATGCATATCCACGACCTACTGCAGTTTATCTGTAACACTAGGAGAAGACGGGGATTCATTTGCGTTCTCCTATTTCGTCTGTGGCGGTCGTCACCAAGAGCTTAACACGGGGCTATGTTCTCACGCAGGTACTAATACCCAGTATATAAATATCTCTCTTCTAGTATAACTTAAACAGGCAGCAATAATACCGCTAGCGATGATGATGTTGTATGTACCTACTACCCAGTGCTTTGTGCTCGCAATAACATGTAAAATGGCCCTCTAATTTCTGTCGGGCAGCATCCATCGCACAACCTTTCATCAACATGCAGCCACATCATCGGCAGACGAACCGCCCAGCCACTTGCACACCGCCGTCCAGCAAACACCACCACCAACACGCTCATGCACCGCGCTGCGCCCTGGATAAGACGCCCAGAAACTGCATGGCCTCGGATCAAGTACTAATCACATCAAACTAACATCCAGATCAAGACCCAAGCACAGCAGGTCTCTCAAGCAGGATGTGTCGATCCCGAGGCGCCCGTCATGGCCACAAATCGGGAAAAGCGCTGCCATGCATGGCGCTAAACAAACAACATTCGAGGGACCCCTACAGACAACGCCACTATCTTGAAATCTGCCTAGGTCAAATACCGAAACCATGCAACCATCATCTGGTGCCTTTTTTTTTTTATCCTCGGGCGACGCCGGACACTACTAACAAGGTTTGTTTTTTACTTCCGAACGGCGTGTGTGGCCATGACGTGCCCGTGCTTCTTGTCTTATTCCCATCCCTATCAGACGGCTTTAATCAAACACGATGGTTTCCCCCATTGGCTGGACACACCCTTCCCCTAGTGCCGTCTGCCGATTGCATGGTGTGGCATCCCCTTTTTTTTTTCTTTCCTCGGATAAGGGATCTCGGTCAGTACGACGCCGTTTTGTTCTAATAGTGGGGGTTAAGTTTTCCGATATACGGACAGGGCTTTGACTCTATTGTGCGAGATGAATCGAGCTTGATGTCAGCGGTGTTGTGAGAAGGAGTCATTTAAATAAGCTTGGCCTTCCGGTTTGTTTATACGTCTGTTATTCTGTATACCATAGCCTTTTTATAAGTGCCAAAGAGCATTACTTGCATGCCATTATAACTACTGCCTCGTTCTACAAACATCAATATATAAGTGACGGTTGAATATAGAGAAAAAACATCATCGTGTACTTGTTACTACTATATACGCTACCACTTATACCATCACTTACAGAGCAAACACAACAAAGCCACCATTGCTACCTATAAATACTGCTGAAGAAGGCTATCAAACTCACATCCAAGCCATCAACACCACCAGCAACATCAAAATCAACAAACAAACAAACAAACATGACAACACTATTATCAACATCAACAACCACAACCACAACAACAACAATGACAACAACAATGACACTGTCATCACCCCCAGAGCCAAAGGTCGGCTTCATGTCCCTCCCCCTCGAGCTCCGCTTCCAAATCTACTCCCTCCTCCTCACCATCCCCCCTCGCCCAAACGCAGAATCAACCTCGCACGACATGGCCGCCTGCAACTCCGAGGCCCCCGTCTACGTCCACCCGGCCATCCTCCTCGCCAGCCGCCAGATCAACTGGGAGGCCACCCCCTTCCTCTACTCGGAAAACATGTTCGTTGCCCACCCGACCCTGCTGGCCTCGTTCCCGCGCCTGCGCAGCTGGTACCCGCCCATGAGGGAGGCCAACGCCCTCGTGCCGCTCATCCACCGCTTCCACGTCCAGGTGCCGCTCGACGTCGAGCTGCCGTACGACCGCGCCGCCGTGGCCAAGTCCTTTACCGGCGTGGACGAGCTCTCCCTCGACCTGCGCCAGTCCGTCTTTCTGAGCGTCAGCTGCAACAACCTGACCCTCTTTGACGCTGTCCGCGGCGTCAACAAGGTGTACATTAGCGGAAGCACCACCGGCTTCGAGGACTACATTGCCTGGCTCAAAGACGCCATGACGAGTCCCATCGGGGCGGAGGTTGCCCCCTTTGAGGCACAGACACAATCACCGTGGGCGTCCATCTGGAGCAAACACTCAAATCTCTGGAGCCCCTCCACAGCACTTGTCGGGAAACAAGAAGCATAGAGAGAGATGCCTAGGTATGTATAACAAACATCATCCAAATCGACATCGCAAATGGCACGACGACTAACGAATCGGACTTTGGATAGAAGATAATCACTTTTACATTGCGCTGAAAACTAGGTATCTCTACACCCACTTACACCATCATCAACCACCTCCCACCGATATCTCCAAAGTCTAAATCCTTCCGGAGCCCTCCGCCTCCCAAAAAAGGGCTTCCAATATTCTTTTTTCTTTCTTTTTTCTTTCTTCTTTATCATCTTGAGCCATACCAAAAACCCCCTCTAGTCCCATATTTCCCAGTCTAGGTCTAAAGGTCATCTCATACATTTCGACAAAAGAATAATAATAAAAAAGCCCGCTTGGGCAAACCCGAGAAAAGAATCACAAAGAAAGCGTCATGTTTCCCCTCCCTTTTTGTTTTCTCCGAAAGATATCCTCTATGTCCATAGCTCTCTTTTTTTTCTATATCCCTCTTAGTTTTTGGCTTTTTCTTTTCTTTTCTGTTTTTGGGTACACACGGGTTTTCGTGTTGATAGATACACAAGGGAATGAAAGAGGAAAAGGAAATGGGGGGAAAAAAGGAGAACAAGGTAGATAAAAATAGAAGCAAGTATACAAAATAACTCGCCCATCGTGATGCATAATTCCACCCAAACGCCTGTTTCTGATGCATCGTATATCGGAGAGAAATCTTTACATCGGTCCCCTCCATCTGTAGTTTCGACGATGCGCGTCATTTGTTTTCTTTTTCTTTATTGCGCCGCCACTTGGCCGCCACCTCCAATCATCTTGGGCAGCGACCTCCAGCCTCTCTCGTTGGGCAGCCTGACCTTGCCAAAGTCCTCGTCAAGGTCCAGAATAATCTTCAGTGCGTTCCTGCTGCGAGCAAATGGGCTGGAGTCGAGCGGCTTAGACCTGAGAGTCGACAGAGCATCCGTCATACCAACATGGGGCTTGTCCTTGGGTGCTGTTCCAGGCATGGGCAGCAGGCTCTGCAGCACTTCGTATGCGGCTAGGGTGAAACCGAACTGGGGTGATGATCGGAAGATACGAGCGGGGCCACCCTTGAAAAAGGCCGTGAATCCCTCCTCCTTCCAGATGGTCTTTGCGCAGTGTCGCAAACCGTTGTATGTCGCCTCGCCCTTGCGAGCCTCCACCTGGAGGCGAGTCTTGATGACATCGCAAGGCGTCGTCAGGTAGGCCGCAGGCATACCGGCAATGGCACCAGCAGTCAGGAGCTGCAAAACACCGAGCTTCTTGGTCGGTGATTCGCCGAAGAAGTCCTTCTTGAGATGGCTATAAGTGGGGAAGTAGATGGCCGAGAAAGGTACATCTCTCAGCAGACAGGCAGATGCACCCTTGTACAGGCCCATCAGACCGAGGTTGCGGACAATCCACATGGCTGATCTCTTAGGAGTGCCCTCAACAGTCTTGGCGACCTCGCCTTGGATTTGCAGGCGAATCTTGACAATCTCAAGAGGGTTTGTGAAGACCTACAAAAGAAGCAGAGTGTTAGTTTGGACGGAGTTGGTGCAAAATTATAAAGATTTTCAACTTACCACTTGACATCCACCAGCGGTACCACCAGCGACGATCTCAGCCCACACAGGAATGTTTCCTTGCTTGTCGGTCAAGCGGCCACGCACCAAGTCGTTGACTGTCAGCTTGATGGCCTTCTCCGGCGCTACACCAACAAGCTGGGGCAAGACACCAGAGTAAAGTCCACGGAAACCTTCGTTGCGGACGACCTTTTGGAAGCAATCAATCGAGTTCTTGTACAGGCGCTGTCCGGGCTGCGCTCCACGCTGGTTCTGCAGACGGGTCTTGACAAGATCAATAGGATACACCATGAAAGCACCAAAGGCACCGGCCATACTGCCCAGACCGAAGTTGTATGCAGACTCGAGGACTTGGTGCAACACCGCGCCGCCCTTGGAAGCGACCCTCTCAACCGCCTGGCCAGCGGTATCCAAGGCGTCGTACATGGGATTCCGCCAGGAGGGGTCCAGGACCTTGGCAAAGTCACGAAGGCCCAGCCGTCCAGATGGTTCATCCAAGCTGGCGAAGTGGAAGAGAATGTCAGCCTCCATTGGCGTAAACAGCGCGAATCGCGTGATGCCGGCGGCCTCGTTCATGAACTCTGATCTGGTAATCTTGCCATCCTTGGTTTTTGAGATGGCCCGGCGCAGAATCAGCTCAACCATGTCCATCTCCATGATGATGTTCTGGAAAGCTCGCACGTTGGCATAAGACACCTTGCTGCTAGCCGAGATGTTGCACAGGGTGTGCAGGTTGTTCAGCAGATGGTCCGAGAGCTTGTGCCTTGCCGTCTCGCGAATAATGCGCTCAAAGTCCTCCGGGTTGATGTAACCATCGCCATCCTTGTCGAAGCGGTGAAAGGCTTGTCGAATGCGCTCGCCCTGAAGGCCGCGCAGCAACTGCGAGAATTGCGCATAGTTCAGGTTGTGGCGGTTCTTGTTTGTGCCAATGTACAGCTTGGCCCATTCGCAGTCCCAGTCAAAGGGAATGTTGTCAGGTCCCTTATTGAGCTCGTAGAGGCGCTTGAAGTCGTCGTACTTGACGATGCCGGTCCGGTCGACATCAAACAATCGGAAGGCGATTTCGTACTCGGCATCGGGCTTGAGGAGGAGGTTCTCGAAGACGCTCCAATCAGTCAAGGAAACTCGGCCGGTGCCCTTGCTGTCGGCGACGCCAAAGAGGATCGAGTACTGCTCCCGCTTGATCTTGTGCTGTTTGCGTTGGATGCCGTGTTAGTCACTCGTCTCCGCAACTGCCCCGATGTGGCTCCGGTGCTGGAAAGAGAGGGACGAAAAGGGGTCGAGAAAGGAAATAGGGGGCATAGAATTGGCGAGAAATGAAGACGGAAAGCGACTCAATGGCAACTCACATAGTCCTCATCCTTGGGCGCAATGGCGCTGATGAACTGCTCGGGCCCCAAGTACAACTCGCCGGTCTCAGGGTCCTTGATCGCATGGCTGGTGAAGCGAGCCTTGGTTTGCGCCGAGAGCTGCGCAGGCTCTTGAACGCCAACCAGGCTCTCCTTGACAGCTTCCTTGACCGTCGAAACGCTCGTCATCGTTGCCGAGGGAAATAGCAGACTCGACTCTCTAGTCAACAACAAAGTCTTGGAGGGTTAGAAAAATGTCCGCGGGGAGAGAAGACGGGGTAAAGATTGTTGGCCTCTTGTGGAGGAAGCGGCGAGGCTGTGGAGCTCGCCAAAGTGGATTTGGCACAACGGGGAAGCGCCAAAAAAGCAGCGCCAAAGGATCTAGAGAAGAAAAATAATCGGAAACAAGCCCCTCTATGATTCTAAGTCTATCAAGCAACGCAAAGGAAAACGGAGAACAAAAAGAAAGAGGTAAACAGGCACGAGTGTCGCGAAAAAGCGAAAAGCAAAGGAGGGATTTTGTCTTGACGAGTTGAGGCAGAAAAAAAAAATGCGACGGCCGAAAAAAAAAAAAATTATATTACTCCGTATCTGCTCCGTGTACGGTTCAATTGACGGGCGGATGGCTGCAAGGTTTGGCCAAACGCTGGGTACCAGGTACCGTCAGTGTCCCTGCCGCCACGCCGCTAGCTCGATGTCTACAGCGGTCAGAAGACGCCGAGGCCTGTAATTCGTAGCCTAAAATCGGGGGCTTGGTTAGGGGTCCTTTGAAAAGTCTTCCGAAGTCTTGCTACACTGCCACGTGAGCAGCAAAGAGCGACAGGCGCACCATTAGAAGTCTCCGTTACAAAGATCGTCGTCCCACCCAGCTCTGGCCTCACCAAGAGGCGCCGACCAGAGCAACCAAGTATGTACATACAAGTGCCTGGACCAGCGGATGGTCGCGCGTGCACTGTATTTAGAAACCATCCGTGTGACTCGCTCTGGCTTTTTTAGGGTTCCACAATTTTAATGATGTTTATTTCCCTTTAGAACTAAAAAAAGGCAAAGAAGAAAAGAAAACAATAATAGAAGATATTCAAATATAATAAGACGTGGCGCTTTGTAAATTAGGTACCAATGCCATCTTTGAGCAGGCTGGTACCTCCCGTCTTTAGCAGTTGCAAGTATCTGTACCGCACTCATACTCATTTGTATGGAATTAACACCGATGCACGTCCAGCTGACATCAGATCCTTTATCGAGAATCCAGCCAATCTCTCTGCCCGAAACGTCAGAACCCGAGGGTGCATTTCCCGTTTCATGCAGACACCGAGGAATCCGCACAGTCACTCCGTACTTTCTGTAGCGGTCATGATGGTTATCACGAGTCTTTCCAAGTGGGTATTGTGAAACTGGATGTCATCATCTGGATATACTAGGTATTCTGCCTTCAAGATAGTAGTAGCAATAGCAAAGAGATAGTCTCTAAACACGGCGCATACGGCGGCGGGAAAGACGGTATAGCAGCATCCCCCGAGCTAAGAATCGCCGCCTACTGACCCAAGTGTGCTACAGACATGCTAAAGCGCTTAGGCGTAATAGCTGGCCGCCGAATCCGGGGTCGGAGTCAGTCGGACACAACATCGGCCAGTCCGGACAGCAAATGCCAAAACGCCATACCAGCAGAAACACGAAATCTCCCCTCAGTTTGGCCAAACACTGTGTGGGAGCGCGGGAGCGTAAACAGGTTTACTCCGCAGGGCGAGAAAGGGAAAAAGCCAACCCCCCAGAAATGCTGTTCTAGAAGACCAACTGCCAAATCGGCGCCACCCGGAGCCGGTCCGGAACCTGAAAGTGCGGCTGGAAGGTACTTTTATCTTCGTACTCGTCAACTTCAGCCCCATGATAGACGTATATAGAGATCCATTCTATGCCAATCAACGTAATACTACCTATCGCTAAGGCGATTAATCCTTAGCATTACAAACCCAATTCCCCCCCCCCCAACAAAGCTGCAGCTGCAGCAGTACATACCTACTGCGTATCTAGCATTCACCAGACCACTTTTGAAGTTCCGTAGGGCCGGCGCTATCCCGGAATCCCGGAGAGGCCCTGCGTGCATAAAACAGTCAATCCGGCGGTCAGCACCAAGGATAGACGGCATCTTACAAGTTATGGGGCACACGGCTGCGCTGCTCCAGGAGCTTCCAATCGCAATTCAAGAGGCTATCCCACTTGCGATTCTTGTTCATTTCTTCTTCTATTATTCAGGCTGTAACACAGAATCCGTAATGTAATGCCCAAAATAAATAACAGGGCGGTATTAATCCATACAGCTTTCTTCAAAGTGGTATTATCAAAGTCAAGAGCCAATCCGTTTCCCCGGCTTTGGCGCAGCGCGTGCCATGCCGAAGCTCCCTTTCGCCTAATTTCACACACCCTTTTGTTTTCCCTCAATCCGCGTTCCCTTCCACCCCCCTCCAGCGCCTGCGTGGTATATATAAATCCATTTCATTACCGCCAGTTCCGGAGCAAGCCACCAACGCCAGACAGTACAATAACAGAGCTAAAGAAAAGAAGATAGTAGAAAAGAAGAAAAAGAAAAAGAAAAAGAAAAAGCATCGTCGCGAGTGTGTATTGGATCATCGTCTTCGTAAGATCGCCTGCTGCAATCCCCGCGCAAAAAAAAGGGGGAGGGGGAATCGCGGCGACCAATGTCGAGGTGGCGGGTTCAAAGTATTAAAGAAACACATATTAGAATGCGGTAGTGGTATCAAACAATCAACCTCATAGACTTCCAAATAGGATGCCATGAGAGGCAGCATCAAAACAAGTATCACAGTAGATCAAAAGTCGGCTCTCATCCTTCTATGGGGATGAGAAGGTTGCCATACTGCAGCTCAGAGACACTCGGAATTCGAGCCGGGCGCAATCGACGAACAGGTGTGGAGTGGTGAGGAAGCGTGAATCCAGCGTCAAGGGCGTGCTGAACCTGGATAGACGCTTCCTTAAATCTTTTCTCTCGATATTTTTCATATACAGCTCCATGATGCTTGAGAGGGTTTTCACAGCACTCAATCATCATGGTCACCAGTGGTTTGAGCTGACTCCATGTGTAACCTGAGTAGTGAACGTGGCGCTTAGTCTATTCAATTTCAGTTAGTGATTCGTTGCTCGTGATTCGCCTAAAGCCTCCAGGAGAAGAGAGAGAGAAACTTACCCATTCGCCCTTGTCCAGAATAAGCCTAGATAAGCAATGTGCACCAGCAGCCAGAAAGCTCGGAGGTGAGGCCACAAAGCGCTCATCCATGATGGTAAGCTCCAAAAAGTATTTAGCCAAAGTTCGGGTATCGATGTCGTAGTCGTCAGCCTTGCTAACACGCCGCAAGAAGCTCATCGGGCCCGGCCATCCCAGTTCAAAGCCGAGCATGCTGAGCATAAAACGCTCCGCCTTTAAAATGTCATCTCCCGTGTAACCACCGTCCACCATGTAGACAATCTCCTCTAATGAGGGGCAGTTGATCTCTTCATATTTGGACGCGACCAGGATCGCCGTAGCTCCTACTAGCTGAAGCTTCCCGATGGACACAATCTTGCTGGATAGGAACCGGTCGATGTAGTTGACAGTAAGGAAAAGAGTCTCGGGTAATAGATTGAATCGGTGGTGCACCTGTACCAACCAGTCCATAAGGACAGTCCGCATAGACCAATGGATTTCCGTTTGCATCTCCATGTAATGAGGGTTAGGGAGCATCTTAACCTGCACAGAAACAAAGATTTTCATGTTAGCATAGGTCAATGGCATAAAAAAAGTATAAATAGTGGTTCGTTTAGATTGCTCACCTCCAATTCTCTCAAATACTCAAAAATCTCTTCGCCATACTCGGCGACCATGCTGACGTCCCACAGCTCTTCGTCAACTTCTTCCGGGGTGATGGTTTGCTCAACCTCAATTCTGGCTTCTTCCAGCTCACGCTGCACACGGCTAGATACCCGCGGCGCAAGCATGGTTGTGGCATTCGCTAATGTCATATCGCGGGATCGAGTCGAGTGGGCCGTCGTATATCCCTGATCGTGGTCGTCATATCCATCGTCTTCGTCCTCGTCTTCGTCTATGTCCCAGTACTCGTCGGCTTCGGAGAATGCAAGAGTGAGACCTTCTTTATAGGTTTGAACGACCCCGATAGCGGGTTCCTCAGATATATTTGGAAGCTTGGATAACGCATCAACATAATCTTTATCGTGATTAACGTCTGCTCGTGAGGGTTCTTCGGATGGAAAGTTGAGCGGGTCCGGATATGAGTCGTGGCCGGTCAAGAAATCCTCGATCAGCGCAGGCATTACTAGTGGCTCGGTGTCGATCGGGGCGAGGCTATCCCTATTGTTGCTGTTTTTGCTGTTGCTTGAGGCTCGATCGGCCTTTTCCACTTTGCTCTGAGTTCTTCGTAAAGTTGGCAATTCCTGCTTCAGCTGTGGTTGGCTCCTATAGTGACGAGGTTGCAGCGCATGCACATCAGAGGTGGCTTGAGAAGGAGTCTTCTTTTGCATTATAGCACTGCTCTTAGCGCTGTTTTGTTGCTGTGGAATATCAACGTCGAGGTGGCAGGAGGATTGTTGCGTAGTAGTAGAGGTAGCTGCTGCAGCTAGAGTGGTTGTGGTGATGCTTGTGCTTGTGGGCTTCTTCTGCAGCGGCTCCGCACGGGGTTCGGTCGTCGTGGCCTTGGATTTGTTGTTCGCCATTGCTGCGGGTCGCTGTGCAGGGCGAGAGAAAGAATCTTTGGTAGGCCTTACCACGTTTTCCTTATTCAGAAAAGACGAGGGCGCATGATTCGACGACACCCCAAGAGACTTCTTTGCGGCTTGAGCCTCCTCACCACGACCTCCAATAGCCTTGGACACGTTTGTCACATCGCCAAAGGCAGCACGTCTCGCAGGGCCCTTGAATCCAGCTGCGGGGACGGACGGAGCGCTGCTGATATTTCCCATTGATTTCTGCCGCTGGTGAAGAAATTGTTGGGCGTTCTCGCCGCGCGGTCGAAAAGGCTAGACAGAAGATTGTTAGGTTAGCTTCAGAACGATTTGAACCAAGAACAAAGAATATAGGAACCAAGGGGAAAGGCGGGAGACGGCGATTTGAAGCCAACGTGTCAAGCGAAAAGGGCCGCTATCTCATCTTCCAACATACCCGTGCGTCCATGACGATAGATTCCCGGCTTGGCCTTGCGTCAGGTCTTTAAAGATAAAAAATCACTGCTTCGGTAAAATGCGCGAATAAAAGCCTATGCGAATCAAGCCTTGAGCAACGCAGCCTCCGTCTGATTTCGGAGGAGTCCGCGTCGAGATATCATACAACAGAGGTTTGCGTTACGCGGCGTCCAGCACTGTCCGTAGCTCCGGGGTCGCTATTCGGGGACGATGGAGTCTCGAAGATTATCAAAAATAAATTAGGCGGCGACGCCAAATCACGTCTAATGGGGACCCTGGGACCGCAGCCGTGGCTATTTTTGACCATACAGTGACGGGGGACGAAAGACGAGAGAAAGGGGGCGGGTTGGCGAGTAGGCGAGTAGGTACTTTCTCACAGATGGAGACAAAAAAGACAATGTGGATTTGGCGAAGAAGAAGCGCCCCTCCCAGCCGGAAAGATGCTGCTCTCGACTTTTGGCCCTGGTCTGGCGGATTTCCAATTCCCCTCAGCTGCGGAAGCAGGCGCAAGGTGGAAATTGGCGACAGTGACAAGGACAGGGAGCATGCGCCGGTGAAGCTGCAAAAAACGATGCGCCACCAGCAAGAAGTCGTCGATACGGGCTGCTGCAGGGTTGGAGGTTGGGAAGCTGCCTGGGGGCTTGGACTTCGGTGGTCTGACTTTAACCAGCCGGCGGCCTGTGATGAGCCGGCCTGGACGCTGTATTTTGCAATGTTTATTTGTTTATACCCCAAGCGCCGCAGACGCTTTAGCGCAGGAAGCCGTTGGCGGGAGCTGCTCAGAGCTGCCGCGGGTTTTGGGGGTGCGGTATGTGCGCACGGGCCATCATGCGAACCGGTCGCGCAATTTACGCTGTCGTCCCGGAGATGACGATATTCCGGGGGTTGCCCATAGCAGAGGGAGACGTACCGCCGGCCCGCTAGTCTGCTTTCGGACGCCAGATGTTCTTGTCGCGTCTCACTTGCGATGGCGAAAAATCGCAGAGTTTCACATTTGCGCATCTACAGCAGCACAACGAGGCGGTGATGGCATCTGGACGGCGTTAATACCTGCAGCATGATGTTGCGATACGGGTTTCGACTTGCTCTCGGCCAATGCGCCTCCCAGGCTTCATATTACAGCCGGCGCATTCTGGCGCCGTCGACGCGTTAGGGCTCTTCTGCGAGGCTGCGCCAGACAGACACGTTCTCACGTGACATTGCGCTGCCACTTAAGCTGCTGCCCTTTGCTTCTCCGCACTGAACCGATTTGAAACCGACACACATGGCGAGGGAGGAGAGGCGATTGAATGCGAGGAAGAAATGAATAGACGCCTGCGTTGGGACGTCTCCCCAACGGCTGAGACACTCTGTCCTGGGGCAGTACGGTCGGTCTTTCGAATTGGTCAATTGCGACGAACCAGTGCCCTGTAAGCTCGGGCAGTTAAAGTGTAAGCTACTGGCTACTAATAGACGATAGTCGCTCCGGTCAGGCCGCTTTGTCGTCCATTTGTCGCAAAACCAATGCGGGCGACCTGCTGCAGACTGTGCCCTGAAGATCGATGAAACATCGCCAGATGCGGTGGATTGTGATGAGCAGGGAGGGGCGACGGTGTATCTGGATCAAGCGATTGTTTTGAGAAATTCGCGAAAGCCATGGAATCGGCATTGTGAAGATATCCTCACGCCCCTTCTTTCCAAAATGGCACTAGCAAGCCTAGCTGAGCATCGCTATCCCACCTCAGCCACGATTTCTCTGTTCAGAATTCTTTGCGATTACAATGTTGCGTGTTGCGGCTTCGAATCGAGCTGTGTGTTGGTGTGTCGATGCGCCCGGCGCTACGCCCTCCAGGCGACCAGACTGGATAGCCAGATGCGGACAAAGACCATGTCTCTTGTTGTGAATCAGCCAGTCGCTTCGCAACCAAGAACAGTAACATCAAGAAGCCTATGCTAGGATCTGCCTCTACTGTTGCTGCGCAAATTCCAAGCCCGGGTCACTCAAGTGAGCGAATTTGTGCGGGTTTTATAATATGATATCATAATCTTACTCATTAAACATGGCATTGCCACCGCAAAGAATATCTTGCTCCATACTTTGACGTTGTACAACAATTCTGAGAAAAGCAATGGCAGCCACATGGACCGCATTATAATTTACGGCCATCATAATAGGTTTTGATATCCGTCGCGCACATGTCACCATCAATTACTACGTATCTTCTACGTTCCCATATAGTCACTTGGTCAATTTTCCATGCAGCGGAATTCAAGCAAGCCAGCCCTGGGTCAACGAGCGCAATTGCGCGTTGTGCGTGCCGATCCGGCCGCATATGGCTGGGCCTTTTAATCCGTTTCAAAGTAATTCTAGCGTCAGCTAGCACCACACTGTTCTCTCGATTCTGGATTCTGGCAGGTCATGTTAGGGTATGATCGTGTAGATGTCGAAACGGCTCTACTGTGTGCACTGGGCAAACAGCAAACTCTGCTACAGAATCTAGCCTCGGAAGGCGCATATTGCGGCAGCACAGGAAGCTCGCCGGTGCCACGCCGCATGTGTGCTCCGTATAGACGTTGTAGAATCAGGAGATTGAAGAAGGGTGCCTCGTAAAAGCCGGCCTCGAAAGGTGAGTGAGTGCATGGCAGCAGCGAGATCCGCAATTCGTTGGGCCTAAAAGCACCAAGCAGAAGCCCCTCGTCTCATCATCACTTGCATGGCCAAAACAATAACAACGCACTCGAGTCCACACCGCGCACTTGTTGTTTTGCAGGGCGGCATTTCATTGGAAGGCCGGATTACGTCTACTGTCCAGTCTGGGGCCCAAATGCAGGCGATCATAAACTTTGGCCACTTGCCGCAAGGCACACACACAGGAGAGGAAAACGGGGCCCTATGAGCCGTCGATGGCTGGGCGGTCCTATCGCCATGGCCATTGTTGATCCTAGGGAGCCACAGTTCTGGCGCTGATTCGGCACGCATCTTGTCCACCCAACTGGTGTATCCACAAAGCCTCTCAGCACATGCATCAAGGCTCGCGCGGGGGGGACAAAGCGGTGACGAGCTGCGACTCAGAAAACGCTCCAAGGGCGACTCTCGCTTGTCGTATACCGTGCAAGTTTTATGCGGCGCTCGCCCTAGACCAAGCCAGGCGTTGCTAGCTCTATGGAAGTGCACTCGACCCCTGCTCCCTCAACATATCTACCAGCACATGCTATAGGTTACCCCTTTAGTCGCTTGGGCGAGAGAAGGTTGAAAAAAAGAGAGACAGAGAGAGAGAAAGAGAGGGCTGGAGGTGGAAGCAAAAATAGCACAAGTAGGCCTTGGTGAGATAATCATGCGCTGGATGCAGAATGTTCCCAACGCGGACACCCGCGTGCTGCCCGACCTCAATGCCTACCCAACGAGTAGCCTCAGCATACGCGGACGCCTCACAGACCAGTGAAGCGTTGGAACCCTCTTCTGACTGGACATTGAAACCGGGGGACCCATACAATGGATATGGCCTGCAACTTAGCGGGAAGCACAGCTTGTGCAACAGGAACAGCTGGATTGGACATCGCTGTCCAACCTTTTCGTTTCTTTTTCTGCTAGAGAAGCCAAAAAAAGAGTCTCAAAGCAGTAAGAGCCGAGGAGGGGAAACGGGGGCGAAACGAAGAAGGGGGGAAAAAAAAAGAAAAGAATTAAGAAACCTGAATAAAAAGGGATAGAGTCAGTTAGCGGCCTGGCAATAGCCAAGCCACGCATAAACAGTGTCGCGACTTGCGCTTTTCCCAGCAGCCGCAGCTCCAACCAGAGGCTGACGATTAACAGCCCATGACGGTAGGATAAAGCAAACATTGGATTACTACTCAGCTTCCCCTCCTCTGCCCACTTGAGAGAGTTTGGGCCGATCTTGCAACAACGGGAGAGGGGCTGTCAGGCACACCCTCAGTGTCGAATCTCGGGATGCTGGGAATGGATTCCAGCATGAACGACATGCGTTGATGGGCGAGCCTTCACAAGGTGTGAGGGGATTGAACATCCAGATGCGGCAAGGGACAGTAGCTGTACTCTATCAAAGGGAATTCGATGCTCCGCGTTGCAAAGCTGAAGCCCGGTGCTTTGACTCACCGAGCGTCGTTCTCGATCTTTCTGATGCTAGCAGGATCGAACGGTGCCGAGCCCCCGGCAGAGCACTGCCTAATCAAGACCACGACCCCAGTCCAGATTCAATGGACACGCAGCAGGCAGTCGTGCTTGTATGAATCACCCACCAGGGCATGATGAGCTCCGCCTTGGTTCTCCTCCTCTCGATAACCTTCCCGCCATGCGTTGCTGGTGGTCCTCGCCCAGTCACTCACTGGCTGTTGACGGCTTCGTCCTGCGACCCTCTGCCTGGCCCTTTGCCGCTACCGCCTCAGAGTTGCGATCCCCACCTCTGCCTGCTTAGCCCACACACCTGCGCTTGTTCTTGTTGCTCAGGATCCCTGCAGGAGGAAAACGGGCGCCTCTGCGCCGGTCCTCTGGTGCGGCGCCATTGGCCCTCAGCAGTCCTCGGGAATTAATAAGAAACACAAAGCATGGAGGACGGGAGCAGGATACAGTAGGCAAATTCAGTGCTCCAAGCTGTCACCCCTTTCGCCTGCCGAAGCCGCCACAGAAGAGTGCTTGGAGGCCATGGCAGAGTCGACAATCCAGCTATATAGCTGTATCTCGCTATCTTCTCTTTACCAGCTCAAGCACATGGACTTTTTTTTTCTGCACTTCCATCATGAGTAGCGGCAGGCAAGGGGGGGACTTACAGTCTGAGATTGCTGCATCAAACCAAACGCTTTGATGCTGGGCGTGCCGCCTAGCAGCCCACGGTCGTCGGAATGTGCTTCGCGGAGCCTGGGTCCCCTGGCCCATTTCCTGTATGTTTGTTTGTCTGCCAGCGTGTGGTGCGGAGAGGGTGGCGGATCAATCAATCAATCGCAATTCAATCAGCGCCAGGCCGCATGGAGGCACGTCTGCACGCCCAGCGAGCGTCCTGCTTGCTGGCTGTAGCTTGATGGCGCATGCCATCCATGGCCATCCACGTCCCATATACGGAGTGCGACGTACAGACCCTAGACACACAGACGACTGATACTCCGTATGAAGCCGTAGGATTGCTGCTAGTCGCGTGTACTGAGGCAATAGACTACATGTACTCCGTAGCGCCCACAGTCCTTCGTAACCCGTTGCTGCTCGCGCTCGACGCTCACTCGCCAGCCCAGGCTCTCCTCTGCATGTCAGTTGCCGGCCACATCTTGGGATCGCAGGCGAGGAGGGGCTGGTGGCGTCGCCTTCGCTGGCAGACTGGCCGGTCCGGGTGGGCCCCTCTGGTTGAGTTTGACAACGAATAACTCCATAATTATAGATGATGCTACTACGGAGTCGTCGTAGCGAAAATGGCCGACGGGGTCACCAGACTAGGGACTGATGAGTTGGTGACGGGTCAAACGGGCCAAACGAGCGGTCTCTGCACCCTATGCCTGTTCTGGCCCTCTTTGCCATCGCCTCTGCGCCGTCTTCTCTCCTTTGAATTGAGGGACCCTCTCACGGCATGGGACAGCTGCAGTCTGTATGTGCGCCTATGTATGTACGGGTACAGTACATGTAGGCTTGTCTCGTAATGGCAACGGCAATGGCGAGTCTGCGCCCACATCTGTGCGTACTGTGCAGCAAAGGACAGCGAGGAAAAGTGACCATCGATATGTATGCTGCCCTATTTATCTGCTGTGGTGCCTGACGCAGGATGAGGGCTTGGAGATGCCGTCGTGCCATAGGCCGGTTGGCAGGCTGGACTTTGTGCCCGCAGGAGATGAAGGCATTGACATTGTCTAATTTCTGTCTAGAGAGGCTCGGCGCCGTTGATTGCGACTAGACATCCAGCTCTGGACGATCAATCCAGTGCCGGTGCGGTTCAGTCAGTAATATTTGACAGACCCTGTAGAGTGTAACCTTTGTAGCGTGATCCTCGTAGAGTGCGCAACGTGAGGGCAAGGCCGAGTCGACGCTGGGCTTTGATTTACTGTAGTGGAAGCAGCTGTCTATCATTCGCTGACTCTCAAGGTTCGACGTTGTTTGCGCCGTAAGAGCGCGGGATGGCCTGGCATGGCGACTGCGGCCCAAACTGCTTGCAGCCTTTCCTTTTTTTTCTCTCCCCCTCGTTTGGGGGGCTATTGTTTGGCAATTAAATAGCAATGGGAGGTCAGATCATCGTAAATCTTGAAAGAAAGAGAAACGAAGCGCCAAAGTCGATCAAAGCGCAACGGATGAAACAAGAAGCCTGGACGAATGCGACTTGAGGCGGCTACCGGTCTAATCGACCACCTGCGACAGCTAGACGCCGGAATTTCAGGGCCCTGACAGCTCTACTCAGGTCCACGCAGCCTTCTAGAGCGCCACCGCAAAGTCCAGCTCCAGCGCTCGTCTCGGCACGTTACAGGCGCTGTAGGGCCAGTTCCAGGAAGCGACGACAGCCTGAGCCGCCTGGACGTTGGACGTTCGGGAGCATTCGTGTTAGTGAACCCAGCCGACAGCGACAAAATCGTTCGACCTCGCCTAGCAGCTCCTCTTTTCTCCATGCACACATTCTACCAACTTCGCCTCCAGCAACAGCTTTGCAGACTACTCCTGATCTTTCTGGTGAGTTTCATCGACTCTATCATTAAGCGCGATCAAGCTTTTGCCTTGAATCTGGCCTCCCCATCCGCCCCGTCCCTTGGACTCGCGCCCCAGCCTGCCCCCCGTCTGCGTCTGGCCCAGCGCCTTTGTTCACACAAGCTTTTTCCAACCCGCCCCGTCTGGAGGCTTCGCGACTCTCATCACATCCCATTTGCAACCTTGTGCGAAGCACATCGAGACTGTTCGCGGCTAATCACTCTGAATCGTCTTTCAGATACCGTACAGAACGCGGCCCTTGCCAAATCTCGTCGCCGCCGCCGAACCCGCCGCCGCGCCAACCAGGAGCTGAACCAAGAAGCAGGCGCTTACCGCACAGCCTGGATGGTGATGAACTTTTGAGATTGCCTCATCATTCATCGTCGTCTGGAAGCGGAAGAGCCCATTTCGACACCCGGGCGTCGGCCAGTGATGAAATTATCGGCCATCCCGCAAAGCGATACTTTTGTCTGAAGCTGCCGGCTTTGTCCACCCTACGCAAAATCCGCACCCGAGGACCCCAACCCTCAAAGCCCTCTGCCCCCAAGCTCTCTTCACGAGATCGATCGCCATCGTCCTCCCATCCGATCCGACATCAAATAAAACATCAAGACATACAGAAAAATGCATTCATTATCCCCCATAAACACCTCAGGCGGCATGTCCGCAGCGTCGTCAAATGGCGGTAGTGTCTCGCCCCGTCAGGCGCCCACCCCCAAGAACGTCGCATTTGAGCTGCTGTTCCTTGAATCGCCTCAATACCGTGCGCGCTTGCCCATGCGAGTGCAAATTTATCCTCATGACACCACGGACTCGATTGTTACAACCGTCAAGAACTTCTACGGCTTGTATTCGGGTCCGACCGGGTCAAAAGGCGTCAGCTTTGAGGACGAACTCGGCAACACCCTGATTGCGCGATATGAAAATTTCCGCAACAACATGATTGTGTATGTTCGAGTGATTGAAGAAGCGCCCATGGCTGCTCTGGAATCACATCACTATCGAAGCCTTCATATGGGCGCCGATTCCTACTATGGGGGTGAAGGATATGCTCTCCCTCAGCGCTTCGGCCCTGAGATGGCCCAGTCACCTCAAAGACGGAGTCCCTCGCCTTATGCGTCGCGGGGACGAAGAAGTGACTCTACCAGCACCAAGGGTCGCTCTCGGTCTACCAAGAGCCGGGCCCTTCACAATCATGCCGATGCCTACGCTGACAGCACGAACGGCTACAGCAGCGGTGATGGCGGCGCCCCAAGCACTACGTCCGCCAGGACCAAGGAGCAGCTTGGGACAACCGACATTAGTGTTGAGAACATTGTCGAGGGTGGCCGACGAAAGAGGGCCAAATTCGAGAGCTCTGTAAGCGCGGCGCATCATCAGTTCGATGTTTTGCTGGCTATTTGCTAATTTTTCATTTCTCTCACTTGCAGGAACTGCCATTATTCGCACCGCCTCAGATGCCCGCCGCTACTTCGAACCCATCCGTATCGCCCGCCCGTCGAGCCGATCATCACAGACACTCTATCTCTTATATACAAACTGGCCAGAACCCGTTTATAAACCCACGCCCGCTTCACTCTCCGCAAAGTTATGGTAGTGGGCATGGGCAGATGAACATGTACTCTACCCCTGTTGCCAGCGACCGCCGCGGTCGGGGTAGCATCTCCTATGGCAGCCACGGCATGGCTCATGGCATGGGCATCCTCCCAACTCCCGACCCCACTGTCGGAAGCTGCATGTCAGAAGAAGACAAGGATGTCGCCATTCAGCTCATGCGACTGGGTGAGATGTCCAACATTTCTCACGGTCGGACATCCGCATCAACTTTGGACGATACATTTAGCGGTCGAGCGGACGCCGCATCCTCCACTGGCGCCACTAGTGAAGGCGAAAGCGACAGTGACGTTGAGCTCCCGCTATCTCGCCGCCAAAAGCCGAATTCGAATGGAATATCCAAGCAGATCTACCAGACTACCGAATCGCACTTCATGCCGCCCATTGATAGTGCCGAAGCTAGCGGTGAAGACGCCGACTACGAGGATGGTTCAGACATTCGGGCCAAGCCGGCTCAAAACAAGTCGACAAAGAACAAGTCGACTCCGACTACCGCACCCAAGGCGGTGTCTTCAAAAGTCAAAGCACCACGTGCTATCAATGGCAACAAGACCAAGAAGCCGGTCGTTGTCCCCGTGTCTAACGGCCCCATCTCCCCGGCAGCTTCCAGCACTCATTCCAGGAAGCAGTCGGTGGTGTCTATTGGACATGTGGCTCAAGCAGGCGAGGAAGATCAGCCTGATCTCTCCACCAAGCCGCGCTGCCAGCGCTGCAGGAAAAGCAAGAAGGGTTGTGATCGCCAACGACCTTGTGGCCGCTGCCGCGACGCTGGCCTCTCAGCAGACCAATGCATCAGCGAAGATGAAGGCAACGGCCGGAAAGGCCGCTATGGGCGCCACATGGGAGTGCCACTGAAGAAGGACGAGATTGCGCTTGCATCCCAGCCCGCTCTTTTGCCCGCCGCGCCCATTGCTGCCAATACAATGACCACTGACAAGGCTAAAAAGCGCAAGCGGTAGAGAACAATTGGCTTTGTTTTCCTGCGCGCCGGATGTTGTATGATGTATCAGTTTAGACGCAAAAAGAAGGGGGGTCTCTCTTTTTTTTTCTTTTTTTCCAATTCTGATCTTCAACCTTTGTGTATCATTGTTGCTGGGGTTATTGCGGTCCCTACAGACTTATCTCGCATTCACATACCCTTGTCTACCATCCACATACATGGATAGGAGGCGGGCATGCAGCCTTGTTTTGATTTTTCCAGAGCAATCTTCATTTTCTCACTTGATGCTATTATGAAGACGTAATTACGACGGCCAATGCAGGGCCATTACACTCCTTCGTGGCGTTTGGGGTGTGTATCAGGTGTCACTTGTTTGTTTTCTACCTTTTTTTTTTTTTTTTTTTTTTTTTTTTTTTTTTTTTTTTTTTTTTTTTTTTTTTTTTTTTTTTNTTTTTTTTTTTTTTTTTTTTTTTTTTTTTTTTTTTCATTTCCTTTTCGCTATTTCGTTCCTTTTGCCTCTTTTTTTCTTTACATATGCTTTTTTTTTTGTTATCTTGGTCATCGTCAAGCTGCACAAGGAGACAGCGACATCAACAACAGAAGGGCAACACACATCCGCAACCAAACTCTGCAGCTTGTGTGCGTAACTGATACCACCACTGATGGAGACAAAAGGTTGACGATGGATAAGATGGGGTTATAAAAAAAGGGGGGCGGCCGTGGCTGGCGAGCTTTGGAAATTGCCTCGCCAGCAAAAAAAGGTTAGAACTGAGAGAGGCGGTAGGAAGGGCACGTTCAATTTTTTCCTTTTCATGTTTCTCATTTTCTTTATTTTCCTCATTCTATGTCTAAAGTAAGAAGGCTTGGTCGGGTTCATGGTGGCACAAAAAAATATTTGCCGGTTGGAGCGCTCGTCTTTGGTGTTATTACAACTGTCTAGTTTCTTGACAAAGGGACGGGTGGTGAGGGAAGGGGAGGTGGTCTCTTTTTTCTTGTTTTTTTTTTTTTCCTTTTTTCATAGTTTTCCCCTTTTCCTTGTTTGCAAAATTTCCTATTTTTTGTTGCGCCGAATTTCAGCGATTCGTGGTCGGTAGTTTGCGGGTTTTTTCCTATCTTTTGGCTGTTTATTCATCGTTGAGATTCTGGCACAGCTCAAGTTATTCCTGTTTCTGGAAGGAGGGGTGGTGGGCCTTTGGAAGGGACAAAGTGGTCATAAGAGAGAAAGAAAAGAGGCGCCATTGCGCGTTAAATATACGTCGACATTGTTTTTATACACTTGCCATTCAAAATTGTAGAGCGATGAAGTGACAACCACCGCCTGCAATGGCGTATGCGCCTCAACAGTGAGGAGAGCACAGAAGAGCGCGACAGCTTAGGACAGCTTATCTGTCCATTTTCCGCTCTAAAAAAGGCGATCCCCGAGCCGCTAGGAGCGTTTGGCCCGATGTTAGCTTCATCGCAGCGTCGCAGAGATGGAACGGTCCCGAGGCGCGCTGTCCCGCCCTGCAGCCTGCAAGCAGAAAGCACCCGTCCCCAGCGCGAGTTTCTGGCCCTCAAATCTCCGCTGCCTCTCACTAAGCGCATGTATCCCTCTTCACGCACACACAAGAAGCCCTTTTCTCGCGGAAAGTGGCAGATGTAGTCAAACTTGACTCGTTGCGCTAATCCCCATATAACCTAGCGTCCTAGCGGGCCGGCACAAGCCGGGCGCGCAAGGATTTTAGGATCAGGGGGTTCAACAGCCGATTGGTCCCGATGCCTGGTGGTCATGTGACTTTGCACGAGAAAGAATAACAATAGGGGGGAACTTTTTGTTTTGACTTTCTGCTACTTTTCCTATTTGTTATCAGGATTGGCGTTTTTCGTGGAAAGTATGTTTTAAGAATTCGTTTACGTCATTGATGTATTTATTTTTTTCCCTCTGTTACCCCGCGGAATGGAGGGGTTGAATACAGGCAAGGGATTGAGAATAAAAGGGAGAAAAAAACGGTCGATGAGACAGCAACACAAAAAGTATACACAAGTCCAAAAATAGATGCACGTTTTAAAGGAGTCGTTTGTTATGATTGAAGAAATGGTTAATTGAAGTTGCGCTGCGTTTTCTTTTTCTTCCCCTTTTTCCCTTCTACCTTTAAGCTCAATCATCTGCCCGGTATTCAATTCACGGCACAAATTAAAAGCGATGCATTAATACGGAGCGCCTGCCCCGTTGTCGGCTTACCTAAGTCTCCATCCGATGTTTTCCCTCCAGCGATGTTACGTACAGATTACATTTTCGTTGCCTCTTGTACCCGAAAGCGGAACTTTGTTTTTTTCCAATCGGAAGCGGTGAGGAGAGCTACTTAGTCGGAAGAGGGGAGGATTCGAGAACATAAAGTACTACTAATTAGATTAAAAAATTGGTCAGTCGCCGACTTTTTGGTCGGGTGTGGGGCTCCGGGCCGGACATCGGAGCGGGGGAGAGGGGCTGGGAATAAGCAGCGAGAATAACGTTGGAAGAAAACTTACCCTATATGGTATGCGGTAGGATATGCGGTATGGGAGACGCTGGAGATGCCGCAACCTAGTGCGGAGTAATCCGGGGTATTTATTTATTGTTTTGTTTTGCTTATATTGTTTATTTTTCTTGGATGAAACGTTCATGTAGACACATCGGGTGTTGTTGAGTTTTTCCCTTCTTCATTGGTTGCATATTGTGTACTTTGATGAAGCTCAAAAGCTGGAATGTGGCACAACTTACATCGGAACAATTTGACAAGGATGGCTTTTCAACCACATTTGCCGGAACCTTCTTATCTCAATAGCCGACACAATTAACCAATCTCATCAAAGGCCCATTACAACATTGCAACGCTGGTAAATGAAACAACCTCATCGACCTGCCTCAAATCCTACCAAGCACAATCTGTCAACCCCTTACACATAACACCACACAGCCATCTCGGAACTTTTGCCCTGTTCGCGTCCAGCTGAGCAACCCGTGCATCCGGATTCGGTGAAAGATACTCCGTTTTTTTTTTTTTAATAATTCTAGGTACTAGCCCCAATCCCGCATTACCGACTCGGCTTCTGCCCGTCTAAACAAGGGCTCCACACAAGGGCGTAAATGCACATCATTACGGCATATCCAAAGACTTGCCTTTACTATTCAACCTTTTTTTCGCTGCTGACTTTATTGGGAAAAAAAAAAAAAGATACGATAGTACCGAAATAATCCTAGTGGGCTGGCGATATCGGGGCCGGGAGCCCCGAATTACGGAATGGTGACTGGGGCCCTTGCGGCTTACTGCTGGCAGCTTGATAAAATGCCTGACAGAAGGCAGTATAAATATATTGATGGTGGGATGCGAGGAAAGTTAAACCTCGTTTGGTGGGACCTGGTTTTGAGTAGTATCGTGGCCTGCAATGGTTTCTTTAATCTCCCTGTTCCCTGTTAAATTGACGAGTTCTATAATATAATATTTTGTTTGACTAGTTGACTGATACCTCCATTTCTCCCCTCTCACTCTCTCGGCCCCTACCACCCCCCTTCTTCTTCCCCCCCATTTGTTTCCATTCACAATGACATTACAAGATGATGAAAAGCATGCTTCATCCAATGGAGCTGTGACCGTCCAAGAAGCTAGTGTCCTGGGTGATACAACTCCTAACAGCAACAACTCCTCACCACCCCCTATCCTCACCACCGCTCAAGACATTGAGATAGGAGAAGCAGAGAAAGATTATGGACCTCCGCCAGACGGCGGTCTCACAGCATGGCTTCAAGTCCTCGCCACGCACCTCATCAATGCCATGACATGGGGCTACGCCGCAGCCTTCGGCGTCTATCAGCTTTACTATGTTGAGACTCTCGGGCTTCCCGCCTCACAAGTTTCATGGATTGGTTCTGTCCAGATCTTCTTCACCTACGCCATCTGCGCCGTGTCTGGGCGGCTTGCCGACGCAGGCTATACTCGCGTTACTGTCGCGGTAGGCACATTCTTGGCTGTGTTTGGCACTTTCATGACGAGCCTCGCCAAGACGTACTGGCAAATCTTTCTCGCCCAAGCCGTGTGCATCGGCATTGGACTCGGTGTGACGTTTATGCCCGCTATTTCTATCCTGAGCTCGTACTTTGAGAAAAACAGGGCCTTTGCTCTCGCCGTCTCGGCGGTTGGCACATCAGTTGGCAGCGTGTCGTTTCCCGCCATGATACAACATTTGACGGCTAGGATCGGATTCCCTTGGGCAGTCCGATGTGCGGGTTTCCTTGCCCTGGCCATGGCTGTTGTTGCCAATGTGTTGCTAAAGCCCAGATTGCCGCCTCGCAAATCGGGGCCCCTTTTGGAACTCAAGGCATTTTCAGAGCTGCCCTACCTTTTGTTCTCCATGGCTGCGTTTGTATACTTTTATGCTCTCTACTTTGTCTTCTTCTATGTACGTAAGCGCAATAGTATCAGGCGTGTGTTCCTTGTTGTCTCGCTCTGTGAAGAAGAAAAAAGTCATTGTGAAGTTGAAGAACGCGAAAAGAAGCTTAAAAAAATTATCGTCGTTAACCCTTTTTCTAGATTAACAGTTACGCCCGTAACATCATTGGCTTTTCAAACAGTGATTCCATCAATCTGCTCATCATCACGAATGCCATGGGCATCCCGATGCGGCCGATTGCAGGCTTCATTGCAGACAGATGGACTGGGCCAATCAACCTCTTCATCGCCGCCCTCACGGTGGTGTTCGCCGTACTGTACTCCTGGACCGGAGTCACAACCCGAACTGGCATGTACGTCTTTAGCGTCGTCTACGGCTTATCAATCGGCGCGAACCAGGGCCTGTTTGTTGCGTCCCTGACGAGCTTGACCAAAGACCCGCAGAAGATGGGTGTGAGGTTTGGCATGGTGGAAACACTCAGTGCGCTGGCAACGGTGGCCGGGGCCCCAACAGCAGGTGCCATTATCGACCACGACCATGGAAACTATTTTTGGGCACAGATATGGGGAGGGACTGTGATGGCTGCGGCAACCGTCATTTTTGTATCATGTCGTATCTCTGTAACTGGATGGAGGTTCTGGGCCAAGGTCTAGCCAGCCAGCAGCCGAGCTGTTGGTAAGAGCAGTCAACTAAAAACTAAAAAGGGGATCTGAGGGCTAGCTATGGAGCAGAAATCGAATCACGAGGAGAGACCAAAAGTATAGATGCCGATATCGGAACATGATTCACTAAGGAATCATGTTCTCAGGTAGTGGTAGTAGTAATAATGACGATTTTAATCAACCAGGCAATTTTCCTTCCCACTTGGTGCTGTGTGCTGTGTGCTGTGTATTCTGATGCTCAAGGCTGTTGCAGCTTTGCCATGGCCTTTGCTACAAGTGCCGCAACTTGTGTGCCCTCTCTCCATATATCGTCGTGTTCAAGGTGGAGGTCCCTGATGGCTATCGGTGTGATGCCGTCTCTGATGAGCCTGGCTTCCATAACGTCGAGCTCTGGCATGTCGATCAAGGTATCTTCTGCAGAGTTTGCCAAGATGATGAGACGAGATCCGTCTCCCCAGACGTCCTTGAAATTTCCAGCAAATGTTGCCGGAGACACTGCGTCCCAAACATGCTTGTCTGGACCAAAAACGCCGGTCGTGAACTCTTCGTAAACCCCGCCGTGTCTGGCGACCATGCCTCTCAAATCGTGGATGCCAGATATGCTGATGAGAGCTGCTGGTAGTGGCACTGCTGGGGCCCAGCCACAGGATGCGTCACTGTTCATGATGACCTGGTGAACGAGCGAGCCGCCGGCTGAGTGGCCAATGAGCACGTAGTTGTTGCCAATGGCATACTCTGCATCGAGAAACCTCAGCGCGGAGATGACGTCCCGGATATGGTCCGGGTGACGGGCGTTGTGCAACTCATTCGCCGGCGTTGAAGCGGGATCCTGGGGAAACAGCGGGTGCGGAGACAGGCGGTAATCAAGGCTGGCAAAGCCCCGAATGGCGGATTTGGGCAGATCTTCCAGCGAGACCATATGCTTGATGGGTGGCACAAAGTCGTCGATAGTGTTTCTGGGGTCTCGCCACGCGCCCCCATGGACGAAGCTGTTACACGCACAAGGTTAGAGTTAAGGCTCTGAGGGAGCCAGGGTGGGAGTCGGAGTCGTACATTATCCAATAAGCTGACGCCGGAGCAGGCGCTTCGTGTGCGTCACCATCGCCATCGAACTGCCAGACGGCGACTCGCTGGAGGGTATGATCGCCATATTGGTGACTGGTGTAGTTGAGACCAGGGATGTCTGCAGAGCTCATCGTGGCTTTCGCTGCTTGATGCGGGGGATATTGGGTGAAGGTTTCAGAGCCTAGAGGCAGGTATTGCCTGGTAGGGTAGGGTAGGTACTACTAGGTACTTCGTACTTGCTAGGCTACCTTACTGTAGGGGTGGTAGATACACAGAAGTTAGGCGGGGGTGTGATACGAAGTGCGAGTATGTACCTATACGAGAAACGCGGGCTTTTTTTCTTTTCTTCTCTTTCTTTTGGTTGATCGAAGCTATGTACGGGCCTCTTGATGCTTACTGTAGAGGCTATAGCGAACGAGGAGGGTCCAAGAGCAGGGATAAGTGCCGAAGGCGGTACTTCGCAGAGATGGCAGAAATGAGGTTATGCGCAATGACCATTTTCAGCTCAGCCGTCCTGGCAATTGAATCAGAGGGCATTTCCGGCGGGCGATCTATTGAGAGGAAATACGGGGTAGCGAGTCGCTAGCGGCTTCGAGAACGAGCCTAGCGAGATGCTAGCAATTCTTGGGTAATGGGAGTCAACTGGAGTTGCTTCTGCAGTGCTGCCAACAGGCCTTCTGGTAGGTGGCACCGAGTCCTTCAGTGGCCTTTGGTGGGGGCTCTCTCCACTATTCATTGTCGAATGCTTGGTAAGGAAGCCTAATCGCAGAGGGGTCATGCGGGTGATTCGGAAGGTGAGAAGCGAGAGGTGCAGCAAAGTAAAATTAAGTCAAAGCAGAATGGGAATAGGGGCGGCGCACGGCTGAATAAGGGGTCCGAAGTGCTGCTTGCATCGCTGCCAGTAGTGCACAGAGTAGTTGGCAATAATGCTGTGATTTCATTCTGGGCGGACACGCTGCATTCCGCGCTCAATCTCGCGTGGCTGGCTGTGTTGCCACTAATCAGCACAATAGCTGGATGAATACAAGAAGTGGCGGGTGCCGCCACCGAAACCAGCGTCAGGGCAGCCAACAGTGGCTTGACTCGGTGATGAAATTGGCGAGTCTAGTTTTTTCCCTCTCTTCAATTAGCTCGGAGCCAAGCTTTTCGACACAGTGCCCGCGGCAGGCCAGCACTGTAGCACAGCCCAGGCTCTGAAAATAGAGAGCCAATAGGGTGCTGTATCGCTAAGAATATTGCGGTTCTGGTACATACTGTACATGTCATATCAGCGGGGTCATCCTTCTCTCGTTATATATCGTGAGGCGCTGATCATTTGGCGAGCTGATGTTTTGTGTCGGTGAGATCGCCATTGCTTCTATGTAGGTAATACATATTACCATTTCTGCCTGTGAGCGCTTCGCCTTCTTTGATGCTCTAGGATTGAATGAAGTGGTATATGCCTGTATGCGTGCGAAGAAAATCAATCAACCCAAACGAGGCCCGTATTCTCCTCCTCTCCGCCTCGGTAGCATTCTGAAATCACGCAAAACGGCAGATGTGAGACAGCAAGGATGAAACACAGCACGGGCTTTGTTCGCTGCACAATGTCTCAGCCTCGGCCCAGACCCGTCTCATTGAGACCCTGTAGCTGCATATACGTCTATATACGCCTTTACTCGCACTTTGTGACCAACGGCGGAGCGAGAAGAGAGGAGGCAAAGTCAATTGTCCGCTAGTGACATGTCAGTGGTAAGCAATATAAGCATGCTGTAGAAGTTTATGCCAACACGAAGATCTATTATTGGCGTCTGTGGCGACCAAGTCTCCAATATCAAGCACTTGCAAGGCTCTTGTTATAACCACGAGGGAGTGAGATAGATAGTGGAAGCTTCCTTCACGCTTCCTCTAGAGGGCTTGGAGAGTGTTCTGTTGCGCTTAGTAGATTGGCGTCACAAACATGTGTAGCCTCGATGGGGTTTCACTTTGCAGCAGAATATTTCTCAAGTCTGCGGACTCTTTTCTCCTCATGATGAGGAGGCGGATGCAGCCTCTCGAGCTCCGCGCTAATAAGAGCAGTCCTATGTACAATACGAACAAACGAACCACACCACTATTACCAATCGCAATGCGCTGATCTTTTCTCAGCCCAACTACCATCTTGGCCCTCGGCAACTTCTTATTGCGGTAATGGTGTGTCATAACCTACCTGGCTCTTTGTGTGTATGTTGCAGCACTACCCAAGTACATACGAGAATCATACAGATATATACTAGCCATGCATGTTAGCTGTCATGATGGATGAGTACTAGGTAGTATCAACTTCAATGCCTCAGAGAAATGCGGCGCAAGGAGACTGCATGTACCCCGTACCGGTACTTCCATACCCTGTCAGAAGGATTTGGCGCAATCATTAGTACTGCCTGTAGTGGGCACAGTGCGAGCTCTTTTAAGGGGCGTCTGCTTGGAAACAGAGGCCCAGGCACCAAAGACTTGCTGTGCAGCAGCCTCTAGACGCTGTGCTGGGGTGGCTAGGGCCACGTATGTGGGGCAATTCCCTCTAACGGTATTGCAGGCACGCGACAGTGGCTCCAGTCCATCAGCCGGGATTTGATTCACAGACGCCGCGAACCCGCTAACTGTACGGGGCACGGAGTCAAAGAAGAGAGGAAAATGGTCTCCAGCTGAGTGGCGCCGAGCAGAACTTTTGTTGCTCGCCGCCCGTTCCTCGTTCGTTCTCCTGGAACGGCCCATTGTCCGGTTTTTTTGCGCACGCGACCACTCGTTCCTTCGGTTTCGTCTTTGAATTCTGTCTTTTTCTTATTTCTTACTTCTTTTGTTTGCTTGTTTGTTCGTTCGCGTTGCTTTGACCGGCGCCTCTACAGCGAGAAAGGAGACGAAGACACTCTTTTCTACCGCTTCAACAGCGGCGCGTTGGACATGAGAAGCGTCACTTCGCCATAGCCCCTGTGTGTGTCTCGCTTTCTCGCTCCCCTTCGCTCTCCTTGCCTCTGCATTTACCTCGACTTCGACCTCGGCCTCGACCTCAACTCTTATCGAACGAACGAATATCGACAACCCCCCCCTTTTTTCTTCCTCCTCCTTCGCCATGGAAGCGACGCGCCGCTTCACCAGCGGCATGGCGTCTCGCATGCGGATCTCCAGCCCGACACGGCGACAATTCTATACTACTACCTCGAGCTTCTCGCTCCTTACTGCGCCTGTTCTGCGGGTGCTGTCTGCGTTCGCTGCTCGATTTGCAAATCGACGGTTTCTGTTTGCTATAGGCGTTATCGCCGTGATCAGCGCCAAGCTGGTCCACATATATGCCCACATAACAGCCATTGCATTTCGCTCCATGGCGCAATGGGGCCTCACGTTCTACACACAAGATACTGCTTTCTTAATACTAATACGGCTGTTGCTCGACACGGACATATATCCCTGGAAGTGGCTGCGCATCATCCTCACGACGCTGGCCTCGCTTCTCGTCACCTTTGTACTGGCCCTGGCGGCCATTAACAACGCTTTCTTTATCGTCGCAGGCTCCGAGCCCCATTGGCGCAATGCTGGCCTTGCGAGCGATGCGGCTTCATGGAAACTGGCAGTTACTGGACTGTTCACATGTCTCATTGTGTTGGCGGTCATCTTCGTCATTTCCTGGCTGACGCAAGACATCTTTTACTTTTTGGCTGGGCTCGGCTTGAATGTGCTCAAGTGGCCCTTTGCTTTCCTCTACAGCAAGCTTCCTGCCCGCTTCCGTCCTGCGGTGCATACTACTAGATACGCTCACATCCCACAGCAAGATATCGAGATCGGATCCGAGCTCATGGGCAAAGAAGACGACGAAATTGACTCCAGCACCTCCAGCGGCTCTAGTATTGCCTCCGACATGCGTCCAACATCGAAATTGACTATTGCCCTATATGTTTTGGTCAGCGTCATCTTGTTCCTTCAAGTCGTGCTGTATATTGCCAGACCAGACGAAGGCTCCTACGCCTACATGTCATGGACTCTGCCGTTGATACCTTTCGCAGACTTTGCGCACTCGTCGCCCATTTTGGCTACACTCACCCCCGTATATGATACCAGCATTGGATGGAACTGGGATAATCAAACCGCACTGGCGGAGCCGATTCGATGGGAATGGCTGCCAAAGGATCCTCTTCCGGGCTTCCAAGACTGGTATGAGAATGAGGAAAGGCACTACCGCGCTTCCCAAGACCCCCTGAAAATCTCAAACCTCAATAATGATCTCCTCCCTGAGCTCCGCGCAAAGCTGGCAAATATCAACATCAAGAATGTGGTGCTTATCAAGCTCGAAAGTACGAGAAAGGATGCTTTCCCTGTCAAGAAGGACGGTTTATTTTATAAACTTGCGGTTGATTCGTTTGAGAACGGCACACTGCCAAAAGTGGCCGAACAGAAGATTTCCACGCTCACTCCTACCGCCAACTTCTTGACGGGAGACTACAACGATGGCTTTGAGCACAAGGAAAAGAAGCGACGAGGAGGCCTCAACGCGAATAACTGCCACACATCCGCCACTTACACGCTCAAAAGTTTGACTGGTACTCTCTGTGGACTGTCACCTCTCGTCGCCGATTTCAACGCCGAGGTTTCACATCACATCTACCAACCCTGCTTGCCTCACATTCTCGACGCCATGAATCTCAACTTGGGGAATTCTTCCAAGGGTGCTGACAAGGATGATTTTACTACCCAGAAATGGAAGTCATCGTTCATGATGTCTGTCACGAACACTTTTGACAAGCAAGATCAGCTCATGGTCCAGCTTGGATTCCCAAAGAACAATACGGTTACAAAAGAGTACCTAAAGAGTAAAGATGCAAAGTTTGGGACAGTGGATGTGGAGGACATTAACTACTACGGAATGCCCGAAGATGTCATCGAAGATTATGTCCGTGATGCGTTCAAGTCGGCCAAGGAAAACAACGAGCGCGTCTTTTTGACCCATTTGACTAGCACCACGCACCATCCTTTCGGACTCCCCGAGAATTTCACGCATGTCCCCATTACCAGCGAGGAATCTGGCAAGCTGGAAAACGTATCCAAGTACCTGAATGCTATTGGATTCGTCGATCGTTGGCTGCAAAAAGTTCTGGATATCCTGGACGAGCAAGGTGTTGCGGACGAGACTTTGGTCATCTTTGTCGGTGACCACGGTCTCTCTGTCCCGGAAAACGATGGCATTACACCATACTACAACACCAACATTGGTAACTTTCACGTTCCGCTAGTCTTTTCTCACCCCCAACTCCCCGCTATCGACATCAACGATGCGGTTATTTCGTACCAAATTCTGCCCACAATCCTCGATTTGCTGCTGGAAACTGGCTCACTCTCCGAGTCCTCGACTGGCATTGCCAAAGATATGATTCAGAATTATGAGGGACAATCGCTTATCCGACCGCTCATCAACTTCAACGAGAAGACTGGCCAGCCCAATTGGCAGTTTTCCGTCATGAACCCGGGTCGCGCCACCGTTGCTGTGCGTGACGCCCGCCAGCCACATTGGCGACTGACAGTGCCTATCATTGAGAACACCGAATGGCGTTTTACCGATCTGGACACCGAGCCTCATGAGGAGAAGCACCTTGTTGCTTTTGACTTTGGCGCGTTCTTGCAAAAAATCGAGAAGGAGAGATCTGCCGAGGCGGCACACTGGGCTGAAGAGGCAGCGTTCGTCGCCCGATGGTGGGTTGAGGAAAATAGTCTGCGCTGGCACTACGACCCATGAGGATAATATGGCCCGCTTGGCTCGAATTCTGCGACGAAAGAAGCTCACACGCTCTATTTTTCGTCTTTGTTTTTACTTACTACGTCATGACATACTGGTAGATACCGATATCTGCTGCGTTGTTTAAAATTTTTTTCCCTATCACATATACTTTTTCCTTTTCAGCTTTTCTTTTCCTTGTCATATATAGGAGCATTGGGGCATTAATATTGTTTTCACTTCTTTCCTTTTTTCTTTTTCTTTTTCTTTTCTTTTTTTGTGTATCCAGTTCAGGTATATACAAGGCGTCTCGTACTTATGATTGTGAATTTATGGGTGGACCCGTTTCAGCACCAGTTGGAAAAAAAAATGGGAAAGGAAGAGAACTTACAGCTGTTGAGACATCCCCCCCCCCTTTTTTTTTTTTCAGGAAGAGATGTTTAAGATAGAAGATGGGCATCATGGGATGATGTATATAGCATATTCATTCCCATGGGCTAGCGCTGACAATGCGGAGAAATGATGGAAACATATGCATTTAGATGTTTTGCACTCAAATGAATCAAGTGATATGTGATCGATGCCAATTGTTTCCGGCCTCAGGATGCATCAACATGGTCGTATTTATTGCATCATGCTGCTGAAACGATCGGATCTTAATCGTATGCTCGGAGGTGTACAGCGTGGTTTGAAGGCGATGATGAGCTGATCACTTGGCCTCATGCCGCACGACAAATCCGTGCTCATTGCAACCTGACCTGCATCATCGTTCCAACCAAGGCCATCCGTACACAGCACAACTCTCCACTTAGCGGACGAGCAAAAACAAATCTGTCAGTAGTGGGATCGTGATACTCGTCCTGAAGCAAGCACCGCCCGGGCCGTGAAAACGTGATCCCGCGGTTTCACGTCTCAGGCCTTTCTTTTCTCCCTTCTCTCTTCCCCTCGCGAGTTTTCTTCCGCGTAATACTCCGCACCACGGACCTTCTTCCAACCCATACCAAGTCCATTTCCGCCCAAGGGCCGGGGAAAAGCACGTTCTGTTGTTAGCCGTTTATGCGGAAATTCTCCGATGGCCGTTTTGGTTTCTGCCTGATTGCTCTTCTGGTTATTTTCGTCTACATCGTCCTGTTGGATCTCCGTACCTGAACGCATCAACCACGCGGAGGACAGAGGGTGAAACGCCTAAAAAAAGAAACAGAAACAGAGCAATGACGACAGTGAGGCAAACAGCTACGCTCGTGCCTTGTCCGTGAGCTTCTCCCGGTCCTAAAAATACCTACTTGGAATTTCCTGCTGCTGCTGCCGCTGCTGCGTACAATCTTGGATGGGGTGGCTCAAACGGGTCTGTGCAATCACCCGCAAATCGCCCAATTCTGGGCTTCGATTCGCTCGTTTCGGGTACCACCATCTCATGCACCCGGCGCCAGTTTCCGACCAACCACGGCCGCCCGTCCGTGAGAAGTGCCCATGGGTCAGTGTCTTGGGGGCACGCATGGGGGCGCTCTGGGAGGGACCTTTTGATGATCTGCTGGTTGCTACGGGGCGTAAAAGTGAAGAGAGAGATGGGAAATTAGTCACAAGAGAGTTGAATCATCGTCGTCACACTCGGAAAGTGATTGTGGGTGGAGACGTCTTTGGACCGGAGATATCAAGGCCTTGCTTGTAGCAGCAGCGAGCAGCAGAAGGCTGGGGTTGGCGAGCCGTGTTGGGCTTGCTGCAGTACAGGGCTACTCCTCTTGTTGGTAGCGAGCGCCGAGCACCGATTTCGATGCTGCTGCTTTTCTCTTCTGCGGTGTGATGAGCTGCTGCGAACCGGCAAGGGTTTGTTGGACCATTGAACGCTGCGCCCAGGGCTGTGACGGCGCTGGGACGCCGCTAGTGTAGGCCAGATCCTTTGCGGTTCAGTTCCGGCTTCCTCTCTCGCGGACCTGCTTTCCTGCAAGCCGTTTCCTTTTCGTCAAACGCTGCAAGACGGCGTGTGCTGATGAGACACGGACTGACTCGATGCTTCACCCGTTGCTAAGCTTTGGATCTGCCTTTGTCGGACAATGTCTTCCCGCCCCGTTATAGCCCTCCTCCCGCGGCGTAGGGACTTCTTTCTCAACTCATTCACGATTTGATTCTTTCAAGATCGATTTACGAGTGTCTCAGATGGAGCCCTGGCAGGGTGTATGTGCTGCGGGTCACGGTTCGTGCAGGTCGACTGGAAAGGACCACAGCGCTCCGACCCCATGCCTGCATCACACATTCGCAGGCACTCAAATTTGCCTATACTGCCACCGCCACCAACGGCGTATCTCGAATGCTATTAGCGTCCTTCACGACCAGCGCGGGCCGCCGTGCCCCTCATGTCGCGGCTGGCAGGGTCGAGCGGCCCACTTGATTGATACTGCTAGCATGGGAAGCTATCCCCGTTACACGTTTGCTCCCAGTTCGCCGACCCGGTGCATGACATCCATGCCTGCAAGCCATGAGAGTGGACAATGTGGGATGAGATCAAAATATCCGCGCCTGGAAGAGGGCGGCGGTCAGTTGTCCTCGTCTGGACGGGCCATGAAGTTTGGGATCCCAGCGCCGATCTGCCTGTGACTCGTATTGTCTCTCCAACAAATCAGCAAACTTACACGGTTTGTTATTGCCGGCTGTAGATATAGCACCCGCTGCGTCGTCACCGTCACTTGTTCAGCTTGTCATGTCCTATTTGGTTTATATCTCTCTCCATTTGCCGTTCTAGTCCTGCGTCAGCTTGTCGTCTTTTCGTCTTCTCCTCCCCACTCCCACCTCTACCTTTACTGCAGCCGTGGTGGTGCTATGCCCGTCGTCAGCTGTCTCATCGAAAAGGTTGGGACGTCGGAACGCCATGGCCGATGATAATGTCGACTTGAATGCGTACAATGGCGCCCCTTTAGTGGCCACGTGTGTGGTCTTCCTCAGCCTGACTTGGCTGGCCGTAGGGCTGAGGATATATACGAGAGCGGTGGTGATAAAGAGTCTCCAGGAGGATGACTGGCTCATGCTTGTGGCTCAGGTTGGTCAAACTGACGTTTTGTAATTTTCAGTGGGTAGAAGCTGAAGAGTCTTCTGTACAGCTTATTTTCACACTCTCGTGCATATTCATCTTCAATGGTATTCATTCCGGAATGGGCAGACATAATGCTGCCATTACCGATGGCGACGATCAAGCCACAGCGCTCATGGTACGTTTTCTCTTCTTTCTCCCTATTTCTAGTTGACGGCTTCTCCAAACGCTTTATATTATCATGAGTCTTTTCCTTACTCTAGTTCTAGTGGCAAGCATTGGCGGCGGCCTCTTACATACTCAATATGATGTTCATTAAAATGAGCATTGGTATATTTCTTCTACGAGTCTCCGCTCGAAGGATCTACAACTGGATCATATGCATCAGCCTGGCTGTGGTTATCATCTGGAGCCTTGTCACTTTCTTCTACGATGTATTCCAGTGCAGTCCCATTCAAAAACAATGGGATTTTCGTATTCAAACCGGAAAGTGCGTATCGACAAGCGACCTCGTTTCTGCCGCATACGCGATCAGTGTGATGACAATTTTATCCGACTGGTTATATGTAAGGGAGCCATGCATTGAAATTCTCATCATGGGACGGATTAAGCTCTAACAGTTTATTTCCCAAATCTAGGCTCTGCTCCCCATACCGATGCTGTGGTCAGTGAAGATGAGTCCTCAAGCCAAAGCAACTGTTATCATCATTCTGGGCCTTGGAATATTGTATGTACCGCTTCTTACCTCGATGCAGACTGCAGGCTCGCAACCGAAATGCTAATTGTCTTTCGAAATAGCGCGAGTGTTGCCACTCTTATTAGGATCAGGTATTTGACTGTGATGCAGGATCTCGATGATTTGCTATGTAGGTTTCTTGTTCACCTTTACCCCTCTCCTATCCGGCTCTGATATATGTGGCATATAGTCGCGGCAACGCAAGTAATGACGTGGACCGTAATCGAACCTGGAGTAGCCATTATTGCTGCCAGCCTTGCTACAATCCGCCCTCTACTGCGCGCGATGAGGGTGCACGGCTTCGGGTCTACGGGCCGCACCACGCACAGCGCACCCTCTGCCTATGCGAGACAAACTACCGAAAACCGAAGCATGCCGGTCGTTGACCAAATCTTTGGGCCTGATGACGTTTCTTTGAAGAATGTCGAGCCCAGCTACGATATAATACCTCCTGAATCTTCGATCAGCACTATTGGCTTGACTATTGAGCAGCCCCATGCTAGCATAGCAACGGCTTCTCGACTGGACGTAGAGCAAAAGAGGCGTCGTGCCAGCCAAGGCAAAGAGTGTTCTCCATCGCGCAGTGTCATTACAGAGGCATCACAGACGACCAACTCGACTTCATTTGACAATATCCACGACCTCGAAGCTCAGAGCCAAGAAGGCGGATACTATGGAATCGGGGGCTCCAACCAGAGGGGACGTTAGATTTCTTTCTTGTTACATTGTCATTCCATTTCAACGCCTCCTCCTTCTTTTTTTCTTCTTCTACCTCTTCTTATTTTTTCTTCAACGATTTATGTTGGATCATGTTTCATTTTACGGGTCAGATTTGCGCTACTTTAGGTGCATTAGACGGGGAAGGGCAGGTACGGACAGGACTAACAGCCTCATATGTTGGGCGAGCGGATAGAATCACAAGGCAGAATTAACACAAGGGCCATATTTGATGGATGTTTTTATGAATTGGGTAACGGGTAACGGATCTACAATGAATGCTATTTTGCTAATGTTGAACGGGAAAAAACAATTGGGGATAATACCGCACGGGCAAGAAGAATGAGAATTGAATGTTGCATGATTTTGTGCTACCAAATTTTGCTTCCGTGTGTGATTCCTTGCGAAGGATTGTTACATGTGTTATGTGTACCTGCATGCACGTTGGGAACATGGGGTCGAGAACATGGAGGGGTGGTGGAAATGAAACTCTTTGATGTGTGAGTGAGCTGATGTTGGTTGCCCGAGTGCCGGATATCTCACACGAGGCTTATACTAGTCAAATGAGTGAATAAAAAACAGGGCTATACTGTATATGAAATGCAATTTATGTATTACAAATGAAGAAGAAGGAGGAAAAAAAAACATTATACCAAACAGAGAGTAGCCACTGCGCCACAAACCACCATCGCCAAACTTGTGGTTTTATAATCTACTATGTATATACAAGGGGAAGAAAAGAGGGGGAAACGCGTTAGTCCAAATGGCGTGTAATACCTAATACTTGTCTTCATTTTTCCAGGAACGAGTTGCATTTGACTCCACTAGCAGGGGGGTGCGGAATGTCTTCCACTTGGCCCTTTTTTCTTTCTTTCTCCATCTTCTTTCAAAATCGTTCTTCTTTTTTGAGTCAAACTATTGGTGTTCCTGCGTCAGACTAGCGCTGATGACGATTTACCTAGTTAGATTGCACTTTTGCACGAGAACGAGAACGGGGGAAAGGATTGTGAAGTTGAATAGGTATTCTGAAAGAGGGTAGGTGAGAATGAATGTTGGGGAAGAAAAAAAAAAAGACTAATAGTAACAAGTATGTGCTGGCGCATTTCTTATGACATGTTTATTTCCTACTCCATGGCTGTTATGAATCTCTGCTGTTATAGGACCCTGGCATTGATGGCTTCTTAATGGCAAAAGGGCCTATCCATACTCACCCAGTGAAATACAAGAAGATGAAAGCAGCAAATTATTGATCTTGAAAAAAAAAAAACAGCCTGTATATATCCAGTGCCCCCTGGCAGCATGTGCTATGTAGAAAAATGCGTAGTGTAAACAATACTAAATGTACATCCTCACCTCTTTGTATTGGTGAATTTAAATCTTCTTCTTTTGTTATTCCGTAGATTACTCGTTCATTGATTCATTGATCTCAAGCTCCGCTGGCGCGACATCCCATTCCTCCTCCTCGTTCCATATCGGCGCCAGGACAAACCGGCCCATGATCTTGCCCATACCAATGCTCTCGCCCGTCGTCACGCCGTTCTGCGGCTTCTCGTCCGACTCCTCGACGATGACGGCCGTCGTGAGGAAGTTCATACCCGCGGCGGGGCTCATCTCCAGGATGCGGCCGCCCCAGTCCAGCTCGACCTTGCCAGACTTGCGGACGTTGAGCCGCCCGATGAGACCGCCATTCGAGAGCGCCTGTGATCGGAAGCCATTTCTGCGTTCTTCTTCTTCGTCGTCCGAGTCTAACTCTTCCTCTTCTTCGCCCTGCTGGGTAAGATCAACAGGGGTAGCTGTAGATGACGCACTCACGGGAGTGTCGTGTAGACTGATAGACTGCGGTTCTTCTGCCTTGACTTTTATGCGAGGCTGGGGGGCGGCAATCTGCTTGAGGGGAGGGAGTAGTGGGGGGAATTGGAATAGATATAATCGGCCGTCTTTGTTACCGGCCTCCTCGACCTTCTCCTCGCCGTCGCCGTTGATTGTGATGGCGCCAAGTTCGCTTGCCAAGAGACTCAAGTCCGTGCGAATCATATTCTCTTCGGGATCCTGAGCAACTGGCTTCTTGGCCTTTAGTTTCGCCACAGGCATCTTGCTTTCATCTTTAATCGGCTTAGACTCGACGTCCAGGTCCATAGAATCATCTGTTGGCTCCTTCTTGACTTTAACCGCCTTTGTGTCGCCCGTATTCCAATCGCCCTCTTCAGCTTGGTCAGCCGGGGGCAATGATCCTGGTCCTTCATCGTCAACCCAGAGGCTTTCTTCCTCGCTTTTCGCCTTCTCTGCCGCTTCCAATTCCGCAGTTGTAGCAACAATGACCGGCGCCTCTTTGTGTTCTCGTCGGAGTATTCCCATAGGCATGACGCTCCCAGATCGGGTATGGAGCGCAGCCAGCATCGCCTCGTCTTCGCTGTCCATGCCTTCCTCGTGTACCATCGTGTGAAGCTTGTCGGCATTGATCCTTGTTTCCCGGAAGCCGCCTTCGAATCCAAATCCTGGGCCACCTTTCCCTTCGAACTTGCCGGCTCCTGAGAAGCCGCCGCCGCCTCCACCACCACCACCGCCTCCAAACCAACCTCCACCAGATGGACCACCTATTTCATTGCAACGTCAGTGACATCCTTGACACGTATTCAGCCTCTTCATCAGCCAGCTTTGTGACGTACCTGGTCCTCCCACTCCTGAAGAAAAGGGCCCGCTGGCCCCGGCTACTGGCCGGCCAAAGCCGCCCCCTCTGCTTCCCATTGCATCACCACGACTTCGTTTGCTACGGAATCGTGAACGGCCTCTCGCTCGTCTCTCGTCTGCAGCTCTCTCGCTGGCCTTGTGCTGCTCTTGCTGAGCCAATGCGTCTCGCTCTGACTCATCTCGTCGAACGTTCTTCGGTCGAAATCTGCCGGCCGGTGCAGCTCCGCGAGCTGCTCGTGCGGACATGGCTCCTCTGCGCACTGCCGAGGCCGCTGGCTGTGATGCTGTGCTTTGTTCGGCGCCTGGATCTGTCAATGCCATGCTGGCCGTCGGCGCGCTGCTCTCTTGATTGAGGCTTGAAGTGTCGCCCTCTGTTGTTTGAGATCTTGAAGAGGCAGCGGCACCTCCTCGCCGCACGCCCCTACCGGTAGCGGTAGCCCTTCCACGAACCATGCTGTGTGTGATGTGAGACTGAGACGTCGGTTGGGATCATCGAAAACCAAATCGGCGCAAAGCAGGTCGACTTTTTGGTAGCTTTTGTCTAGAAAATTCAAAGTTTTGGCGGGGCTCCTTTTAGTGCTTGCAACCGCCGAGGTGGGGGACGACAAGGAATGATCACAGAAGGGGCCCGGATCGGGCTTAGTGGGCTCTGCTGCTGTGCTCCACCACGGTTGAAGCCGATGCTGGGTATAAGTGAGATGAGATGAGATGGCGTGAAGGTGGAAGACAGAACAGGCTGCGGTGTAAGGGGAGTGGCTGTTGGTGTAAAGCATGAATCGGTATCAGAATGTGCAAAAAGAAAAGAAGAAAGGGGAACTATAAACGTTACACAGCCCTCGGAGCTTCATGTACTCCGACATACGCTATTTAGTCTTTCTCTTCTGCCAGTTGGCTCCTGGAATGTATATACAATGTGGCATCTGTGCAAGGTATCATAAAGTGTCAAATCATCTCAAGGCTGGACGCACATGAGAGCGGTGTCCCCAAAGTATGTCGCTATACTGCCCTCCCTAACCAACATGGACCCGATCCATGACCGTCCAGCCTCCACCGACGCAGCTCCAAATTTGACGATAACACATCCTCGGACGTGAGCCGCTGACCATAGGATGCCCTGCTGGTTTTCCAAGTCTATTCTTTGTGAACGCCATCGCTCAAGCTCTGATCTTTCCTCTGATTCTTTCTCTTGGTCCTCTTTTGATCGAAAGTCACGAGACCCGATTCGCGGCGACGCAGCGAACTCCGCCATGAAGAAATCTCCAAGGGGCTCCACGACTGGCCCTCGAAGTATAAGTGTGCCAAAGACGCTCATTTTGTGCATCGTGTCCCTCAGCGGTAAACCAACTAGCTTGCTTCCATCCTGATTCAATATGATGTTGTCTCTGATAAGCAGTCTCCCCTTCTGCCCCGCCTCAGATCCCTGTGTCCAGACTTCATTGCGGCCTGTCCATGTCGTGAAACTCCAGTCCTCGCCGCGCGCTCCTCTTCCCTGTGTCACCCAATCCAGAAGACAAAGTGATGCTCGATTGGCTAAATTGAAAACCTGAGTCTGCTCGTATACGCTGTCTTCAAATGGCTGGACAGGGTCCGGCAAGAGGCAGACTGCGGCCTCTTCATCCACCTGTATTCGTAGTTTTTGGCTTGTTAAGACGTCAGGCGAAGGAGACTTGAATATCTTCGTGTGGCCTTGTGTGACTAGACTGAGGCTCGACCCTCGGCGCACATGAATAGAGAGATTGACGCCGTCACCACCGACTAGGCCACCTCCGTATGACAAGAGAAAGACCAGTGCGCTTTTCTGATCCACTGTAGGCGAGGGCGAGATCAATTTGAGGGGATATTGATAGCTGATAGTCTCAAGCCCACTACCACCAGCTGGAAGAAGCCTCACGACGATGCGCCCATCGCCAGGGAGCGACGTTGAGCGGGGGAATGGTGAGATCATGATAGTCCAACCATCGCTATAAGCTGTGTGAATGCCCCCCTCTCCTTCTGGAGTTCCTCGTTGAAAGTATTATGTGCAATGTCCTATAATCTCATGTGCAACGTCGATATTGGCTGATTTATATACTACCAAAAAAAAGCTGAATGGAGAGAGGGTTGGGTATTGTTAGCGCACTGAAGCTCCCTGGCTTGCACTATTGACTTGTAGAGCTTTTCAAAGGGGAGACACAGGTTCTTATCAGGGCGATAATAGCTGTTGCGTATAGGAATGAGATAAGAAGCTTCCGATAACGACTTACATCTGGCCGAGTTGATTGTGGAACTAGTCTAGTAATTGCTCTTAGGAGAATTATGGCTTGATACCACCTGCTAGGCTAAGTAGACGATTTATTTCTACGCTCAAACTGCTCAACCCTTTCCCATCAAGTTTAGTAGCGTGCTGTCTTTATTGCCCAAATAGGCCTAGATGCTAAAGATCGCCCAGCGGCTCTCCGCATTTTCGGCCGTTGGAAAGGTACTGCCGATGTTCAGCCGGTGCTAAAGTGGGTTGCTCTGCCCACCTCGAAAATCAAATGGGCAACAGGCCAAGCATCGCTGCACGACACAAACGAACGCGACCAGGGCGCCGTGAATCCTCCCATCGCCGCACATTGCCCGGATCTGCTGCTGTCCGGCCCGGCATCTGAGCATGCTCATGAAGAAATAGACACAATTCATCGCCTGAGACCCGACGAAATGGACGCCAGCGCCACCGCGTCGCCAGAGCCAGACACTACGGCGCGTCGACGATCTGGACGCGTCGTCAAAGCACCAACAAAATACGCGCCAGAGCCGACAGCTTCAGCGTCGAAACGTAAGCGCAACGACGATGAGGGAGATGAAGAGGCGGAGAATGGGGCGGCCGAATCGGATGAGGAGATGAGCGACGCTGCGAGTGACGCTGGCAGCGACGAGGACCATCCTGCGCCGAAGCCGCGAAAGCCGTCGCAAACCACTCGCGCAAAGAAACCAAGCATCAAGAAGCCGAAAATCAACGGCGCACAGACTGCCGCATCGGGGACTATTGCGCGCATACCCAGTAGGCCTAAAAAGACTGTCCGCATCGATCCAGGAGAGAAAGGAACTGGACTATATGGTATGTCTGCGTGCACCATACATCTCCACAGCTTGCCCCTCCACCCCTCTCCGTAGTCTCGGTACTGATGTATTTATCTTATATTCTGCAGCGGATATCTTTGCATCTGGTGACTCTTCCCAGTTTGTTGCTCAGCAATGGCTGGAAAAGTACAAACTTGGCGATGCGGCTGCCTTGGGCGATCTCATCAACTGCATCTTGCGATGCGCTGGCTGCGACCTAGAAGTAACGGTGGACGACATTCGTGACCCAGAGAATATTCCCAACCGATTACTGGATCTGCAGAGTGTTTACCAAGAGGTGCGTCCCAGAGTAGCAGCCGAAAATTAATTAGCTCGTTGAGGGAAGCAAAGCTAATTGACCTCCTAGCAACAAATCGTCGATTATCCCCTGGTTGCCAAGTCCAAGGCCACACGGTCGTTTCGAGACTTGCTCACCTCATTCATACATGCTCTTATTTCTTTACTGCACGAAACCGATGTCATGTACAAGGACGTCGATCTTGTCGATAATCTTCATGCTTGGTTAGCTAGCATGTCGTCTTCGCCTCTACGTCCTTTCCGTCACACGGCCACCACTATTTCTTTGGCAGTGCAATCAACACTTGTCGAAGTCGCCAGCATCCTCGATCGACGCATTGCAAACATTGAGCAGCAGTCTCAGACTGCGAAACGAGGCAAAAACAAAAGCAAGACCGACGAAATCCAACGTAGCTTAGCCGAAGCAAACGACAACAGAAAGATCTGCAACGACTCTATTCAGTCCTTCTTCGACACTGTTTTTGTTCACCGATACCGCGACGTCGATCCGAGGATTCGAGTTGAGTGCGTTGAGGCTCTCGGAAATTGGATTTGGAATCTACCAACAGTTTTCTTAGAGCCGGGCTACCTGCGCTATCTGGGCTGGATGCTGTCTGACACCAACGCTGGTACACGGCAAGAGGTCCTGAAGCAGCTTGGAAGACTCTTCAAACGTGATGCACAACAGCTAGGTCACTTCATTGACCGATTCCGCCCTCGGCTGATTGAAATGGCAACGGGCGACGCCGACGTATCTGTTAGAGTCACTGCCATTTCTGTCATCGACTCATTGCGGGCCGCTGCCATCCTTGAACCCAACGAGATCGATGCCATTGGGAGACTCGTCTTTGATAGTGAAATCAGAGTACGGAAAGCCGTTGTCGGATTCTTCGTTGCCTGCATTGATGATGTAAATGAGGGCAAGGTTGAAGAGATGGGCGGCTCCGAAGTCTTCGAAGAATTGGACCTTGCCGGAGAAGATAGTTACGACACTCCGAGAAAGGACTGGCTCAATTTGAAATCCTTGGCCGAAACACTCACCATCTATGACGCTCAGGTGGAGGAGTCTCAGCAGGCGGAAGGAGCATCGTTAGACCTCGATGTTGACTTGTTGGGTAATACTATGCCCGATACAAGAATCTCACTGGCTTCTCAGGTGCTCTACGATAAAATTCCGGAAATTAAGACTTGGGAGATTCTGGCCGGATATCTCTTGTACGACCACACGACAAGCACCAAATCTAAATCGAGATCAAAGTCAAAGAGTAACCCGTCAGAAGAGGCTTTCAAGAAAGCCGTTGCGCCTACTGCCGAAGAAGAAAAGATTCTCCTAGATGTTCTAAGCTCCGCTATCAAGTCGAGCTTGCTGCTGCTAGCCGACCATGACAAAGGCAAGAAACGTGGCCCTCGCTCCGATGCCGCTGAAGCACAGGAGGAATTGGCGCTGGAGCTGGCCATAAACATTCCAAAGTTGCTGAGCAAGTATGGTGCGGAGCCTGAGACGGCGGCGATTGTTCTCCGGCTGGAGCGCTACCTCAAGCTGGATGCTTTCCAAAGATTGCGACAAGACTCCAGCATATACGAGAAGCTACTGGATGAAATAATTACGCAGTTCAACAGACACGACGACAAGATTGTCTTGACCGAAGCTGCGGCTGCTCTGCTGCACGCTCGGCAATTTGAGGAGTTGGAGGAAATGGCTGACAGCAAGCTATCTGTTCTTTGGGAGGTTGTCATCAACTCACTCCGAAGCTTTGACAAAACTTGTGAGCTTTCCGCCAGAGGAAATCTGGAAGAGGCGCCGCTAAGGGAGCTGTCCACTGTGTTGATGAAAATCAGCAAACTGGCGAGTATATCGGACTGCGTCGATGTCCTTGAAATTGCCCCATCCAAAGGCGACTCAACGTCTCCGGCAATTCAGATCCTGATTAACATTGTGCACCGTGGAGAATTCGAGGCCCAAGAGGACGAGATTGATAATTTGGAAGATGACGTTGTTTCTTTGGCAATCAAGGCTTGCCAATTCTATTTCATGTGGAAGACGCGTAGCCTGTCACAACAGCTCTCTTCTGGTGTCAGCATCGCAGATGAAGAGCTTGATAGCTTATCAGTGCTGCGACAAACTTACCGAAAGCACTTGATCGTGACATTCTCATCCCGATCTTCTATTGATCAGCTCCGCCTATTTGCCACTGGTAGTCTCTGCGACTTACATTTGACTTTTGCAACAATGCGCCCAGTGATTAGCAACTTCCGCCCATCAAGTTCTACTTCGCAAGCAAGCGGTGGCGAAAAGTTCAAAGTCTTGGTGCAGCAAATTGAATCCAATCTCGTCCCTGAGCTCACATCAATATTCGACGGTGCTGAGAAGCAGTTTGCAAAGAAGGCCAAGAAAGACAGACTGCTAAACGAACCGGCGGAAGACGAAGATCCTGTCGATGATGAAGAGTCGTCCGATGATGAGGATGAAGATGAAAGCTTGTCGAAGGAGGAACGACTTGCAGCTGAGCTTAAGGCTGAAAAGGCTTTGTGTGAATTGACTGCTAAATACGTTCTTGTCATAACGGCAAGTTTGTTGGATCCCAAGGGCAATGCCGTCAACAAACTGAAGCGGCGACTGCAGCGTAATGAAACCAAACTGGGGCACAACTTCAAAGAAGTTGTCGCGTATCTTGACGAAGATAAGATGGCTAAGCGTAATAAGAAGGCCGCCAAGGCAGCGGCGCCGGCAGAAAAGCCGCAAAAACCGGCCCTCAGTGCTGAAACTGTTCATGACGAGGACGAGGACGATAACATATTCGAGGAAAACGAGCCAGAGGAGGGTTCGAGAGAAGATCTTCGTCGGAGAGAGCTGATGGACGATTCTATTGAGGACGATGAGGACAATGAAGAGCACGAAGACGCTGAAGTGCCAAATCACGATGCAGATGATGACGTTCTTGGAGACTAAATGATTAAAAAGGGAGAAAAAAGCCAAAAAATCATCGGGTAGGAAACAGTTGGGAAAAGGGAGGACTTGAAAGCACTCTCGCTGTGGATATGATTAGAGGGCTTTCTGTTTTGTTTTATTTTTGCTAGGGGCAAGGAGGATTTTTTTTTTTTTTTAAATGCCAGGGTATCTGTTATTATATGTTGTTTTTCTATCAAATGCGGCATCAATCATTCCTGTCTCGCCTCCTTTCTCGACCTGTTATTTCCATGGTTTTGGTGCTTTTTCTTTTTTGAACAAAAGGACATTTGAGAGAGGTTTAGAGATTGATTTGGCTGAAAGTCGCGCGGCTACAATTCTAGTAGCAATGGAAGTGCCAGCAAATTAACGTGTAAAAGATATCCAACAAATCGATAATAGTACTTTTCAAGCTTCTTCTTTTTAACATGAAAATATCCCACCTCACTGGTTCCTCCAATATGTCGTCATCTATTACATCGTAAAACGTCGTGTCAAAAAAAAAAAAAAAACGCCCCGTTGACGTATGGGTTTCTCGCTCTTGCAAAGTTCAACTTAGGTAGATGTAATTCTGGTTCCAAACAATCCAAACATTCGCTGCCACCTCTTGCCTTCGCCTGCGTCCGCCTTCGCGGGATCTTGTTCGAGGACTTTAACTCCGTATTGGCGAATACAGCAACTAAACGGCGTGTTGCTGATTTGCGACGATCTTAGTTCTATGTCTTGCTTCTGCGGCGCAATGCTCTCATCGTCGGAACTGTGCAACGGAGGCCGATTCGAATCTCTGTTCGCCAGAGCTACCTGATCTGCGTGGCGTTTGTTTTCTTCTCCGATGCTCTTCTTGTCTTCTAGTTCTCCCCATAAAAAGAATAGTCGATGACGCAGGGTATCGAGATTCTCCTGATCTTCATGCAAATCAGAGGCGTCCAGGTCCAAAAGACACTGCGCAGAAGAGTTATTCACTGCGACCCAAAGAGTTTTCTTCTTTTCCCGATGGTCTTTGGGAGCATTGGCGTCTTCCAATTCCAAGAAGAATCGCCATTCCCATTGTCGCACGGCGGCACGATCCGCTATTGACTCTCTATCCTCGTCGGAATTTGCATCCGACTCCTCATGATCAGAGAGCATCCCATATTCCGAGATCTTTTTTGGCTTAGCAAAATCCCTGAGATCAGGAGGCATGAAGTTGACGACTCGCACGTCCGCGCGGTAGTTCAAGTTTACAAAAGGAAGCTGTAGTTCGACTTGCTGACCGTTTACTTTCGTTTTAAGGTATATGGGATTTAAAATCTCCTCGAAGGTGCTGATGGGTTTGTTTTCGTATTCGCATTTGACTGATCCTGTTAGGCTGAATTGGTGCAGAGAAAAATTGAAGGAAATCGGGGAAAGGAAACAGGGAGGGAGTTACCTGATGGATTATTATTATTTGACGAGGATACAGTAGAAACTACAGCTGACGATGTCACAGACTCGTCATGTCCCATAGACTTCTTCTTTGTTTTTTTTCTATTCCTCCTTGGCTTATCGCTGGGTGTGGTCTCCATCTCAGCCAAGTCACTCTTTCTCTTCTTTCCAGCCATTGATGCGTTGAAGATCTGCTGCATTTGATCCTTCTTCAACTCTTGATAGTCACGCTTACGGCGAACAGCCTCTTTGAGGCGAGGATCAAGAGACTCTGTGTCTGTGATATCCATCTGCGTGATGTTAATCTTTAGACCTGAAGAACCTCTGTCTTCCCGCAAGAAGCCCTCGAGATTTGCGCCGTTGCGTCCATATTTTATCTGAAGATTTCGAAGCATAACCCATGATCCGAAAGAAAGCCCTTGCTCTCTGATGAATGTCGTGTGCGGATCAAAACAGGTGACTTGCATGCTTCTTTTCCCAAACGGACCTTTCCATTCCCCTCCGGAGCTTGCGCCATATGGCATGACGGATTCGTACCCATAGGGATCGGCGGGCCTGTCTGCAAGAACAGGTCCCTTCCATGCAAAATGAAAGAAGCTGTCGTTCTCAGTGTAGTCAGATATCCAGAGGGTGATTCTGTCGCCGGTATCGTACGGCTGTCTGACCAGTTGGACTATCACATCGACAAATGTGTCAACCCGGATATCTTTGAGCTCCTTGAATTTCTCATTGACAGTAATAGATTTCGCTTTGATGTCCTGAAACTCTGCTTCAGATGGTATGCAGCTCTTATCGATTGAGTGATAGAGAACTGAGACGTATTCATGGATTGGCTGTCCGGGATTGTGGGTTGTCTTTCTGGGCTGGGGGCGGAGCGCCTTCAAGGCACCCTCTGGTGGATGTGGAATTTGGCTTGATGAATACAAATAAATATCCGTAGTCCAGTGCGTCACGAGTGACAGGGTATCAGAGTGTGATTGAAGCTAGCATCTTACTTAGCATAACAAGTCTATTATCTTGGGAGGGAAAGACGGGACAACCTTGGCCTGGAACAGCACAATCACATCGCCAAGTCCAGGATTGGGCATCTCATTTGCTGGCCGGAAAACGTTGAGTGTAAGAGAATCGAGCGAGCCATCTTCGGTATAACGATCATACAGGCTAATCTCACACTTCGAATCTAGACATGCCAGTCGCAGTTCAGAATATGGGCGCCAGACATCCAAGAAAGCAGTGCTTACCACTTCCCCTGGTAGAAATAGGGGGTTTGAAGTCTCTGATGATGCCAATGACGTTCACCAAGTTTCCAACTCCACGTTTATGATTTAGTAAGTCCTGAATCGATATGAAGCTGCTGGGCAGTGAATTCTGCCGCTTGTTGGGATGAGGAGCCATGGCTGACCATGGCTTTGAACGCGTGACTCAACTAAGCCTCATCTGAAGCATAGGTGGTGCCCAATTAGTATTCCCGGCTCAATGCGGCGTGTATTGGCTGCAAGGCGGATTATGTGACAGAACGACGCGTATTAGCCATGGATTCGCGTCTCGCTGCAAAGAAGGTTAATTATGGAGCCGAGGGGTTGATTTACATGGCGCGAGAGCACGTGATGAATACCGGGACGAAAGCGGGCAGGTGGCACCATGTAGGTACTTTACACCACTGTATGCGCGGTATTGTTACGGCCTTTTATGTACTTAGATGGTTGAGGGCAAAGAGGCTGCCACAGGCGCAGTCTCAGCTGTGAATCACCAAATACGTATATATGTACATGCTCTATTGTGAATCATTGCCTCAATAGCCAGCAGAGACGGCACGTAGCTTCTAGCATGCTGTACTGCAGTGACCACCAGCACAAGGCGGGGTAAAGAGGTACTGGGCGATACTAAGTGACTGCATGCCTTGGACTGGCCACTCTTTCTGCCTTAGGCATCCTGTCTCAGCATCAGCGGCAAGTGAAAGCTTTTAGCGGCGGCTCAGCGCTCCAGCAACCGTAAAGTTTGCCGCTGTCAATTCTTGCCGCCTATCTGAGGTTAGTATTTGATTTTGACTTTGCCCTGTAACCCTCCGATTTCTTCCCTTTCCCCCCAAGACCTCTTTTTTTTTCCCCCCATTCTGCACATTACTCCGAAAAAGTAGCGACGCATCCAATAGCCGCCTGAAGGAGACAAATTCCTCGTTGACGGCGCTATAGCTCGCATTGTGAACCGTCCCCGCGCAGCAACTCTACAACCCCTGCTCCCCTCTGCCCAGCCCGCCTTCCGCCGTCTTCGTCTGCCAGAAGCGCATCATCGTCAGCACCATGGCGGACCGCTATATCCCAGAGCATCGCCGAACCCAGTTCAAGGCCAAGAACACATTCAAGCCCGATGAGCTCCGACGCCGTCGCGAGGAGCAGCAGGTCGAGATCCGCAAGGCGAAGCGCGAGGAAAATCTAGCAAAGCGACGAGGCATTGGGTCTGGCGATAGCCGCCCAGGTGCTGCTCTGGGCGCTGCCCCCGACAGCGACGATGAGTCCGCCCCTACCGAGTCTCAGGTATGCATAGCTCAGCTCTCTTCTCTTCTCTGCTCTAGCTTTTATTCATTGCGAGGATCCCATTTCACCCTGCAGCGCTTTGTCGTGATGCTGGATCATTCTTTTGCTTGTGATGTGGGGGAATTATGACTGAACCCCACATCCTCTGGTGGGCGCCGCTCTGACCGACTTGGCCTGAGAGCTGCACATCAGCAGTTCTGCAGGTTTGATCCAGCTCAGCAATGGCATGGCGGTTTTGAAACAACAAAAGAGTGTGGATATTGTCAAGGCACTTGCTAACATGGTACCAAACAGCTGAATGAGGATCTTCCTCAGATGGTTTCTGGCGTCTTCTCCGACCAGATCGATCTCCAAATCCAAGCCACCACCAAGTTCCGAAAGCTTCTGTCCAAGGAGCGGAACCCTCCCATCGAGGAGGTCATCAAGACCGGTGTCGTCAGCCGCTTCGTCGAGTTCCTGCGATCCCCCCACACCCTGGTGCAGTTCGAGGCTGCTTGGGCCCTGACCAACATTGCGTCTGGCTCGGCCACCCAAACCCAGGTCGTCATTGAGGCTGGCGCTGTCCCCATTTTCGTCGAGCTCCTTGCCAGCCCTGAGCCCGATGTGCGAGAGCAGGCCGTCTGGGCCCTTGGTAACATCGCTGGTGACAGCCCCCATTGCCGTGACTATGTCCTTAGCTGTGGAGCTCTTAAGCCTCTACTTAGCTTGCTGGGAGACAGCCGCAAGCTCAGCATGCTCCGTAACGCGACCTGGACCTTGAGCAACTTTTGCCGTGGCAAGACCCCTCAGCCTGATTGGAACACTGTATGTATTCTTGAAACCTTGCGACTCTTTTTTTATTCGTTTATATGATGATATCTGACCCCTCTCTTTTTCAATAGATTGCTCCGGCCCTGCCTGTCCTTTCTAAGCTTGTTTACTCTCTCGATGATGAGGTCCTGATCGACGCTTGCTGGGCCATTTCGTACCTTTCTGACGGCTCCAACGATAAGATTCAGGCCGTCATCGAGGCCGGCATTCCTCGCAGACTTGTTGAGCTTCTTCTGCACGCATCCACCTCGGTGCAGACGCCTGCTCTTCGATCCGTTGGCAACATTGTTACCGGTGACGACGTCCAGACCCAGGTCATCATCAACAGCGGCGCACTTCCATGCCTCTTGTCTCTTTTGAGTTCAACTAAGGATGGCATTCGCAAGGAAGCCTGCTGGACCATCTCCAACATCACTGCTGGAAACTCTTCTCAGATTCAGGCTGTCATTGATGCCAACATCATCCCTCCTCTGATCCACCTCCTGCAAAATGGAGATCTCAAGACTCGCAAGGAGGCTTGCTGGGCTATCAGCAACGCCACTTCAGGCGGCCTCCAGAAGCCTGAGCAGATCCGATACCTCGTCGCTCAAGGCTGCATTAAGCCTCTTTGCGACCTCCTTGCTTGCCCCGACAACAAGATCATTCAGGTTGCCCTCGATGGCCTAGAGAACATCCTCAAGATTGGCGACTTGGACCGACAGGCCGCAGGCGACGGTGCAGACTCTATCAACCGTTATGCCCTGTTCATTGAAGAGTGTGGTGGCATGGAGAAGATCCACGATTGCCAGAACAACGCCAACGAGGAGATTTACATGAAGGCATACAACATCATCGAGAAGTACTTCTCTGACGAGGAAGAGAACGCAGATGAGGGCGCTTCTCAGCCCACCGGCGCTAACGGCACATTTGGTTTCGGAACCAACGGCGCCGCGCAAGCTGGAGGATTCAACTTTGCCAACGGAGGTGATTCTATGGATATGTAGGCAGACCACGATTGTTTCTTTTGAGCTTTTAGGTTGAGACTCCTATGCATCAAGCTGAAGATGCCCCGCCTCCCAAATTGATTGGCTTCCCCAAGACCATAACAACTCCCCCCCCGCGCACCTTTATTATTATTGTCATGAACACAAGCAAGAGGATACCCTGCGTTATATCCCTGCTCATAACCCCATAAATCCTTTGGCAACACTACAACACTACACTATTCCCCCGTTTAATCTGGCTTGGCAATTTGTGCGAGGAGAGGAAGATGATGAATGAGAGAAAGGGCAAGGAGCAGAGTGGCCCGACGAATAACAGGCCCTATGGTAGCTTGAAAGCTCCAGCCTGAGATGACGCTGTGATTGAGGAAAAGCAATGAGATTAGTCTGAAGAAGGAAATCTTGGCGCGAAAACTTGGTGGGTATGGGCCTAGATGGCTGTGGTCATTAAGAGCGAGCTTCGAGGCCCGCATGACCTCCGATCAACTACTCTGCCTGCCTATATCTGGTCTGGCTTGGTGGTCTGAAGGCATATACCATGGTTGACGTTGCGGATACGAAGCCAGTGCTAGTGCATTGTGCTTTTATCGGGAGAGGCGTCAACAAAGCAAGCTGCTCTTGATGCAACAATCAAGTGTTTGTGCATCTCTTTTCTACATATTCAAGTAGCAAAATAAGAAGCAGATTATCCTATGACTAAAATCGGAGAAGCCGACTTGAATTATGAATCATGCGACCAAACACGGTTGCCCTTGACCCTAAAAGTGAAGCTCATGTAATATTCAATCGCGCAATTTATCTTTTCCCTTTTCTATGCGCCTTTGCAGGAGCTCTTGGGCAAAATATCTGCCAGGTAGGTATTAGTCTATAGCAGCCATCTTCAGGTCACCACAGCCGTTGTCACTCAGTGTTAGCAATATTTAAAACGCACTATGTATAACGGCTCGTTATTACCATTAATACAGTGCGAATATTGAATGGGGCCTTATTTTCGCCCCATAAAATTTGTATCGCCGATACGTCTAGTATCTGAGATGAACCCCAGACGAAAAAAAAAACCCTGACCGTGTAGAAATAACGGAGCAGAACGCGCTGACTTTTGAGTATCTGGTTCACTTGATTGCTTGTTTGTTCGCTTCTTGGGCACTCATAATTGCAGCATTTTGAGTTTGCTCTCTCTCTCCCACGCCAAAAGTCTCGACTCCAACTGAAGCTGAAGGGACGATCCGGCTTTTGTTAGTGGCACATCCGCATCTCGGTATAGCATGGTAAAGAAAGGCAAGGTGAAGGCCCCTGCGCCTGCACCAAGCCAAGCCTCTGCAGCATCCAAGGATGGTAACGGTGGCGGTAAAGGTAAAAAGGGGCAGAAGGCGGCGGAGAACGCCTCTGCTGAGGTGTTGCCGCCGGTTGCCCCTAAGCCGACGGTGAAGCAAATCATTGGAGGCTCCTCCTGGACAGGCAAGCTGCCGGTTAATCTCCTCAGCGAGTACTGCCAGAAGCAGAAATGGGATAAGCCCGTGTACGATACGCGGAAAACACCCGAAGGCTTCTCGGTCTGGGTGACTCTGAGTGCCAAAGACGTCAAGACCCAGCAAACCATTACGCTGGAGTCTTTCAAGATCCCTTTGTCTCATAAGCATCTGCTGTTGAGGGATACAGCTCTGGAGGCCAAGCACACGGCTGCCACGTATGCCTTGTTCAGGGTATGCAGCATGCAAAACAAGCACATGGTTCTCCCTCCGGACTACAAGTCTCTATGGAAAGACTTCCAAGCATTGAAAACTCAGGATGTCAAGGACGGCAAGGCATGGATGTATGAGGCTGATCCATTCAAGACCTTGCTTGAGCGTCAGGACTCCAAGGCTGCGGCAGAGAAGAAGCGACAGGAGATTGAGCAGGCCAAGGCCAAGGCCAAGGAACTGCCTGGAGCGGCAGGCTTGGTGCTTTTGAGCAACTCAGGCGGTGGATCTGGATCCAATGTGATGAAAGGCTGGACGAGCGTGCCCAAGGTCGAGATGGGGAAACAGACCAGAATTCAGTTGGAGTCTTTGTTGAGAGATGGCGTGACATGGAACCCTCATAACATCTCCATGACTCCGGCTGAGAAGAAGAATGTTGTTTCCGAGCTTAGCAAACTAGGCTTCCGACAGAGCCACGTAGCGGAAGCCGTGGAGTATTGCAAAGATCGCCAAGAAACTTTGGAATGGCTCCTGATCCACGTCCCTGAAGATGATCTCCCTAGGTGGGCTCTTCCGGAGAAGTATTCAGCTGGTGTGACCATTGGAGCTACAGACTTGAAGAGGGAAGGCATAATTCAACGACTCTCCCAGACTGGATACTCCTTGGAGCTGTGCACCCGTGTGTTGGACGAGCATGGTGGCAATGAAGATGCGGCTGCTGAAACGTTGCAGAACATTCTCTTCCCGTCTGCCACCTCAAATCAAGAGAGCACAGAGGAATCAGGAGATGACTTCCTTGACTTTGGCACTCCTCAAGAACAATGGGACGAGGAAGTGGCTACGTTGGAGTCGATCTATGGCAATAACTTCCGTCGCGATGGCGATAACATCATACAAATCCGCCTCGAGTCAGTCAAGGATGCGCAGAACGGAGATGTGGAAACATATCTACAAGTCCGAAAGGGCTCAAGCTATCCGAGGCACATCATCCTAGCCGTCGTGGCTAAGCTCCCATCATATATCAAACTCAGCATAGTGAAACAGATGCTGGCTCATATTGAACAAGACCTGCGAGACGAGCCAGCAAAGATATATCTAACAGTAGACTGGATTCAGCAGAACGTCAATAGCATTATCGGCAACCCAGGCAAGCTTCTAGACATATCGGCAGTGTCCTCTGCTGCCTCTGAAAGCCGGCCAGCGACATCTGTCGCTAAAAGCAAGCGCACTCGAGGCCCACCTAGGCCGCTCAAATGGATCACCGATGCAAAGAGTAAAGAAGAGTGGCTTCGCCGACAAGAGAATCCCTCGCAGAAGCAAATGGTTACGAAGCGGCAAGCCTTGCCGGCCTGGCAGATGCAAGATGCCATTATACGAACGGTAAACCAGAATCACGTTACTATCATCAGTGGTGAAACTGGATCAGGAAAATCAACGCAGTCTGTTCAATTTCTTCTGGATGATTTGTATGAAAGGGGCCTCGGTGGATGTGCAAATATGATTGTCACTCAGCCACGCCGAATTTCAGCCCTAGGATTGGCTGATCGGGTAGCGGAAGAGCGATGCTCGCGAGTAGGCCGAGAGGTCGGATATGCTATCCGTGGGGAGTCTCGACAGTCGAGGGATACCAGGATCACCTTTGTCACGACTGGTGTGCTGCTGCGAAGACTCCAGACGTCTGGTGGTCGAGTGGATGACGTCGTGGCATCTTTGGCCGATGTTAGCCACATCATCATCGACGAAGTTCACGAGAGAAGCCTCGATACCGATTTTCTCTTGAATCTGCTTCGAGAGGTCATGATAAAGAAGAAGGACATGTTGAAATTAGTTCTCATGTCAGCTACGCTTGATGCCGCAACCTTCAAGACTTACTTTGAAACAGAGGGACTGAGCGTTGGGGCCGTCGAAATTTCAGGCCGAACATTCCCTGTTGAAGAATATCACCTTGACGATGTGGTTCGCATGACAGGATTCGGTGTTGATGGGCCCGATGACGGAAGCTTTATTGGTGATGAAACGATGGGGAAAGTGATCCAGAAGCTGGGTCATCGCATCAATTACAGCTTGATTGCAGAAGCTGTCAAGGCAATTGACTATGAGCTCTCGTATGATAAGAATTCAGGAGGTATCCTCATCTTCTTACCCGGTGTTGGAGAGATAAACCAAGCCTGCAACAGCCTCAGGGCTATCAACTCACTCCACGTTCTCCCTCTACATGCTTCCTTGGAGACGAAGGAGCAGAAGAGGGTTTTTTCAAGTCCTCCTCCTGGAAAGCGGAAGGTTGTTGTGGCTACAAATGTCGCAGAGACTTCCATTACGATTGACGATATCGTAGTCGTCATCGACAGTGGAAAGGTGAAGGAGACCAGTTTTGATCCGCAAAATAATATGAGGAAGCTAGAAGAAACATGGGCATCTCGAGCGGCTTGCAAGCAGAGGCAAGGAAGAGCCGGCCGTGTTCAGGCAGGTAAATGCTACAAACTATATACCCAGAATCTCGAGCAGAATATGGCGCCCCGCCCCGAGCCCGAAATTAGGCGAGTGCCGCTCGAACAGCTGTGTCTGTCGGTACGGGCCATGGGTATGAAGGATGTAGTTCGATTTCTGGGCCGATCTCCAACTCCACCGGAAACACCAGCAATTGAGGGCGCTATGACGCTGCTGCGGCGCATGGGGGCTCTGGATGGAGATGAGCTCACGGCCATGGGACAGCAGTTGGCCATGTTGCCGGCAGATTTGAGATGTGGCAAGCTCATGGTCTTTGGAGCCATTTTTGGTTGCTTAGATGACTGTGTCACCATTGCTGCCATTCTTAGCACTAGGAGTCCGTTCATCTCACCTCAGGAAAAGCGAGACCAAGCTCGAGAAGCCAGAATTCGCTTCTATAGAGGAGATGGCGACCTGCTTACGGACCTTGAGGCGTTTAACCAGTGGGACGAAATGATGAGAGACCGAGGTACGCCGCAGCGCCAGATTAGAGGATTCTGCGACGAGAACTTTTTATCCTTCCAGACGTTGTCTGACATTTCAAACACGAGAACTCAATACTACGATGCCTTGAGGGAAATCGGCTTCTCACCGTCTTCTTCTTCTCAAGCAACTAGTAATACTCAGAATTCTTTACTCCTGAGAGCGTTAATAGCCTCCGCCTTTACTCCACAGATTGCGCGAATCCAGTATCCGGACAAGAAGTTTGCGAGCTCCATGTCCGGAGCTGTCGAGCTGGATCCCGAGGCGAGAGCGATCAAGTACTTTTGCCAGGAGCCTGGGCGAGTGTTTATTCATCCTAGCAGCACGCTGTTTGGCAGCCAAGGGTTTTCCGGAAACGCGGCTTACATGTCGTACTTCAGCATGATATCGACGACCAAGATTTTTATCCGAGACTTGACCCGTAAGTTTATCTTTGTTTCTCGATTTTCATTTCTACTGGCTCAATACATATTGAATGCTAACTTTTCGTTCTTAACCAGCTCTGAATGCATACACACTGCTCATGTTTTGTGGCCCAATCGAGCTTGACACTCTAGGACGCGGCCTCTTGGTTGACGGATGGCTCCGGCTGAGGGGCTGGGCGCGACTGGGAGTTTTGGTGGCCAGACTGAGGGCCATGGTGGATAATCTGATTGCTGAAAAGGTGGAAAATCCGGGGCTTGATTTGGCTGGAAATAAGACTATCAAGCTGGTGATTAAGATGATAGAGTTGGACGGACTGGATGCTTGAGATGAGAAAGTATTTTACTTAGAATCCCACCCTTTTGAGGGGGGTCACGGCTATTCGAATTGACTGTTAATCAATTAGTCTGTGAGAAAGGAAGACACGAGTCAAAGTTTCAGAGGAGCCAAAAGGTCACAGCAGTCTCTTATAATGAAAGCATCACAATCACCGGAGCCAGTTCCATTCACACCAGCGAATGACGACCTCATTAGTGCGTGTGGTGGGGCTGCCAGTTCAATTCAGGCATTCCATGCACTCCATTCGCCACTTACTCAACTCGCTCCAATCGACGCAACTTGCTTTCATTGACATTTACCCTTCTAGGTATTCTCTTCAGAGGAGTTTTTAATTCATCGTAATCATGGCAGACTCAGATTCAGAAGAAGGATTGACAAGGGAGGAGATGCAGCAGCAGGAGGAAGTCGAGCCGCCACCAAAGCGAGCCAAGCAAGATGCCTGTACGTTCAGCTGAAGCTTTCATCTCCGCATCTCCATTATTCACACATCTCTCATTATTTGATGTTATGGAATACTATACGAGGTTTCTTTTACTCTGAAAGAATGAGACAAGACAAAAATACGATTCAAAACATCAGCTAATCAAAGAGATGTATGAAATCATGACCGCATTTCAGTCGCAAAACTCATGGCTCCCAAACCAAAGTCCATCCCGCCGCCTCCAAAGCCTCCCGGCTCACGGCCTCACCTCTTCAAGAACCGCATGGCGCTGGGCGCATACATTGCCAACCCAGAGTCGTACCCCGCGTCAGTCGTCATCTACCACAACGCCGACTTCGTCGTCATCCACGACAAGTTCCCCAAGGCCACGGTGCACACGCTGCTGCTGCCGCGGTCGCCCCGGCACAGCCTGCTGCACCCCTTTGAGGCGCTCGAGGACGAGCAGTTCCTGGGCAAGGTGAAGGCGGAGGTGGAGAAGCTCAAGGTGCTTGTGGCGGGGGAGCTGCAGCGGCGGCTGGGGGCGTTTAGTCGGGCTGATGCTTCGCGGGAGGCCGTGCTGAATGGCGAGGCGGACGTGTTGGAGGGCAAGGTGGATGAAGCAACAGAAGATGGACAAGACCAGGACCAAGACCATGGCAAAGGCAAAAGCAACCGACGGAACAAGGAGCCGGCGCTGCCGTCCGGAAGAGACTGGGCCGCCGAAATCAAGTGCGGCGTGCACGCAGTCCCCAGCATGGGACACCTGCACATCCACGTCTTGTCGCGGGACATGCACTCGCCGGCCATGAAGCACAGGAAACACTACAACTCGTTCAACACGCCGTTCCTGGTGGACGTGGCGGACTTCCCGCTGGAGAGCAGCGACTTCAGAAGGAGCTCCAAGGACGAGGGGTTCATGAGGCGGGACCTGGTCTGCTGGCGATGCGGGGCCAACTTTGGGAACCGGTTCAAGGAGCTCAAGGACCATCTGGAGAGGGAGTTTGAGGAGTGGAAGAGGGAGTGATGGCGTGTAGGTATGGTATTTCCATTTCCACACATGACTCACTCATCATCATTAATACCGAGGAGAAAGAAAATATCCAACGAGAGAACCACCCAGCCAGACATCAATCATGGAACAGTAAACTTATTGTCACCGCGCACAGGGCATGGTTTCATACGTGATAGGTACTGATAGTAAGGCTTTGCAGGCAGATAGAATAGATAGATGTAGCTGGCGCAGACATAACGTGCAAACATGTCCCGTCGCCTCATGCCAGGGCGCTTTCCTCCTCATCCAGCTGAAAGCAAGCGTCGTCGTCAATCCATTAATAATACAATTCGGAGCTCACTTCCCAAAAAAAAAAAAAAAAAAAAAAAAAGCCGCCGGTCCAAATGTTCAACATCACCGCTTTCTCTCTTTCTCTTATATGTCGTCTCTCAGAATTCCAGTTCCAGAGAAAGAGCCCACCGCCACCCTCTCCTCGCGGATGCTCTCTTTCACCTCGTCCTCGTCATACGCATAAACAAGCACACATGTCATCCAAATTACAAAAGCCCAACTCAGCTCGCGCTCCAGCCGAGGCCTCATTCATCGTCATTGTCATAGTCCACCTGGTCCTCCTGTATCGAGGGAGAAAGAATATTGCAACCAGAATCAGCCAATCATGTTCTTGATACGTGAGAGCCACGCCGGTGATGAGAATGATGATGAAGGACCGACCTCGTATTCGGGAGACTGTTGCGGCGTGAGGGCCGATCTAGCCCCGGTGCGTGCATCACCAGTCACGTCTACAAGGGAAAATTGGGAATCGCGTGAGTGGTCCGTCTTTTGATTTTTTTGGAGATTTATGTGCTTTTGCGTTGGCGACGGTTGGACTTACCACCGATGCCTGGCTGATTACTGGCAACGTCGTCCTCGGCCTCAGCCTCAACGTTGGCCTCGGACTCTGCCGTCGCTGCCTGATCGTCCTCCTGGATCTGCGCAACATCCGACTTGCGCGGCCTGCCTCGTCCACGCTTCTCGCCCGGCGCCAATGGCGGCAATGGTTTCTTGGGCGTCTTTGCCTTTGCCTCGCCTCCCTTCTTGAAGCTGCCCTTGGGCCTTCCCCGGGGCTTGCCGGTGGGCACGTAGGGCTTTGTGGGGGATTTTGACGTTGTGCCCTTTGGCCGGCCGCGGCCGCGACCCGGCGTCTTCTTTACGCCAGCATCTTCGGTGGCTTGGTGGGTGATGTCTACAGATGCGTCGTTGCTCGCCGCCTTAGCGTCGTCCTTGGTGCGCGCCATGGGGCCGTATATTTGCTTTGTTGCGACAGAAAAATCGGGAACGGCAGAAAAAAGGGGTGCAGAGGTATTGGGGTCGTGGAACCTGGTTGCCACGGAGGGAGCTGAATTGAGATGTTTGCGAGGGTGGTTGGTTGGTTGGTATGAGGAAAGAAGGAGGAAAAAAAAAAAAAAAAAAAAAAAAAAAAGAAAAAAATTCTGGGAAAAAAAAACGGGTGGTGATGAGATACGCGACTTTTGCGCGAGACGAGACAAAGGCAAGGCTAGGGACAGGTGGGTTAGCGGTGGATGGAGCCAAGTGCGCAGGATCTGGGGAAGGGAGACAGGACAGGCTCAGCGCGTATCTTGCGTTTGGCCGGAATCGCCCCTCTCCACGTATTTGTGGCGACAAAATTAGCTGGACGAGCTTGTTGTTGCGCTTGCAGAGATGATGAACGCGGCATTATGGCCAGGGACGCTGTTTTGCGCAGCCGGCTTACCTAAGCAGCTGGATTATGTCAGCCATTGGTCCGCATCAGCCACAGCCAATATATTGCACGCCACAGTTGCGCACAACGCGCCACCAGAGCCTTGTCGAGCCCGTTTACCCCGGCAACCGCCGCCCAACACCGCTTCGGGCAAGAGCAAGTAAACAATCACGCACCATCCTGGAGAGAGAGAAAGGCCGACTAATGTAGCACATTCTTCGCCTCCGCCTCCACGACAGCTTCCATAGCATCTTTGAGACATTGCGCACAATGGCTCTCGACGACAGATTTATGCCTTCGCCGTCGCCGGCCCCCGAGGTCCGCTTCATGGCATCCTCGGCCTCGACTCCTTCGCTGCGGTCGCGGGATGTCGATGTCGCTACTATGCCCACCATGTCGAGAATGGATCGCGGCGGCAACGTCAAGGTTGTTGTCCGGCTCCGGGCCTTTCTAGAACGAGGTACAAATCGTGCTGTGTTTCTCTATTTCTCTATCTTTGCCGTTCTATCGGATTAAAAGCATGAAAGATGAGATATCGACGGGACTGGCTGGCTAACGTTAACAGATCTTGAACGAAATGCGCCATGCCTCGTTGACATGGATCCCGTCTCCCAGATCACCACCCTCAGAGCCCCCGAGCCGGAAGATGCTCGCCCTTCGAGCCCGACCAAATCCCGGAAAGTCACCGGCGACAAGAGCTTCGCCTTTGACAACTCCTTCTGGAGTCACGACCCCGAGGACAAGGACTATGCCAACCAAGAAGACATCTACAACAGCCTCGGCGAAGAGTTCCTCGACCACAATTTCGAGGGCTACCATACTTGCATCTTTGCCTACGGCCAGACCGGCTCCGGAAAGAGCTACACCATGATGGGAACGCCCGAGAACCCCGGGCTGATTCCTCGAACCTGCGAGGATCTATTCGAGCGCATCGAAGCCGCCCACAACGAAAACTCCAACGTCGCTTACAACGTCCGGGTCTCCTATTTCGAGGTCTACAACGAGCATGTCAGAGACCTCTTGGTGCCCGTCGTCCCCAACACTGCCCCCAACTATCTCAAGATCCGCGAATCGCCCACCGAAGGACCATACGTCAAGGATCTCACCGAGGTGCCTGTACGAAACATTCACGAGATTATGCGATACATGAAGGTGGGCGACGCATCCCGCACCGTGGCCAGCACCAAGATGAACGACACCAGCAGCCGAAGCCACGCCGTCTTCACCATTATGCTGAAGCAGATCCACCACGACATGGAAACGGATGAGACCACGGAACGCAGCTCTCGCATTCGTCTGGTTGATCTGGCAGGTAGCGAGAGGGCGAAAACAACCGAGGCTACGGGAGCCCGGCTTCGCGAGGGTAGCAACATCAACAAGTCTCTCGCCACCCTTGGCCGGGTCATTGCGGCGCTGGCAGGCCCTCCCAAGCAGCTGCGGTCAGGCAAGAGAAAGGATGTGGTGCCCTATCGAGATTCCATCTTAACGTGGCTGCTCAAAGACTCCCTCGGCGGCAACAGCAAGACTGCCATGATCGCCTGCATTGCTCCTTCGGATTATGAGGAAACGCTCTCGACACTTCGTTACGCCGATCAAGCCAAACGCATTCGCACCCGCGCCAAGGTCAACCAAGACCATATCACATCCGCCGAGCGCGATGCTCAGATTGCTGCCATGGCGCAAGAAATTCGAATGCTGCAGCTATCCGTCTCGGACTCCCGCCAGCGCGAAAAGAATGCTCAAGAGGCTGAAGAGCGCCTGGAAGAGTACCAGATAAGTGTCAGCGCCATGCAGCGCATGATGGAAGAACGCAGCATGGTTGCCGAGAGCAAAATCAAGAAGCTGCAAACGGAGAACGAGGCCCTCAAGCTGCATCTCAAGCTGGCTATTGAGAGTCTCAAGAACCCCATCCCGTCGGTTCCCCTCGAGAGCAAGGAGTCTTCAGATGATGAGGATTACGACTACGACTCGGAGAGTACGGCAGCAGATGACGAACTTCAACAGGAGATGGAGCGCTACTTGCAGGACATGGGCAACCTCCGGAAGCTTATTGGCGGCGACCTCTCTAGATTCAAGGACACGGACAGCGTGCGTATGCCTCTTGGCGGCTAAGCAACATGGCCATGGCCTTGAAGCTGAGGAATAGAAGGGGAATTGGCGCCACAATAGTCAAGTTGACCTTGACTTGAGTTGCTAAAAGAGAGTTGATGCAAGACAGGGTGAAAGAATTGTTAATTCTACCGCATACAAGGCTGTATGTATGCGTCTGAGCGATGGTGTTTAAGGAAGTATTTTTCTTTGCTTAATTTGAATTATCGATGAACGGCTGGATAGTTTGTTTGCTTGGTTGAAGGAGAGTCCATGTTGTTTTCTTTCCTTCTCTTACGCCTTTATGTGTGTGTATTTTTTTTTTTTAAAGACAAGAAACAAATCGGTCAAACTATGTCAATGAATGGAGGGGCATTTATCTATAACTACTACTATTCGATTGTAAGAATACACGAATATCTGAACGACTCCGAATGCTAGGCCGCTGTTCGTGCTCTGCAAGACTTCTGCCTCTTCTCTCAGGCTGTCTTGAGTACTCGTTTGGTTCCTCACTTCCAAAGCCGATGCCGAGGCTTTCCCTTCATTTCCCCCCTTTAAGACACCACGAAAATGACCTGGATAACCTCACCAACTGGAGCATTTCACCAATCAGAAACCAGCCCCGCGAGAGTTGAAACAGGCAACGCAGACATGAGACCACCCCAAGGCCAAGGAACCGAAACAGAACAGAACAAAACAAAACAAAAAGGTACGCCCTCCACACTTGCGGCCTACGTGAAACAAAAGCACAGCCCGGAAACGACGCTGCCGAGCTCTCTAGGAGGTTCTGCGGTCGAATCCGCATCCGCATCGACTAAGGGGCCGAGACAGACTGACTGACAAACAGACAGATGGACAAGAAGAAGAGGAACAGGACCAGAGCGATGTCGATCATACACTCCGCTGTCGGGAGGGTTTCCCGTCTCACGTTGTTTGAACGGCTGCGTCAGGTGAAGCATGGAGAGGGAGAGAACAAGCACTTGCAGCGACTGGACCCTTGTTTCCGATATATTAGTGGCCTCTAACCCATCCAGGGGTGCTAAACAAGAGGAGCAAATAGAAGGACGAGTTAAAATAAGCTAAGCCAATAGAGCCTCATAGACAAGAGACTACCCTTTGGGAGGTCTGCGACCTGGAATGATATCAGTTGACGAGCCACATGCCACAGCAGAAACTAGAAGATCATCCGTTGCTCACTGGCGAGTCAGACGAGTTGCCGCTTCAATGGTGTTTCGAGAGGCGCCTGGATTAGCACAACGCGCGCAGCCACTAAGATTGCGCTGAACTGTAGCCCCCCTCGCTGGAAGGCCGCTGAATAGGCCGCTATGGCCCCCTGTGAAATCCCCTCTGTTCTAAAGCCCACGCTTCCATTGGAGACAGTTCTCTAGGCGAGAAGCCCCCCCCCAGTCGTGCCAGAGAGTGGATGCATTTTAGTGGTTGCTTGGACCAGGCCAAGTATCAAACCCCGCCACGACAAGGCTATGAGTGACACGCGGGAGGTCCTTGTCAACTGCTGCAACCTCAACAACAGACATTTGACGTATATTTATCTACATCCTTTGGCATTCCGGTCACTGGATAGACAGATAGACAGATAGACAGACAGACAGACAGACAGACAGACAGGAATATCTGTAGCCAGTCTTTTGTCATCGCGCTCTGTGCTTCTTCTTCTTCTTCTTCTCCTCTTTGTCCTCTCACTTGCTTTTGCTGTCCCGCATCACTTCCAAAGACAACTAAACACCATGGCCGCAAGACCACAGCTTTTCACCCGCGGCCTGTCCGGCCTCGCGCAGGGCTCCAGCTCCAACGAAATCAGCTCTCCGGCCGAGCAGCGCGACGATGCGAAGCGCAATCTGTTCAAGTCGATGCGGCCGCTGCCCACGCAGCATTACTGGGACGTCTACTTTGACAGGTTCGTGAGGGGTCTTTTTTTTTTTTTTTCGAGGGAGGGAAAGAGAAAGAGAAAGAGATTGGTTTCTCAGCTTCCTAGATTGCTAACATGATTTCTTTCTCTCTCCGCAGACAAGCCAAAGACCCAAAAGCCGGTGCCGGCGAAGGTGAATACACCGCCCAGCTCGAGAAGATTGGCACGCAGATCGAGTCGGTCCAGGACTTTTGGCGCTACAACAACAACACCCCGGTCGAGAACATCAAGATGCGCGAGTCAATATACCTCTTCAAGTCGGGCTTCCGGCCCATCTGGGAGGACCGCCGCAACATCAACGGCGGCAGCTGGACCTTCCGGGTGCCCAAGGCCATTGGACCCGATTTCTGGACGCGGATCCAGCTGCTGGCCATTGGCGAGAAGCTTCAGAGCGTCATTGACGAAGGTGAGATTTTTTTTTTTTTTTTTTTTTTTTTTTTCATTTCATTTATATATAAGCACAAAGAAGGGAAACGGAGATGAGAATAACTAACATTTTGAGTCATCAACAGCCGACCAAATCTGTGGCGTTGGTCTCTCCGTCCGCTTCAACTCCCACCTCATCACCGTCTGGCACCGAGACTCGTCCAAGCAAAACTCCATCGACGCCCTGATAGCCTGCATCCTTGAGGACCTGCCCGCCGAGCTGCAGCCCAAGCCCGACAACTACTTTTACAAGAAGCACTCGGACCACGCGGGCTTCAAGGCCCCTCCTGAGCTCCAGGCTGTTCTCGACACTCAGAAGCGCAATGCTGCTGTCGCTGCCGCCGCTAATGCTGCTGCGGCTGCTTCTCCTACTCCTTCCGCTTCGGCTTCTAATCCTGCAGTGACGATTGCGTCTCCTCAGTAGAGGAAGCCTTTTTTTCTTTTTCTTTTTCTTTTTCTTTATTTCGATATTCTACGCCTCCTCTCTGCTTCAATGAGCAAGCGGCATGTGTGCTTGTGTGTGTGTTTTTACCTCCATTACTCATCTTTTTAATGCGATGTAGTCTTCAACATCATGCAGTCTATTTGACTCGACTTCATTTACAGACTCGATCATCTTGGGTATGGTAATGGCGTTTGCTTCATGGGTTTTCTTATACTATCTACAAGGCAAAAACACGGCTACTTTTTTTTTCTTTCATTCTCTTCTTACTAGGTCTCATAAACTGTCATGGAGAAGGTGTATTTCTGCAAGCAGCTTTTACATTTCATACATTTCCAGTTACAATTGGTCTCGATATAGAAAGCATTTGTCATATCTGCCGTCAGAGTCGGCTGTGTTTGAATTGTAGATGATGGAGCATAGCTGTTTGTCATAAAATACAATACATACATGTCTGCCTACCAAGACTGGGTACCTATTCACCACAAGTGTATATTATACCATTTGTAGATTTAGTCCTATTCCACGGTTGAAATGTAGTCTGTCATATATATACTTTGGCCTTCCCCTATTGTATAAAAACATGGGCGGTAAAGGAACATTTCTGCAAGTTCGCAGAGCCGAAGTTGCTTTGTCTGAGAAATATTGAGCATACATAATATGCCCACCTTAAGCAATCCGTATAAAGAAAAAAAAGTCCAGTCCAACTCCCAGCGCCTCGCAAAAACCAAAGTAAAATAAAAGGAGAAGAAAAAAAAAATCCAAAGCTCGCTATCCGCCAAATTGCTAACGTCAAAGTCTCCTCGTCCCCCTTCGTCTGGAGAAGCAAAAAAGTAAAAAAGAAAAAAAAAATTGCAAAAGAAAATGTCACCGCCATACTCCAGCGTTCCTCATCACGCTATCAAACTCATCCAGCTCCACGCCCCTCGCAACGCCCACCCCGCCATTCGCCTCGAGAATCATGTCCTTGAGCAGCTCCTCGTCCACGTCCTCCTTGAGCACGGCGGCGACGCGCCGCAGGTGCGCCAGCGTGATGGGGCCGTCGTGGCCGTTTGTGAAGAGCTGGAAGGCCTCGATGAGCTCCTCGCGGTGGGCGTCGTCGGTGTCGTCCTCGCGCGCGTGGAACTTTAGGGCGCAGATGGCGAAGAAGGGCTCGTAGGTGGCGTAGCCGTCGTTGTCGGGGTCGAGGATGGAGATGAATTCGCGGAGCTCGGCGGGGGAGGATGGGGGGATTCCGAGGGCTCTATAGCGAATTAGAATGTTTGGTGAGTATTCATTTCTTTTTTTTTTTCTGTCTTTTATTGGCGCAAATAAAAGGAATGTATATGATGTATATATCCCTTTCTTCAGAGGGTTGGGGAATAAAGGGGGAAAGGGCTGGCTTTACATGAGCGCCGATTTGACATCGTTAATGGGCAAGACGCCGTTCTTCTCGCCGTCCATCGGCTCCGCAAACAGGCCAAAGGCTTCCTTAATCTCGCCTTCCTCCTGCGCAGAGACATTGTGTTCCTTGGCGAGTCTCGACTGGCGCGGCTTGGGCGCGGTGGAGGGACCGCCTGCTTTGCGCTTCGGAGGCTGTTTTTTTTTTTTTTTCTCTCAGCACGGGGTTTTCTTGTAAGCGTGTGTGGTTTCGTCGCATCGCAGACGGTACTTACCATGTGATGCAGTGTTTGTGTGTGTGTGTGTGTGTGTGTGCTGTTGTGTTATGAAGCTTTAGGGGTGGTAAAGCAATGATTTGCGTGCAGAGATGCGATGAAGAGAGCTCTGTCTGGTATTGGGCGATTTGGGCTCGTTATTGTTCTGCAGACAAAAATGCACGTTGATGTCACTGGCCATGACAATGCACGGCGCGAAGCTAAGCAAAAAAAGACGACGTGAATACAGTGTTGAGTGCAGATAATGTGCAATTTATACTGTAGAGCCACTTTTCACTACTTCAAATGCTGTGAGCTGGAAAAAAAATTCTTAGACTTGCAACTTCTCTTGTTTTCTCAGACACAAAAAGAAAATGCTTTGTGATATCGAGCCAAGAAAATCTTCTTCCAAAGGACCAAAAAACTGGCTCCAGTCGAGATTTTTTTTCTACAAAACGGCCTTATCATTTTACCACAGGTTTGTTACGTGTCATCAAAATTTTCACCAAGCCCAAAATCACAGTGATGTCCTCCGAATATGTGTCTTCTTCTCTAGAATAGCCCGCTTCAAAATTTGCTAGAGCTTGCCGCCTCAGATGCCCAACAGCGCGCAAGTGTGGACAGTGAAGCAAGAGTAAAAACCGCAATCAAGTCATCACTTCTAACTGACGAGATTGTTCCGTGTTAACGAGCGGCATCACGCGCATTGTGCGCTGCATGCCAAGTGAATCATGGAGACACCCCTCAAAAAAACTCAATCAAGGTGTTTTTTTTTTTTTGTGTGAAAATTAGAACCCTGTATGGCGGCACGTATTGCTCTTGTTTCCTTCGTACTCCCTGCGCAGGTCAAAAATATTCTCCAAAAGTTATATCTTTGCCTCCAAAGGCCTAGGAAGTGCGCGGCAGTTAGTCGCCAGCCCTCTTCTATTCTCACATTTTCTGTTTCTTGTTTCCCTCTCACTTAAAATTGTTCTTCATTTCCCTCAGCTTTCCCATGATGGATACAGGGTCCGTCTCGCCGGTAATCTTTTGGATTTCGGGATCCTAGAATCCAGCGGTTAGCTCATCCTCTCGCCAGAGATGTTGCCAAGACTGCCAGACTTACGTTGACTCTCATAAAGACATTATGCTTCTATAATTGTAATCATCAGCATGCGACCGCTGCTTCCTCTCTCCCCTCTTTGCTGTGCGACATGCACGTACCTTCTCATCACCAATCGTGAATTTGCCCGTCGTAACCTGGTGGTTCTCAGCAAATTCCTGGAGTTTCTTGATAGGCTCCGTCTGGGACACAGAAATAGTGAATCGAACGTTTGACTTTGTGTACTCGTGGCCGGGCTAGAATGAGTTTGCGCGCTCGTTAGCCCAAGAGTGTCTCATATGTCTCTCTTCCTTTATGCCAGAACTAAGCAGAATTCATCGCAAAACACTGATACTTACATAGACAAGAGTGTCCTCTGGCAGCGCTCCAAGACGGTTGTTCAACGCTTCATGCATCTCAGCCGCGCTACCCTCGAAAAATTTGCCGCATCCTACCACCCCGCTCATCAGTAAAAACACACTTCTTGTAATTCAACATGGCGATGAAGCGCTCAGCGCTTTGGAATCATTCCGTACCGCTAACAAAAAGCGTATCACCGGTGAAGACTGCCTTGCCAGTTGAATCCTCCATGTAATAGCAGATGCTGTCCTGCGTGTGGCAAGGGGTGTGGACGGCCCTGACAGAGATATCACCAATCTGAAATGTCTCTCCGTGCTGTGGCGTCTTAGTGACTCCCTCGCAATCCTTGCCACCAATGATGGTGAGCTTCTCATTACCCAGGTCAGCAAGCTTAAGATATATATGTCAGCTAATTTCTTTTCATAACAATCGTGGGAAACGCAGGATAGCATGTACCAGTTTCTTGTTGCCTCCAGCATGATCCCAGTGGCTGTAGTTATTTATTTGCGTTAGGTATCTGTATGATGGATTCATGCCTGATAAAACGAGGGATGCATACTGATGGGTATTGGCAATAGCCGTCAGGTTAATCTGGCCTGATGAAATGGCATCCTTTAAAATAGGAGTGACCCTATCGCGCCAGTTAGTTTGCACGATCCTATCACTCGACTCATAGGCTTCATGAGAAGCGACTTACTCTGGCGGGTTCGCAGGATCAATAATGACAGCATCCTTGGACTTGTCATCAACCACGAGATACGCATAGTTGTTGGAGCTCCCGACCCCTACCAAGCCCATTAGCTTGAAGTCCTTGACCATGTCCTCCTTCTGTCGCCCCAAATCACCTCCTCACAAGCTCAAAAAAATTCATCCAAGCGCCCGCCGGCGACACTTACACATGGGTATCGACTGGATATGCATTTTGCGCGAGTTGTTTATAAGCTGCGAGACGGGGTTAATCAGCAATGAGGGGCAGCTCCGAATAGGACTTATATCATCACAACGATGGCCTATGACATATGATCGATCTCACTCACGGAAACGCCAAATCTCTGGGTGAGAAGCTGTCTGCGAGGCAGCATCAATCTATTCATAAGTGTGCAAGATTTCCGTTGACACCAATTGCCGGTGTTTTATGTTCGGGGGAAAAGGGTATTCTGAGGTCCAAAGTTAGCTGAAGAGGTTGCTTACTCTGCTTTTGTGAGCCGTAAATACGGAGGATCCATTGTTGTCGTTAATAGCAGCCACGTGATTGGCTGCATTGCTCGATCCGCGAACCTACATAAAGAGAGCTGACGATACGCTGATGACACAGATTTCGGAAGAGACCCGGAAACGGAAATTTGGAATCTTTTTTTTTTTTTTTTGGGTCTATTGCAGTGAAAATAAACAGCTTGGGGTATCTTTATTCTACGACGTCTCTAATAATACAGCACTGTTACACCGGATAAATCATACTACACCAATCGGTTTAGGTCTCCAGGTGCCGCTATATCGAGACCATCCCGTGTTCGGCTCCGAACTACGATCCGGATCTTGCTCCTGCTCTTGCTCCGGCATCCCGCCCACTTTCGGATCCGGGTCGTTCGCGTCTTCAACCGTCATGGCTGCCATGTCTTTGGACAGCTTCAAGCACTTGAGAAACACTTGATTCCCGGGCAGCGTCCGCTGCAGCTCTGCAATCGTTTTCTGCAAGTATTCGAGGTCCCACTGGCGCAGCCGCCTCATGATTTTCAGCCTCGATGCCTCGTCGTCTTCTCGAAGATACGACAGCACAAGCTCTCTGCACGGATCCTTGGCCTTTTCTGCCTCGCCGAGGTGTTTCCAGTAGTAGTCCCAGATCCAAACGAGAGCCTTTCTCGCGGCGGACCGCAGTTTGGCAAGCGACGGCAGCTGCTCATGCGTGGCTTGATGCCTAAGCTCTACAAAGGTAGCCGGCAGGCCAATGTTCTTGGCGATAGAGTACATGCTCTGCTTGCGCAGCTTGTCTTGATGCCCGTCTAACAACCCAGTGACGAAGCTGACAGCATATCAATTAGCGTCTTTCTTTGGTGCTACAGACAACAGACAACTTTGCATGGCCATGTGTAAGAAGCGAAAGGCGATAACCATCACACCATCTCGATGCCGTGCTGCCTTGGATATGACCTCTCAAAGGCCGGCATCGATGACGTCCTTGGCCGCTTATCATATCCATGCAGGCGATAGCCCCGTCGTCTTTTCGTTCCCTGGATTTCCTTATCCAATACTTTCCCCTCTCAAAGAGTCCAGACTGTAGGCCGCCCATCCCCGATGCATGGCCAGGCCACACCACAAAAAGAAAGGAAGAGAAAGAAAAGGCAACGTGAAAAAAACAGGGACAGGCAGACTCGGACCCAGCCAAATCTTCCAAAACTTACCGACTAAAAGCAGCTGCATATGCAGCCCTCACAGCATACGTCGATGCTCCTGCATTGCCCGCGGCCGCGGCCTCGTCGCTCAGGACCGCAGCCATGAGCAGTGCCGTCGACTCCACCATGTGCGGACAGTTGCCGCGCTGCATCCACATGGAGACGCGCCCCACGGCCTTGTGCTGCTCGTCCCGGTCTCCCTGCTCTCGTGATGAAGTCTGGTAGTCATTGGCCGCAGCAGCAGCAGTAGAGTGCCGCCCTGCATCCCCCTGATCCAAGCCCTCCCCCTCCTCTGGACGCTGCTCAGCATATGCATCTCTGCCAGCTGCCTCCTCGACCCGACGGCGACTCGACGACGCACCGCCGGCAGCAGCCCGCGTCAACGCCTCGGAGCCGTAGAATTGGTCCCGCACAAGGAGCAATTCCTGGCGGTCTCGCCAAGGCGTAAAGACATACTGCACCATCAGAAGGCGGCAGGGGTGGCCCCAGGCACCGGCGACGCGGGTTAACGAAAACAAGAGAAATTGGGAAAAAAGAAGTTAGTGGGAAGAGAAACGAATGGTGTGACGGCGTAAGAGAAAAAAAAGACGTTCGATATGCGAAAGTGTGCAAGACAGAAAAGATGATGCAAAAGCGGTGGACTAATCAGGCTTAGACTCTACGGTGGGGGCAGCGATCCGATACAAAGTCAGGTTGCTGATAAAGAGCGCTTTTCCTAAATTGGCAGTAAATCTACAACTGCCAACCCCCACCATGTGAATCCAAGACTGCGAAGACGAGCAGACGTTGGGCAGATCCGTAAAGAGCAGCTTGTTCTTTGGCAACGTACATAGTATGTACATAATCTTGATCAACACATATAAGAAAAAATAAAATAAAAAATAAAAGTACCTAGTTGTTGCTGCTAGCACTACCAAGTAGATAGTTAATGAAACCTCGCCGCCACATTAATAAGGATAAAACCGTGGTGATGTCGTGCCGGTCGTGATTTTTACCCATTCTGTGCCCTACTGCATGCAACGGGTCCCGGATCCAATCTCCCTGCTCTCTTTTCCATTTTATTTGCCACTTTACAGGTAGTATTTCCGTGGATGTACGCCCATGTCATCATCATCATCATCATCAACTCAGTTTATCGGCACATGCAAATTAACTGGCAACGGTTGAACAATAAATCCACTGGGGTCAAAAGCGTAAACGAGTCTGTAACTCCGCCATTGCAGAATTCTTTTTTCTTCACTGCCCCGTGCATGGCAGAATTTTTCTTTTCCCACTCGTTTTCCCCCCCTTGCCCTGTAGGTTCGTCTGGAGAGCAAATAACGAGCTTCCTCTTTCAATTAGGCAAGATCCAGAAAACAATTAAACAAGAAGAGGAGAAAAAAGAAAAAAGAAAAAAAAAAAAAAGCACAAGCTACTACTAATTAGCGAGGCCCACATGCGGCAAGCCATTTCCAGCCGTCAAGAATGGGGCCTTTATGGTTCGCCGTGCTTCATCCGACTCCTACAATACATTACATGGCAAAAAAAGTAGACTTGCCGTCATATATCTTCAGGCCTCTTTCGGGAAGCCGGTTTAGTAATGCTACAACTTCAAGAGAAGGGTAAAACCGCCGATGGGGCCCCTCTTCTGGAGGGCGCTGCTTAGATAGGTAGCATTACCCTATGCTTGTGTGTCCTTGCAGCTGTTCATCCCCCAGCCATGCTCGCACTATTCAGAATCTACTCCGTGCTATATGCATAGCACAGCAGGACTTTTTTACTTGCTCCATCTACTTGCAATACTAGGTAGGTACTAGGTAGTTTCCCAGGGGATCATCACATCACTAAGCCATCATCCTCGTTTCATTCTCAGTTCGCTTGGGACTAATTGCAGCCGGTCATGCATATCCCACCCGGTACTGGCGGTATACAAGCGACAGAGAGGAGAGAGAGAGAAACAAAGTGTCAAAGTAACGTAATGCCTAGTCCAACACTATGGAGCAGTGCCTTGAAGATACATACTACTTACTATTCAGCAACTAGCATCGTCGGGACGCCTCCTGCACGTAACAAATCATGTACTCCATAGGGGACCACTGCAAGAGGCATTTTCCTTCCGGCGTCCGGGGGCCGTCTCCATGCTCCAGGTTAAAAAACAATGCAGGGTCGTGCTGCGGGAGCCAGGAGAACGCAAGGGCTGCAGTGCAAGCACGAAGTACTACTAGCAGTACAGTAGTATGATGGAGCCTTTTGGCGGGCAACTCTAGTTACAATACCTAGTAGCACAGTTCCAATCTGCAACGACCAGCAGTTGAAACGCCGTCACTAGCCAGCGGACACAGCTCGGAGGTCGAAGCACTACAGTAGTCGGTAGACAAAGATGAGTGAGTGGTGCTCTGGCGAAAGGCCAACAGAACCAACGCTGTTGCCTACTAAGGCTAATACAGCCTCAATCACGCAGTTGTACTTACGCAAGCCGCGCTCCATATACTTGTACGTGTATAAGCCAGGTCTGGGGGGTTGCTAGTGGTAAATGCTAACGCGATACGCCCCGTACTTGTTAAACTCAGCTCTCAGCTCGCATCATCATCGACGCCAGCAACGCTCACTTACTCGTACAGTATCCGTGTCTCTAGTGCGAGAACATGCACAAAAGCCGGCAGCGTCGGGCTTGGACCCCGAGTAATACTGCCTCTGGAGCATCAAGTCCATCAGGCAAATAATGGAAACGCCCCCTTGGTCTCCAACCATGGCCCTTCGGCCGTCATACAATCCGATCATGGCGTTAACCCACACTCGAGAATAAGGGAAGAGAAAAAGGTAAAAGAGTAAGAGCAAGAATACCGCGGGCTGCAGCCAGGGATGTGCCAGGTACATGGGCCGGTACGAATTACAGATTACAGCTAAAAAGGGCAATGGAACAAAATAGAAATGCCAGTTACCGGCATTTAAAGTCCAGACCCAGCCTGGTAGGGAGCGCATAATCTAAAGAAGAGAGGGAAAAGGGCTTACAGGCATCACCCATCACCTTGTGGTAATGCTTTACCGCCCAAGCCGCCCCCTCTAAACGGAAACCCACTTGCAGTCGACCAAAAAAAAAAAAAAAAAAAAAAAAATAGAGGGCTGGCTAGTCTTTCTCCGTAGCACTCGGCGAAACGGGGGACTATACCCATTTATTAACGATTTTGCTGCAGCACTTGGGTCGGCTTCAATATTCGGCTGGACTCCATATCTGCAAGCATGCCCGTCTGTTTCTCTTCCCGTTTGCTAGGCATTGCTTGTCTTTACTTGGCTCTGTTCCCCGCCCAAAAGCGAGATGGCATTCAGGAGACTCGTTAAAACGCCCCCCCCCCCATTCAGCTAGCAGGAGGATTTTACAAGTATTAGCATCCACATGCTGCGTAAGGAATAAAGGGATGGATGGACATTCAAGGGTTTCAAAGGGAAAAAAAAAGAAGAGTAACATTAACAGTGACGCAGAGCTGTGGCTCAGACAGCCCCAACAAAATTAAGACTTGAACGGTATGCCGTGATGTAAGGGAACCGAGGAAAGAAAATTCACGATCACATCCGCCATTGCCGTACAGACTGCGCAGTCGGAGTGTAGATAATGGGCAGTTTTCTTGTCCACTTTTCCATTTCTTGGGCACAACAAGGCTGGGATGAGGGGCACAGTATGTAGTAGCACTTTGCCATTTCAACTCGTCGGGCGTTCCTTGTGTGTCCATGCAGGCGCAGAGAGCACGCCCAGAAGTACGAGTACGTAAAGCCAGTCTCCAATAATTAAAGGGAAAAAAAAAATCGAAAATGCGTCAAGCGCTGCCGCTAACATAAAAAGAAAAAAGGGACTAAAAAAAAAGAGGGACAAAAAGGAAAAAAAAAAAAGATGGGGAGTGCACATTAGCCCGGCTCGGATGAAAGGGGTGGGGTGGAGAAAGAAGAAAGAAGGGGGTGGCTGCTAAAAGGGGACCGACGGACAGGATGTGGGGATTAGAGGAAAGAAAGACCCATGCCCTTGGAAAGCGAAAAAGAGAGAAAAAAAGCAGGAGAAAACTGGAGATTTTTGGCCAGTCAGCAGGCGCCGCTGCTGGATGCGGCCTTCCAGAATGCCGCCGACCCCACTCCAGCCCACAGGCCGACACATGTGCGACAGGGGTCCGTTAGCGGCTCTGTTAGCGGCTCTGTTAGCGGCTCTGCTCGCCTGCTGGAGGTTTTTTGGGTTTTGGCGTGACGACAATGCTGGCTCTGTTGGTGCATGTCACCGAGCGCATATACTACCTACTAGATGTACTATGTATGTGCAAAGGAGCGTCAAGACTCGTGCAATCAGTAGTACTCAATGGCTGGTTGAGAGCAAGTGGCGTTGTCGGCTGCCCTACACGGACAACAATATTGCGGCTTGCAAGGTACCTGGCCGCAACGCAGCTCCTCGTCCCCCTCCAACATTGTCACCAGGCTTTCGAGTGATTAGTCTTCTTTACGTGTCATACACACAGATTGCACACGGGCATCTCGTTTGTGACATTAATGCTTGTTACTGTCTGCGTGGCGTGAGCCACAGAAGAGCTGCCGAGCTCCTTCGTACTAACCAGGCACTTGTGTGCTCCTTCGTTCTATGTACATGTATTGCCCGCCAATATCCCATTCCGTTTCGTTGGGTACTTTTCCCTTGATTTCGTAAAAAAAAAAAAAAAAAATCGCTGTCCCGAGATCCTTCCAATAGTACACATGCCTTTGTTTGCTCATCTAGAGAGCTTCCGCTAAAAATACAAGAGGTAAAAATCGTAGAAATCCCAAAAGAATCTGTGTAGATTCCCAAATACATCCCTTCCAACAAAAAAGGGAAGAATCATAGCTCTTCCAAAACCTGTATCAAACCGTGGATTGTCCATGAATCGTCATAAATCTCGTTCATAGTATGCTTAGCACCATGTGCATTCAATTATCGTCATCTTCTTCCTCTTCCTCTCCATCTTCATCTTCATCATCGGATTTTGGAGGCTCCCAAGTCTCTTCCAACTTCAAACCCTTGCCGGTAGGCTCTTGGTGTTTGAAGGAAGACCCAAGGAGAGATGATACCGTAGAGCGATAGTTGTTCAAGTGTGGATCTTCTTCGTATTTGCCAGGTGTGTCATAAAGTCCCATGCCGATAAGAATTTCTCCCTCTTCTTCAGATTCATCCAAGGTTTGAATAGATGCCTCAGGAACGTCGGCCTGAGGTTGCTGTGCGGAAGGGAGGAAAGAATCAGGTGTGGGTGGAGAGGTCTCGCTGAAGCCTTGATAGATATAGCTGTTCCAGTTAAGGGCATCGGTGGGGGACCTCTCGTTGATAGCACCGTTCAAATACTGATTATCAGCCAGAGTGGGATAGTATGGAGCCGACTGATTAGCTGCCTGCCACTCATCAGCTGAGGAGGTGGTCATGGCCTCGTTCGCTTGGTAGGACAACGGCAGTGGAGAAAAATTTGATGATGGCGAGGTGCTATTTGAGTAAGATGCCATTGGAGGAGATGGTTGGAAGGCGGTATGGTACCCATGTTGCATGGTTGGGTATTCATAAAACGTTTGCTGTGGAATGTATTCAACTTGGGGTGTTTGCAGGTGAGATGACGGATGCCAGCTGACAGGCCGTGACTGCCTTCTTGGTACAAACGCTCTGGTGTCTTGTGTTGAAGAAATGTATTCCAGAACTTGCTGCTGTCTTCTCGCCGCATGAGAGTCGTTGATGATTGTGCGCCTTCTTGACTTGGCAGCGGACGATCGTGGGCTGGTGCTTGTGCTTGAAGGCTTAACAACTCGGAGAGCCGCGCCCGCAGATGCTCGGGATAGCCTCTGAGTAACTTGTGACAGAGCCAGTTGAGTGTTGTATGTGTTGTCGTAGAATCTATCGTATTGATATGAGGGGAAAGGCTCAGCAGCCGGCGCTCCCCCAAAGGATGAGTGCAACATGCTGATGTAGTTGGATATGTTGAAGACTGGAAGTATAGCTGATTGAATGTCAAGGACGATTGTCGAATATGGTGTGGTGATAATACGGAATGATAATGGAGTAGGTGAGTCGTTGAGTGATGAAGAGTTAGCTACGATATATAAGAGGTCAGAGGTGATATACTGCAAGCACTCCGGGTGAGAAGGAAACTATTAATACAAACCCAAACACTAATAGCCAACTCTGTATTAGTATGGGGTGGTTCCCAAGGAGGGTGAGGGGTGTGGACATCTGAGGGATCAGAGTGGCGCTAACAAGCGACCCAGCTCTGGTAGGGATGGCTTGAAGGATAAATCACGGTCAGGGAATAGCAATGCATGGGTTTGGCACGCTGCTACTGTCCGAACCAGATCCAACCGACTATGGATCTAGAAGTGGACCAACGAGACAGCGGTACAGAGAGCAAATTAGCCACTAGGCAGTGGGCTAGTGATATGTTCTTCAGACTGGTCCTAGCAATGCTGGTACCACCAGCACTAGCGCTATTGGCAGAGTAGCAGTAGGCGACATGGGACGTTTCTTTTTTGGTATGACGACGGCACGCAAACGTGCGGGCTGCATGGAGATTAAACTAAGACTTGCTAGTGGACATCCAGATCCTGGATTGTCTTTTGTCTTGTACATGCTTGCTAGTACCGCACAGACTTTGAACACCCTCCGAGACATCGTCGGCCGGGATAGGAAGACAGCTTGCGAGCCGATATGCTTGCACCGTCCATCCATACAGACTTGTGCTAGTAAGACAAGCATGTTCTCTTCGTTCCTTGGCTGGTACGTCATACGGGGCGAGGCAAGGGGTGGTGTAAGGGTGTCTCATCGGACGGATCCTCAACCTCTAATCGGCAAAGCAGAAAGAGGAACAAAAAAAAAGGGAATGGGGCGTTCCTCATTAGCCACGGATAGTCATCGCTCTGGAGCGGCGGTCGTGCCGGACGCAATAACGCGAAAGCGCCTAGAGAAGGGAAAGATGGAGCATTTGCGCTTACGAGTCTGAGAAAACTTGGTCATCTGCTGAGCGAAGAGATGTACTTTGAGCATCCGGGTACATCCAAACTAGCGCATTTGCCCATGAACGACGGAGTATCCACCAGATTCAGGATACCTCGGTCTCGCGCGGCGGTACTCTGCGGCCACATACCGGTAAACCAGCGTGATCAAGGGATGGATGCTAGCTTTGGCGAGATTGAGAGGTCCAAAGAGTCAGTCTCTCGACAATCACCAAATCTACTGGCATCAAAGTCAGCAAGCCTCTAATGCTCATACGTGGCACAACAACAAATTCAGGGTGCTACCTACCAAGGGAGTCGGGTGTGGCTTTGAAGTAGAAACCAGTGAGGTGTAAAATTCGCAGCACATGCCTGTACCGCACAGGAGCCACCAAGATCCTCAGCAGGGCTGATAGATGATGGCATATAGCAGTACAGCAGTAAATACACTCGTACATAGAAAGTAGATACATTCTTGTTGTAGTATTACTGTACTGTGCTGCTGCTCCGTACATAGTATACAAGCACGATGCCTGTGTTAGCAGGGCGCCAACGAAAACGGCTTGAGGCAGGGATAGTCCGACGCTTGGGTCAAAACAGCCACCATTTGGGCTCCATGCTCGCGCCGCCGTGCTGGATGCCAGGGCAGGCCGCAGAGGCTCACGAGGAGGATGCCAATCAGCTCTATGGCCCCTGCCGCCCCACGTTCAAAGCGTAAAGGTCGCAGCAGAGAAGTGATGAGAAAAAAAAAAAAGAGCCCCCCATGGGGCCACCTTTCGGTTGCTTCGTGGAAGGGATGGCGAAGGATTCAACTTGAACCCAAGGGGGTCCAAGTAATAACGGCCTGTCAGCGCAGCCAACCAGAGGCGGTCGTAAGGAGACCGGAGCGTCCGTTGTAGCTCAACTGGAGCGAAAGATCACTGCTACCAGGGCGTGCAGAGGGTCGGTCGGTGCACGCCTTGTCTCCTAGTGCGCGGGCCCTTCACAAAGCCGTCCCTTGGTCTTGGAATGCCCTCGCTCCCCACTCACGACGTGGCGTGGTGGTGTTCCAAAATAGTGCGGAAGAGGCTGTCCACAAATCTCACCCACGCAGACGGAGTAGCTAGATGCACATCACGGTCCAGACAAAGTGATTGACATCCCCACATCGTCTGAACCCTTACTTGGGCTGATGCAGACACCCCGGGGCCTTGCTCGATTTTGCATCAGCAGCACGGAATGCTGCGCCGGCCGAAAGGCTATGAGGTGTCGATCTATCCAGAAACACGAACGAGCGGGTTGGAAGGAGGAGACAGACAGATCTCATCGCTGGTTCATCGGTCGTTAACGAGTGGCCAGCGTCTATGCCGGCCACATCATATTAGCGGTCCCTTCCGTCCAGCCGCTTACCATCTGTGCGCCCATGGGATGCTGCTAGTGCTCAAAAGCATGTAATCGTAATGAAACTTGCGGTGCTTTGCCCATATGTATCTGCCGTTTGAACAATCCGTAGCCTGTAAGACAGAGTCCACAACAATTGTGTGGCTGCAGCAGCCAGGTGCAATCCGCCATGGGGCTGACGGCCTCTGTCAAGCCCACTGCTCTCGTCGTCGTTACCATCGCTGCAGCGTCGCGTGGTTGCTATGTGGACTTCACTGTATACCTTCATATTAGTACTCCGTATTGCGCATGAATACAGACGGGATGCATTCTGCAGTTCTCTATCTCTTTGATATTTAGCCGGCGAGAAAGCAAAACCCGGAGCCGGCCGTGGATATTGAATTCAAAAGGAAACATACCTAGAAGCTAGCAGTCCACAGTAGGAAGCGTCCAGCAAGGCATGTACTAAGTAAGGAGCGAGAGCAGACGCAATTCACCGTCTGATGCTCCGCGGTCGCCCTTGGCGTGGCAGGGCCGTCGGAGGCGATAACCTACACAGAAAGGAAAGGAAAGAACGAGGCGGCTTGAGGCCCCCCCGCTAATTCGCGTTCGCGTATCAACGGCCACCGTCCAAGTGTGCAAAATCTCGGAAGGGGGGGCACGCAAAAGTAAAAGCTGCGGCTGCAGCAAACGCCATCCCTGGTTGACCGCGCGGCGCCAAAGTCGCCACCGAGCCTTTTGGGCAGGGGACTCCGTGCTCGTAGCGCTCGGTACTGGCCAGGTACCCTTAGAAGCAAGAGCGGGGTGTTGCTCACCGGCAATACCACTAGCTACCTTCTAGTACAGAACACACAGCTTCCGGGCTTTTCTGGCCAGCTGATACAAGGCTGTGGGCGCCTGTGAGGAGAGCGCTAGATTACTCGTGCTGGACTAGCAGTAGCATGCACGGAGAAGCTGCTGCTTGCCCACAATTACCATGTTCAGCCGCTACCTATTCAAGCGTGTGAGTCTCATCCTGCTTTGCAATACGGAGTACTCGCTAGCAAAAGCGCCGCTCACAATCCACTGTGTATACTGTAAGTCAACACCAACACTATTGCTGCTAGCACTCCAATATTAGTGGTTCTGCAGTAGCACAGTACTAGGCTCTACTATGTAGGTCACTAGGTATCTCACATTTACAGCAATTGTAAGCTTTCCAACCCCGATACGTCACCCTTGATTCCAAGGCCCCGTGCTTCCCATCCATATTTCGCGATTCGCATGCGCATGGTATAGGTACGATGCATGAAAGCCTCTCGTTTATGATCTATATTTGTACAACGCCGTCCTCTGTGCTGCCGGCCTGCAATTTAGATAGAGTACGGAGCAGGGCTTGCTTGCTTTTGGTGCCTCGTAATGCACCTGGCTCATGCCATGGCAATCTGTCTCGCCTTTGTTCAAAATACTAGTCAAGTACCTACCTAGGTAGTATCACCGCATTGCGTGGCATGGAGCTTGTCCTCTAGATGCTCGGCGCAAGGGCGGCGGAGAGTGAGAGCGCCACATTGCTACCGGCACTCGTACAAGTAGGTATGCAAATGGAAAAATCAAGATTGCTCCTAGGGGCCGCTCCACTTGGATTGCCCAGTGCGAGCATGTTGGTCCGCTAATGCCAGCTCTCCAAGTTGCGAGCATCCCTGGAGCTACAGTATTATGGCACTGCTGATGTGGGAGGGGATGCGTGAGAGACAAATCAATGCTACAGCGTAGCACAGGCACCATGGCCTTACTAGTACGGAGTACCTGATACGCTCCTTGGATCCGCTAGCACTGCAGGCGCAGGTCGCCCAGTCTGGCAGGCGGAGCGACTGGCCACTTCGAACCATCTTCAGGTGACTCCAGCAGGGTATGGTGCTCTATGCTCGGCACAGCAATGCCACTGGACTAGCAATGTGCCCGTACCTCCAACTACGCTCATACATGTACCTACTTGAGTGGCGCCCAGCGCAATCGCTCGCCTGATGCAGCTGTCTGGGCGCTGCAGTACAGGCCCGCCGCGCACTCCACCATGGCTACTCCGTGGTCGTGCTTCGCCTTGCGTTGCCATTTTTTTTTTCCCCTTGAACGTCATGTACATGCCATACACGGTAATGAAGCAGCTCCCTCGGTTGTACAGAGCAGTGCAGACATGGTGCAGCGTGGTCTGCTCCCCTGGCTCGCCAAAGACGGGCATCGTGGAGATGATGAAATGCTCGTATGCCCCTATCACAGTACCTACTCCTAAACGACAGTATGACTGCTTCTCGCTGCTTATAGTTTTACTTCCTTGCTGTGCTAAACAACCAGTCCTTGTCTTAGCACTTGGGGAAGACAATACCTAGTAGTGCTGCCTTTTGGGCTACAGTCCTACATCGTGGCCAATAGCACAGACTCACGTTTCACTTATCTACAAGTACAGCACTATACAGTATATCCAGTGGAACTTGCCGTGCGTACCAGGCCAATAGTCGTCCCATCCGGTATACAAGTTACAAGCAGCATTGTCCAAGCCCGCTGCTATACGGATGGTCATGCTCCATAAGCAGAGAGATGGTGAAACCCGGTTGGATCAAGTAGGGAGTAATCCATACTTCGTACAGGCGGTTAATCTCTCCAAATAGCAGGGGCAGCAAAGACCAAACGATCACTCCGCATTTACACTCAATGTTCGAATATCTACTATCTACTAGTAGTAGCAATACTAGCACTGGTATGTGCAACATGCACACGAGAAAAGACCTGGAGCTTCTGCTAGCATCGCAGTTAGTACAGTATCTCCATACAACTGATCGCAGCATTGACGCCAGCCTACTGCAAGCATCACTTTTCCTCAGGCACACGATCCATCTTTCTTCCCAAAGCGTCTAATCAACTGGCCGTTTCCAAATTACTCGGCTTCCAATCATAAGACCTTGCCCGTGCCCTGCACATGCACGCTCCGAGATGGGGGGTATGCCTCTTTGTGCCACTACCACGCTGCTAGCATCAATGGCTGGATGGCTTAGGTTGGGAAAAATAGAACCAACTGTAGGGAGCAGCTCCACTGTGCGTTGGCGCCTGTAGCTGAGCGCCATCCTGGGCAGTGATGGTGGCTCACTGCGTCGACTCATATTACAGCACAGAGTACCTATGTACGTGCAGAGAATGGGACGCTAGGCAATGGCTGCAGCGCTCGCCAGGCGGTCTTGGGGCGCCTGTCGCTCGTTTGCCCTTCCTTCTGCTGGCCCATCAGGTCCAATCCTTCGCCAATGCGCCACCATCAGCTCTAGGTCCTGCAAGAGCCTTCATCGACAAAGGCCAGCATGTGATGAGTCCGCAATGGGACTTTGATGGGAGCAATAGTGCTCAGGCAGCCCCATTCTGCAGAACCCGCGGCAGTCCGGCTTCCCAAGGACGGGCGCTGCGTGTCATGTGATCGCTTGTCGCGCAGGCCAGGGAAACACCAAAGTAGGTAGCATCTGCCCTGGGCATAATCCTCCATCGTCAATCTTCGGGGGGCCGGCTAGCCTTGCCAGGGTGTCGCTGCCAGCTACGGACCTCGATGGCCTCCAAAACTTTAGAACCGAACCCCTCGCCGCGACTGTCCCACTCAGGCCTCCGGTAACTTGCAAAACTTCGGGCGGCTCTTGATCCACTGGCGCCGTGACCTGGCGGGCCGTGTCCTTGTTGCACAGGTGGGGTTACAGAGGCTGGCGACAACGGCATAATGCCCCTTTTTCTTTCCCCTTCTTCCTTTTCGTCCGCGGCAGGAAATACGATGATCGGCATCAACTCGTTCACACCCCACCCTTGGCCAGGTCGAGACTGAGCCACCCTCCAAATGGGTTGTTGGCTGGCTGCCGCATTACCTTTCGGCCGTGGTTCAGTGGCGCACAATCGCAGAGAGGATTCTTTTGTCTCAACGACACGGTTGCACCATACCGTCTCCTCTCTCTTTACCCAGTGTACTTGTTGCTGACCCATCCCTAGACACCACGGCTTTGTACCGCCGCGCGCCCTTTTGAGCAAGGTTCGCCGGCCATGGTGAATATGATCCCTGGGTCAATGCTGGCCCCTCGGCTGCTCCAATAGCCTAGTGCTTGGCATGTTTGCCAACATCGTTGCAGGCCAGCTCTGACTACTTTCCATCCATCAGAGCCCAATGCGGGCGCCAATGTTCCACGCAGCCATGTTTCGACCATGACAACTTTATTGCTTGGAGCTCCACATCCTTTGCCTGCCTTGGAGGGTTTTCCGAACAAAGACATACCAGACTACATCTGCTATGCCCGTCCAACCAGGGAGCATATGCCGCTACCACTGATGAACAGCTGATAGACAAGGCATGGCTGCCTGCAAGCCACGTTTGCGAACATTAAACACACTCTGGTCGCTCGGTGTTCTGCGCGACGCATTCTTTTGACCTAATGCGGGATAATAGGGATGAGAAGCATTCTCTATCCTTGGACTCATGAATTTACCTAGTACGGCCTGTGTACTCATAGCAGCCTCTGTTTCTCTACGCCGTTCACTGATGGGCATGCTGTATTATCTCCGACGAAATGATGCATATCCAACTACAAATAACCCTTAGCTGCACACCAGCAGAAAGAGGAAATAGTGGTGGGTGGCACTGCCACTACTCATAGCGGAAGGCCGCTTGCGAGGGCTTCAACCTGTACGTACTAGGTACTATTGCGGCCACTGGACAACTGCAGTGGCGCATATCACTCTGCAGGCCAGCCCGAATTCTGTCTTCCATCCCCTGCCTTGTCCTCGTGAAGCCACTCGCCGACATACTGCATGTATGGCTTTAGTCTATGCAGCCAATTCCACTGACTCGAGCAGTTGATACGCCTTGTTACTACCCTACAGCCTCTGTATGTGGGATGGGGGTTTCTGTACGTTGGGCTGTGGTGGAATGATTCGCGATCAGCAAGAGAGTAGAAGGATATAGTAGCGCCGAGTACGTATGCTGGACACGCTGCTTGGTGTCGTATTCAACAGACGTTCTGGTGCATACTATCGCCATCTGCTAGATGCATACGGGTGCTGGGCAACACGTTATCAGATTTTACAGCCACACTACCTTGCAGGGTAGCCATGGAGCTGGGAGCTCTTTACATGGCTACCCTGACGCGGCAAGCGGTTGGCTCACAGCTACCAAATGTAAGACGCCACCTTTGACTGTGTCAGTCAGCCCAGAGCACAGGCTGGCGTAGTATTTGAGTCGACTTCCCCACAGCAATAGCACACCTTGCGAACATAGGCACCACAGGCACAGCGCAGGACGCGTGATGGCCTGAAGAGTAGCTGGAGGCCAAGGTTCAGCAGCTAGTCTGCGTCAGTGTGGATATGCCGAGCTGGTGCCTACCGAAGACAGACGCGGCTAGTGCAACGACACAGAACATACGTATGGTGTATGGAGCACTTTATACCACTTTACCAGCAGCAGTAATACCTAGTGGTGCTAGGTACTCCGGAGATTTCGTAGATTACAGGTATGGTAGACCTATGGCTTCCTGGTATTGCAGGCATAGCCTGGATCCTGGCTGAATGTGAACGCCACGCTTCTGCTACGGCTCTCCGTCTTATCCCACAAATAGCCCTGGTTCAAAAATTAGAGAAGGATCAGTGCAAGTGCGTGCCTCGCCCGATACGAAACATTTTTTGCGGCCCCGACTTGCTTCCCCAGGCCGCCAATCTTTTCTTACCACGAAGATTCTGTCGCATATGATAGAGGGCAGCGCTATCCATTGGTCCAAGCTGTGGAAGCGCAACAAATCCTTCCGCGCAGAGTGGCATTTGCTATTTCGCTTTGAGACAACCTTGATGCTTCCCAGCTAACGGAGCTGGCAACGCAGGGATGCTGGTGGAAAAGGTCCGGCCTTCAGAAGTTGCCAGTTAGTGCCGCGCAACGTGCTTTGTATGGAGCATGCTTGTTTTAGCGAACGGTCACATTGCTAGCCAGCGACCCAACGTCCAACAGACTACCAAGGAGAAACAGCAGCAATAGTTCTGGTTGTACGAGGTATGGATTGCTAGAAACACTAGCATTGTTCCGTACAAAGTAGACCTTTTGGCTATCATCCCGGTCATTTGCTACTTTACGCCTAGAACGAGTGATGGGACCTTCTTTGTCACTCAGCTACCGCCTTGGCGCCGGATGCTTTCCGACATCCCACCCGCTCTCTTCGGCCTGCGGCGATCGACGTGTATGTGATGCATGGGTACTAGTACTATTATCTATTGCATCACTTTGCCTTGGGCTTCGGACCTTCATCTACGAGAAACCCCTCAGTGGTTAAGGGTGTAGTGGTTGAACGTTAGGGCCTCGATCACTACAATCTTGCTTGCCTCTTACGGAGGGGTTGAGAGCATGTCTCAATCTGAGTACATAACTCGTATCTGAGACAGCCCGGGCAAGATAGTTTCTCAAAAAAAAAAAAAAAAAAAAAGAGAGGAGAAAAAAAACCTAGCAGTGAGTCAAACTACCACTAGTAGTAGCAATCAATCTGCTGCAACACATTTCATTTCGCTGGAACTAGCTCGCATCGAGGGGCCAGCCCCGTCAACGGCGGCAGCAGCATTCAAGTATGGAGAATGACACTCTTTAGCTGTCATCCATCGTACGAAGACCTCCCCTTGTTCTCTACGGCAGAGCACTTTACGCGTCTGGAATGCTCAGCCTAGGAACTGGTACCTGTATACCGTGTGGCCCCCATCGATAAATCTTAGGCAGACACCCCTCAGCCTTTATTGCTTGCCACCCCTTTTTAAGACCTCCCTGCCCTGATTTGTCCGTTTCACTTGACGCCCGCAATAGCCACTGATTATTTTCGTTTGGACATGGCAGCGACAGCACCGCTTGTTGGGCTTTATTATGGCCCTGTGCGAGGCGCTTTGCACTTTGCGTCGGACAGCAGCACATCCTTGCACGGCTTTGTAGTGTATGCCTGCTCTTATAAGCAGCAATGACCATGTCGAAGCAGCGTCTTGACAGGGCATTGTCAACGGATAGTGCAGCCTGCTGTACTCCCTTCTTTGAGGGAGTGATCTGGATTGACTCACTTGGCTTTGCTAGGCGCCTCCTCTATTTCCCAGTGGGTGTGGCCTTAAGATTTAGGGCAGCCACAGGCTGGTATTCCCGATATAGCTTCTCGATCCTTTGCGTCTCATCCATCCGCTACCCTTTCTCGATACTTCTCCCCTCCAACCTAATAGCTTCCACGTCGATCTCGAGCGCCTGTTGACGGGTGACGGATTTCCAGCACTCGGCTTTCTGGCCCTTCAAGCCATAGTCGCACCCTTTTCTTGCATCCGCAGTCGGAAATCCTCATCCTAGGGGCGCCACCATCGTGTGCGACGGAGAGTTAGCAGCCTGCTTGATATGTAACTATCGCCAGTGGTGGCGTCATATTTTATTCATGTGCTTTCTGCGTGCGAGGCTGTTGGCAAATCTAGTCACTGCAACTACAGGACTGCATCTACTGTACATACAAGTATGGCACACACACGAGTGGCCGTTGGCAGCCAGGCTCTAAGGGCGCACTGCAGTGGAGAGGAGGGGGCGGGGGGCACGAAACCATCAGGTGGCTAGCAGCCTGTTTGTATGCATGCAACCTGGAATGATATGCACGGCCTAGCGATGCGAGAGACGGGGGAGATTTTGCCTCATCAGCGACTGCAAGCCCGGCGGCAGCCCCACCAAGGCCATCAAGCCGAGACACAGCTCCGGCTTTGATGGTCTGCCACAGTCAACCACTAGGCTGTACAAGGAACCCTCGCTGGCACCGTCACTTTTGCCCTTTTCTTATTTGGCGTCGGATATTGCATAGCGAAGCTCACCGTACATGGTGGCTTTTTGTGTTCTCTCTCATTTGGCTCCGTTTTCGCTCCCCACTACGCAGGCTCTTTCGTGTGCACACCAGACCGTTTCACCGCCTCTAATTACCCCCTTCCTTTGAGCATCGCAACAGACACAACCCTCCGGCCTTGATATGGTTACTGTACCAGGCCACACACGGGTTTGCTGGCTGTCTCGCCTAACATGCCAACTTGTCGATTATTGCCAAGTACGGAATGTCCTCCTCTGTGCTGGTAGTAGAGGCATACACGTATCTGTTGGTGGTGATGTGCTCAAACGATCCCTGCGTGGATGAATTAATATCATCACCTAGCCCTGATGAATGAGCGCAATGGCCAGCTCTTCTGACTGTTTGTTTTCGTCCCCGCCCACCATTTCTGGTGGCTACGAGTAGTATTGGCGCGACGCTATCTCAGGGCTGCACATTTTTAGGTACAGAGCAGCATTATCGCTTCTTTGTCCGTCAAGAGAACACTCCGACCCGCTTTCTACTATATGTACTTCGTACTACATATTACCTACTACTACTAAGTAGGTACCTACTTATTTCTCAGCCCAGGGAGGAGCTACAGGTGAGGGCCTGCTATGGCGAATGCTAAATCGATGGGATCGATCAGGACGCATTGCCTACTAGCCAGTCGTGGACATCAGCGCCGAGCCCCTGAAACCCCTCCCTTTGGACCTTTGTCGTAGCCAGGTGTACGGCGAACCTCAGCCCGTGGCTGACATCCCAGGTCTTGTTTCGACAGACCAGGCTATAGAGCATTCCCGCTATGAAAGTATCACCCGCTCCTACCGAGCTAGACGAAGACGTGTCAGCTGCTGCGGTGCTTCAATGCCGCTCTGTGTTGCTAGCCGTGGTATGCGCAAAAGACTAGCCAGGTTGAGTCGTGGCAATCATATCCAGCCAAATGGGGAGGACGGCACGGGAAAAAAGAAGGGAAAAGGGAAAAGGGCAATGAAATGACCCTCGCCGGATGTAACCTACTCGACGACAGTAACGGACTTTGCGCGGCTTTCCACGGGACAGTGGACGACCTGTTGTTTGGGGAACTGGCACATGGCGGCTCCCCCTGCACCCCAAGTGCAGAAGGCAAGGGATCTATTGCGAGTACCATGAGTCGAACGGTCATCTCGCATCAGCGGCAAAGAGGAAGAAGAAGAAGAAGACGACGAAGAAAATACACATTAGGCAAAATGGACTGCAGCCCAGCAGACGGGCGTTTCGGTGGAAGGGCATGCTTACGCTTTCCGCTGCTTCTCGCTCATGAGGCACGATTCGGCAGACCCATGACCAGAGCTCTATGCAGGTTGATCTGTCAGCCGTTTTCTTATGCATTATTCTCACGATCCAGCATTCCTCTTCTCCTGAGATGCCGTGTTGGAGCCCCCCTGGTAAATAGGAGCCGGGGAGAACCACCAAGAACTTCGCTCGGCTCCCTCCGTGGCTCAATGTCACATACCTCTGCCCAGGACTTAGAATAGAAGACGACATTGGCTTCGGCAGCGAGCGCGCGAAGACCGTCCCTCCCTGGCTTCTCGACTTCGACGCTGATTTGCGCGTTTGGGAGCTTATCACGCAGCGTGCGGACGCACTCTAACGTAGTATGCGGAATGCGGCCCTGAGCCAGAAGTGTCAGACAAGGATTTGCTGTCAAGAGGGTGTCGCAGAATCAAATGTAGTGGCGCTTCTCTTGCTTGGACCATCCAAATAGTTGCTGCAACCACGGTCATTCGCGGGTGTCACTCGACCAAGTAGTAGCAGCAGCAGCAGCAGCATGGCCTGGATACAGAGGGAGAGGAGAAGAAAGTGTTGATGAATCCACTCACTTCAAAGTGCCACCAGGTCTCGTCGTCGGGGCTGAATTTCCGCACGACTGCCTGGAACTCGCCGATTGTCATTTCTGGTAGGTCATTGTAGTTTACGAGCGTACGGCTTCCCGTCTGCTCGCTACGGATGATGTAACTGCTGGCGGCTTCCGTGTGCGTCTCTCGGTAAAGACTGTGCTCAAGGCTCACGGGTGACGACTCACCAAATGAAGCCTTAATGCGCTGCGTAGCCGGCGATAATTTGCTTGGCAGAGGCGATATCAAGTACATGCGGACAGCATCTTGTTGAGGCTGGACGAGCTGCTGCAGCACCTCGAGTGAGTTGGGACAGTTGCCTCCTCGGCGAATGCAGAGGCTCGATGCTCGTAGCTTTTCGTCTTCTTCTGGGCAGTGCGGTACGCTGTTTGTGAAGAGTTAGTAAGAATTGTGATGCATCGGCGATAGCCTCGATGTTGTGTAGGCGTCGTAAGAAGTTGGCTCTTTCCTCAAGATGGTATCTAGGTAGCAGGCTCCGATTAGGATGAGATGCTTCATCGTGCCGGTGAAGCAGAGGAGTTTCCTTTGTTTTTGACCTGTATTTCTGTTTTTCTCTTCTATTTTTCTAGTCGTATTGTACTTTGTTTAGCATCTTTTTGAATGCGTGAGCCCACTGTGTGATATAGTGATGATGCTCGATTTCAACATACGACAAGCAGCAGTAGTGGCAGACTCTGAGTGCGCTACTGACGTATTGACAGCTTCTTGGTTAATGACCCACTTGCTCTATCAAAGGAGAGTCAGTAGTGGTGATATATCAACATCGATCGTAGCTTTATAGCTGACACATTCGTCTCTATTCTCTCTATTCTCGGAAAGCGTGACCAGATAATCGCGTTTGATGTAGGCCGGAACCCGTGCGAATGATCTTGGAGAAACTCTGTGGCTGCTTGCGAGATCCGAGTTCCGCCACTGACAATCAGTCTTACTTTTTACCTCATCGAGCTTCGCCCAGCTACCCGGGAGGGGTTTCAATTATTCTTCAAAATTCCACCTTTAGGACAAATATTGAGCGCAGTTTCTCTGTCAGCGGCCGTATATTACAGCTAGCTCGTGTTGATGCATCATGAATGGAATGCAGCTGTGCTGTTTGGGATAGGAGCCATGCAATCACAGCATCTTGACGTGTACATGATACTAGCTTGACGGGAACTTTATGCTCCACCTTTCGGCTTAGCATCTTTGGCATTCAGCTGAGAGCACCTGCTCCCGTCGATCTTTCGAGCTCATCCAGCATTTCCTACAAATGCAATACTTATTCCCTCTGCTCTGCTATCCATACGATTGGCAAATTGCAACGCATTTCCACCGCCATCATCTAATCTGAGGACGCGACTTGACTGCTCTTTGCAGCACGGCATACTGCTAGCGGAGCTGTGACCCCGCGATACCGATTTCAGCCATTACATCATGGGTCGCGAGCAGGAAGAAGATGGGGCCAAGACAAAGCCTAAGCACATAGCATTTGAAGAAGTGAGCCTGGATGGGAGCGACGAGGATGATGGAGCTGTCGAGGTGAGTGCGATGCCATCTAGTTCCTTTTGTTTCAAGTGGCCTCTTTCTTTCTGCTGGACGAAACCATGTTCTGTGTAAGCGATGCCTTGCCGCTGACTATCCCGAATATTACAGGTCACCTTCGATCCAGGAAATCCATACCGGAGAAAAAGCTCAATGGTCTCGTCGGAAGCTCCTGTGCCTGCGACAAAGCGCATGCCTCCAGGCCGACGAGCCGAGTGCGTGGTTCATCAATTGATAGAGGAGCAACGAAAGTCCAAGGAAAGATCGGCTGGGAACTCTCCCAACCGCAACCAGTATCATGCGCATCCGATATACTCGGAGTCACAGAGACACGACGGAGCGGTCGATATTAGCAATGAAAAGAATATGGACAGAATCATCGATAAGAAGTGCCCTGCCGCAGAGCAAAGCTGCCGTGCAGTCCTCGACCCTAATTACTTGGAGGATGATAACGAGATAGGACAGGTGGACCAGAAGGCTTGGACGAAAGAAATGACCAAGACTGATTCCGAGACAAATCTGCACCAAGAGTATGACGCTGTCCATAGTCGCATGTTGACCAAAAAGCAGCTGAGTGATATGGCTTGGGGAGTTCGCGAGCTGAGTAGGCGGCTGAGCAGCATGCGCATCCGCTTCCGAGTGAGAACCATCTTTCTTCTGACAAAGATTCACGACTCGGATTTGATTGTCAAAACAAGGGCCCTGGCGCAGTGGTTGCTCAGTAAAGAGCGAGATGTCAAATACGTCGTGTATATAGAGAAAATGCTCAAGACCAACAAGAGGTTTGACGCGGGAAAGCTGGTTGACGATTTGGCTCACGAATATGCCAAAGATGGTAGCGTGACTGAGGATAGTGCTCGCGAAGGAGTCCAGAGACGCCTCCGGTACTGGGACGAGGACATGTGCAGATCACGACCTCATTCGTTTGATTTTGTCATTACTCTCGGAGGAGACGGAACAGTCCTCTACGCGAGCTGGCTCTTCCAGAGGATTGTGCCACCGGTGCTGAGCTTTGCGCTGGGGAGCCTTGGATTCCTGACCAAGTTTGACTTTGAAGACTACCAGCCGATCCTCAATTCTGCCTTCTCAAAGGGCGTGACGGTCAGCCTGAGGCTTCGGTTCGAGTGCACAGTCATGAGGAGTGTGCGCAAGAGGCTCCCAGAGTCGGAATCTGATGAGGATGACGACGAGTCGCACTATAGGCGGGATCTGGTGGAGGAGCTGATTGGCGAGGAAAATGAAGACGAGCACACACATCGGCCGGAGGGGACGTTTGAGATTTTGAATGAGTTGGTTGTTGACCGAGGGCCGAATCCAAGTGAGTTCATCGCCTCTATTGCATTTTTGAATTATTCCTTTTTGGAGACTACATTTGCTAATCTAGACATCTTCTTCCGTATATAGCCATGTCTTTTACGGAAATCTTTGGAGATGACGAGCACTTTACTTCGGTGCTCGCAGACGGCATTTGCGTATCTACACCAACAGGTTCGACGGCCTATAACCTCGCCGCTGGCGGCTCCCTATGCCACCCCGAGAACCCCGTCATGCTCGTCACCTCCATTTGCGCCCACACGCTGTCGTTCAGGCCAATCATCCTACCGGATACGATCGTCCTGCGCGTGGGCGTGCCCTACAACGCCAGAACGGCCTCGTGGGCTAGCTTTGACGGGCGCGAGCGAGTGGAACTGAAGCCCGGCGACTATGTGACGGTCAGCGCGAGCAGATATCCCTTTGCATCGGTCCAGACGGAAGGGCGGAGGAGCGAAGATTGGATAAATAGCATCAGTGGTAAGCTGGGATGGAACACGAGACAGAAGCAGAAGGGATTCAAAGAGTGGGATAAATGAAAAAAAGTGCAACTACATCTGCATTATATTATTCTTGTTTTGGACGATAGAGGCAGGTTATTGGGAGTTTTGCAGTCACTACCACTAAAATCTTTTGCTATTTGTATAATAAGTACGAAGAAGAAGAAGGAGGAGGAGGAGGAGGAAGAGGAGGAAAACAATAGTCTGTATATTAGTAGTATGTAGCTACCAGTAAATACCAGGTATTCAAACAGGTACCAAGTAATTCATTGTATTAGCAGCATCAGTCTTGTATCCGCCCTTATCCGAAGTGAGTACTACAGCTTCTTGCGCTGAAGGAAGGAAACAATGGCCCCGCCCCCACAGCGGCCGTGGCGGGGCACTGGCCATTCATTGTCTGTGTATGGCGACCACACGCTAATGGTGGTGATAATTTCCAGCGCGCACTTCTCGGTTTCCAAGAGCGTCTTCTGCTTGTGTGATTGCTTTGTTTTGGATCCGTTGGATAGATGCAGATCAGTCGCCTGGTATCTTCATTTGGATTCTAGTCCTATTTTTGCTCACATTAGCGTTGTCAGCTTTGGAATCATCCTCGCCACGGTGCTGAGGCCAAGTTCTCTCAAAACCTCGAGCTCCCCCAACTCCCAAAAAAGAAAAAAAAATAGCCACCAACCGACAAAAAACAACAACAACAAAAACAAAAATGGCCTCCCAATCCTCGTCCCTCCCGCCCGACCTCTTCGACCAAACCACCATCGTCTCCCTCCTCTCCACCCTCGCCATCGTCTTCGTCGCCTACGCCACGTCGCGCCTCGTCCTCCCCCGCGCCACCACCTCCGGCACCCTGCGCTTCCTCTTCATCTGGCACCTCGCCGACGCGCTCTGCCACTTCATCCTCGAGGGCAGCTTCCTGTACCACTGCTTCTTCTCGTACGTGCCCGCGGCCGAGGCGGGCGGTAGGGACCTGGTGCCCACGCCGTACAACTTCCTCGGCTTTGGGGACAGCAGGGTCTATGGCCCGCAGAGCGGCGGGGACAACCCGTTTGCGCAGCTGTGGATGGTGTATGCGCGGGCGGATAAGAGATGGGCGGGAGCTGATTTGGTGGGTTTTGTGCTATAACTACCTACCTAGGTAGCGATAATGATTTGTTGCTAACTGGAAACAAAAAAACAGGGCGTCATCAGTCTCGAGCTTTTGACCGTCTTCTTTGATGGACCCCTGGCCGTGTATATCTGCTACCTGATTTCAAAGGGCAGCCCCAAGGCCAGCATCTGGATGATTGTACTGGCGACTTGCGAGCTATACGGAGGTACGTGCGGTGCACGCATGATACAGAAGCGTGGTGAGGAGACGGTGCTAATCAGGCCCATAGGTTTCATGACTTTCTGCCCCGAGTGGCTCACTGGCAACATCAATCTCGACGGCAGCAACTTCATGTATATGTGGGTGTATCTGGTTTTCTTCAATATGCTGTGGGTCTTTATCCCGCTGTATGCGGTTTGGTACTCGATCAGCGACATCTCAAACGCTTTTGCCGTGCGACAGGCCATTGATAAATATAGAAAGGGACAGTAATCACTGGCCCGGTTTGCCAGTCAGTATGGCATATTTGGGGCATGTTAAGAGTTGGAAATGCATTTTGTAGCACATGTGATATGGCACCGATCATATAACCTTCAAGCAAAACAAAAAGACAAGACTAGAGTCACGGAACGAGGAGATATAGGTTCCAAAATGTATTATTGAGCTATGACGGGGTATCGATGTTCAATGTCTCTCATATCATAAGACACTCAGCAGCGGAGGGGCTTCATGCTTTTGTTGTTCCACCACATTTGCTCTCATTGCCATGATCGTTTAGATGGCCTGCTTGTGGGCCTCGCCCTTGGCGTCGTGCTTGCTCTCGTCCATCTTGTTGCCCAGGGCATCCTTGGCAGCGGAGGCACTGTGAAGGAAGAATTGTTAGTCGATATTTTGTGGATAGAATATATGAAGGGCCTTACCGAGTGCCAACGGAGGCATCGGAGTCCTTGGCGACCTGCTTGTTGGCCTCCTTCTCAGTGCCACTGGTGGCCTGCTGGACCTTCTCGGAAACGTAGTTGGCGCCCTGCTTGATGGAATCCATTGTGTTGGTTGGTTTGGTTTGGTTTGGTTTGAAGATAGAGTTGATTTAGTGTGATCTTGATCTGAGGTTGTGTTGCGAGGTTGTGATGAGAGAAGGCTAAGTTGAGAGATGATGGGGGGATGAAAGAGTTTATATAGACCTGAGGGGAGAGCTGGAAAGGCTAAACAGCCCGAGAATAGATAGCTACTGACATGGCATTCACTCTTTCTCCATGCATGTGAAGCAGGAACATGGCGTCATCGAATACGTGTTGTCCTCCACCAACGTGGTGAATATCACAAAGAAAGCGGTGCTGATGTAGAACGGCCGCCATGACTAGCGGGCCAGGGACTTGTGAACATTGCTGCTTGAACACCGATTGACTTCAGATCAAGGTGGGCTCTTGCCTGCGGAGCATGTACCCCTTCCTCCGTCATGTCTCGTTAAGGTGTAGATGCCCGCTTTGAGACACACGGACTGCCTCTCATAGGTACGCAACACTGAGTGAATACGGCGTTTTGGTAAGTGTTGCGGGTTATGAATGACATCACGACCAAGCGAGCAAAACGTCACTGCTCGTGTGAGCTGCCGAGTAATAGGGCCGCCAATGCCTGCGAACAGCCTTGTGCCATACTGTATACAAGCTTATTTCCTCCGTGCAGAAGCAAGCGGGTCGATGGTCGACGCGCAATGGATCGAGCCGAGTCTCATGGAGCTGCTGTGAGCAGATTTGTGAGAGATGTGGCTTGTCCTGGTGCCAGCCAAACAATGATTCGACGCCTCTGAGCTCTTTTGGTGGGGGGACGCCACGTGTGGCGCCTGAAGCTAGAGCAACTGGATCTCAATATATGGGGCCGCTGTGTGAATGACGTATTCGTGGCATAATCACTACGATGGGCTTCCCTCTATGAGATCGAACTCCATCCCGCTTTGTGTTGTTTGCAAGGTCCGCTGATGCTTGCATCGAGATCTTCACGGACCCAGCCGGAAAGTTCTCTCCGGAGCATCCAGAGCTCAGGGTATCGGCTCTACGAGGCCTTGGCTCCTGAAGCTTGTGTGTTTTTTTTTTTTTTTTGCGGAGGCTGGGCCTTGGACGAAGCGAATTAATTGGCAGGCTACAAGCGGGCTATCCTGCAAACCTCACATTCACATGTTTGCCCCCGAGGATGGGAGAAGATGCTAGATAATCTGTAATTGAGCCTGCCGATTCATGACGCCACGATGCCCACCCTGATTCTCTGAAGAGGGGACGATTGGAGAGCTGACCGGCTGACGAATTCCTTACCGTTGGAATCTCCGCACACGGAATCAGCAGCAACGATGCCGATACCAGTTTTGCATTTTGGGATCTCGTCAAAGCTGTCACGTGGATTGCTGCGGAAATGTGCCGTTCTAAGCAGATGTGGCTGCGACTTCAACGTGTGTACACGGCTGTCGGCTTATCAAGTTATGATGAGCGATCAAGCGTAACTTTTCGATGCCAAATAGCAGACCCGTGAAGAACGTGGTCTAGTTGACTCGGATCTAAATGCTTTCAATAACTGTCGGGAATGATGCCGGCTATGGGAAATAAACAAATAGAACCTCGAGAAGTCTGACAAAGTTTAGGAGAGAAAGAATGATTTGTATAAGTACTAGGTAAGTGGATAGCTGACTTGGCCTGCTGGGTAAATGGATGCCACCACTTCACTGGAGATCTTGCTGCTTGTCACCTTTAAACTTGATATATTGATGGGCAATTCCTTGAGGCAATCTCTTAGATACCCTATGCATCTGGAGCATATAAAGCAGGCTAGGTATAGAGCGAAGACATGCAGTCGTCATGAGATTTGTGATGATAGATGGCACTGGACAAGGCGGATGTATCTAGTACAGGCAAAACCAGCTAAATCTACATCCACGACACAGAAATGCAACAAGGACTCTAACCTGATATGAATGATACATCTACCTATTACTCGGCCAGGCGCTGATTCAACTGACTGCAAAAAGGCAACGTCAGAAACAGTGCAGACGGACCAAGAAGCGTGGAACGTCGTTTTAACAGGCTGCTCAAATGATGCCCTTAGAAGGGTTTCGGTCTCATTATTACTCATCACATCAGCCTGCCAAGGCCAGATAAGCTCATGAAACCATCTGTTCCCGACAATGCTGTTGTGCCATGGGAATTGCCCCTGTTTAACCAAAGGCAAGATTCCACGCACGTGTTGGGGCGCAAGTATGCCCGAGTTAGAACATGTTCAGCAGTCGCGTATTTGATGCCATCGTGTGCAGAATGACCCGCAGCCAGAACCAGCTCCCGGCGCCAGGGGTTCTCCGCGAACCGTCCAAGCCATTTTCAGCATAGCGCATTCCCCCGTCTTGCCGCATTCGTACCAATTGGTGACTGCCTGCAGCAATAGCTTCAACTTCTCGAACCTCTCGAGCAGGGCTCCTGACTTTTGAAACCCGAATTTGTTCCAAGTTTGCTTCAACCCCGCCGCTATCGGGCCCGGAAAACCTGCCCTCGTGGCTGACACCAGGGCGAATCCGGCTAACGAGACGTTCATCTTAATGAGAAACGCGGCGATAAAAGAAGGACGTGACAAGCTTTGAGGCAGCGACCGAATCTGCCCTAGCTGTCTCCTCGAGCTGTCTGGCTGATGCAGCTAAGAGACGCCACAGGAACACGATACAGACGGGTTTTAGTGAAATTCAGAAGATGAAGGGGCTTCTGTCTTTGCTTGGCTGATTTCGTCTGGTACATCGCATGAACATTCGCTCTCTGTTCTGTTATCAGTTCGGTTATCAGTCCATGCCAGGGTCTCATGTTACAAGACGACGACGAGAGAGCTTGATGAACAGATCCGGGAATTGGTCGCAATGGTAGATGCTATAAGCATGATTAATCTCAATGGTCGATAACCTTGTCACTTTATCACCCCTGGCCAAGACGATGCCGTCAAACTCTAAGTACTTGGTGTCGATTGAAACACACTACCCATGTCCAGCTGGATTTGGGCTGTGTATCCTTTCTCCCATAGCCCACGCCCGGATCTCCGTATCCCGGTATTCCTTGCTCTCGGCCGTGTTTCTTTGCTCCACAATGTTGGAACGAACATCTCCCTTTTCTTGTTCTTCTTGTCTCCCTCCCTCCCTTCTTTTTTTAGATATTTTTCTCTTTACCTCTACTCGCTCTGGTAGCGATCCTTGGCGTCAATCTGGAGTAGATCGTGTTTCTTCTAATTCCTTTCCTTCCATCTTCCATCTTCCATTTCTTTTCTTCTGTGTTGAAATTTGTTTTCTTGTGTTTATAGTCGTCTGGACGGCTGATACCACCACCGTTTTATACTTGGTTCACCTGAGTAGTTATCGGGCCACTTGCGGGCATGCAGCTCTTACTCTAGGCTTCGTTTCTCATTCGCTCCTTTTGCTCCCGCAGGACGATAGCAAGGATTTTGCCTCTCATACTTACTTTTTTCTCCTCTCAATCTTTTGCATCTACCTTGCACTAGACGTACCACGACTTAGTGCTGATTCGACGACAATACAACTTGAGTGGGATACAGAGTGTCAATGGCGATCTAAGGCGCGGCTCGCTGGGGGGGCTTCGACGCCGGTGTTAGCTGCTACCAATTTTCTTCTTCTCTCGCCACGTAAAGCGACAAGGCCTTCAAGGGTCGATTAAGGTAACCATGGATGGCTGGAATATATTATTACAAGAGCAGAATGGGGCGAATGGAGTTTGGGCCAGGCAAACGGACGATAGCACGGCAGGGTTTCCATTCATGGACAATTCGACATCTTCAGTCATCAACAACCTCAAGTTCACCATTGCTAAGCAAGTCCGATCTATGATTACTATTCTTGCTGGGTTTAACACTGCCATGGCTTTGATATTGGCAATCATCATCTTTCGAAATTGCTATAAAACGACGAAGCAAAATGATCCGACTTTCAGACTTCGGTATGGTTGCCTTTTCAGCTGCTACGGCAAACGTGTGCTGTACTTGGCTAACATCGAATTAGTTCTTCTTTTTTCCACGTTATGGACGTATCGGAGATATTTCCATTCGTACTATCTATTGGCATAGCAATTCAAGGGATTATCTATATCGTTTGCCAGACCAAAGGGCTTGAAGGCTTGCTTATACTTGGATGCACGTCCATTTCTCAGGCCATGCTGCCAGGTATGTTTCTGGCACTAAATAACACTCTGGCCTGGTTCCTAACCACTGCTACTAGCCTTATTTCTTGTCCCTTATATCCAACTTTTCTTTGGACTGGAGACCATTATACAGGCGCTGAGGCCGCGACCGTTTCCACGAATATCAAAATGGGCGATCTATGCCTGTCTCTTCCTCGTTCTCATTGGAATTGTGGTCATGTACGTATTAACGCGCGTCATCGAGGCTCCCGACTTTTGCTATGCATCTCTCTTCTGGTTTGTCCAAACCTGGAGGCTTGAGGCAGCTATTCTCCTGACTACAATTGCTGGTATCCTGGTCGTCGGAGCCATCATCATATTTACTCGGCTACACCAGGGCGCTTCGATTGGCCATGTTGAAAGGGCGGCGGCCTCCAAAATGGTTTACTACATGACTTTGGGCGCTATATTAAACGTACGTTCTCACGACCCATGTCTCTCCTCTTTTGAAGTGTAGCTAACAAAAGAGAATACAGGGTTTAACGGCTCCCTATTTCTTCAGCATCTTGACTCAAAACCCAATGGCATTGACGGCTCTGCAGCTGGATTTGAACATGGTATCTTCGGTGGCGAGCAACGTGTCGGGAATCACGTTTGGTGCTCTCTATCTATTTCTTCGCTCCCGTAAGATGCAAAAGACGGGCCCGCTTGGACACGTTGAACTTGGTGGCCCACGAGAAAAGACTGTTGAATCTTGGCCTGGGTCAGACATTTTTAACAGGCAAATTGGACAGCCTGTATCGCCTGCGAGAATAGCCCAATCTCGTGCAAGCACGATTAGTTCAGCAGTCAGCGAAGGAAAGAGGAGTATTGACAGAGAAGGCACAACGTTCCACGCAACATCTGGCGGAGACGCTGCTGACGGCTCCGATCTGATAAATGTGCCTTTGACACCAGTTGTGTCTCGAGCCCGAAAAGACTCTTATAGTTTGTTTCCAAGCCAACGGGAAACGCTTGATATCAAACCCAAAAACACCGCCATTCTTCCCTCTACGACTTACTCGCCAGCAGGAAGCAATAGCAACGAGGCGATGGACAACCAAACGTTCGACTTTGAAGACTTGTTACCGCCACCTACAATCCGCGTTTCAGGCGCTCCCAGGCATAACCGCGACTCTTCGTTGGTATCTGGCCTGACCGTACAGATTGGCCTGAGAGTATCCAATCTTAGCGACGTGAACCGCTTGGAGGCCCCTTTTTTCTTTTCTCCAGAGATGCCGTTTTCACCAAATCAACCGAACTGGCCTTTAGCTCCAGGCACACCCACCAACCCCACGAATGCAGCCGCTTCTCGCCTCAACAGCATGGCTTTCAACGACGATAGGGGCAACGATATGCCTCACTCGCCCATCAGAGCGACCGTTGAGATGAAGCGTGATTATGAGCAGGATATTGATGAAGACAAGCCAATCACCCTTAGCCCTACGGTATACAGCCCCAATAAGCCGCCAACTCCGCCTGCGACTGCGCATCGCAGGGGCGTAGGCATGGCGTCCACTCCGTCAACGCCAGGTGCTGCGACAACCGATGAACGGTATTCGGTTGGCACTGCTGAGTGGATATAAATGATGATTTGTTTGTTTCTTTTGACAAATTTGGCTGCTTCATTACGATTCTTGGGATTGAGGAGACGCTGTTCTGTAAAACATTTCTTCTGATACATATACATGTACACTCTCTGGATACCCCGATACGACTTACCTTTTCTTTTCTGTCTCACACTCCTCCTCCTCCTCCTCCTCCTCTTTTCTAGCCTTTATCCTTCTGTGAGGGACCCTCTTTCTTGACGGCTATCGGAAATGGCAAAAGGGCCACGGTACACTGGGTTAAATGTGGTCTTTTCTAGCAAGCGAAGACGTTGTATTTCTATTTCTTTGTCCTTTTCCTTCTTCACTTTGTATCTTTCTTTTTTCTCTTCTTTCATCTTTCACCTCATCACTGGGGTATAGGAAATCTTTTGAGGTATAGGCAGAAGCGTCCACATTCCTTTTTCTTCCTGGCTACTACCTTGGTAGTGCTAGGATAATGAGAACTTGCAACATATGAAACAGATTATTTATGAACAAAAACGAGATAGAAGAAGTTAAAAAAAAAAAATTAGACAATTCGGGGATAACTTGTTATCGGTTTTTCTGTTATTGTGTGTAATGTAGAAGGGCGTATCGCATAAGTACGTATGTATAACCGCTTTGTTGACATTGCTATCATGATTCTTATATATGTCCGCGTAGATTTTGCTTTCTTTATTTCGCTTTCGCCATTTTCTTCTCTTCCCACTTTTCCCATCCTGCCTGACACATGTCCTCTTCCACCACCAGATCGCGAATTCTCAGCATTCTCGCCGGTGGAAGCTCAATGCCCCAAGCCAACCATCCGGTCCTCCTCAAGATCTCCGTTGCTACGAACCAAACCAGCGCAAACACCAATCCTGCAGTCACGCCAGCAGCCACTTGTTTCGTGGTATGGTAGTTTAAGTATATCCTGCTCCACGCCGTCGCCGCTGCCACAATAACACCGGCAAGACTAACAGCCAGCCTCTCGATCAAAGTCCAAGGTCGACCGCCCTCCCACATCTTCGCCTTCCCGCGCGACAGCGGCTTATGCCGTACCAAGAGGAACAGCGCGAGGGAGAGGCTCCAGAAAGCGACGAACTGGGCGTGCGAGCTGGGCATGCCGTAGCCCTTGCCGTGGATGCGGCGCGGGCGCTCCTCCTTGATGATGCGCTTGAGGACGAAGTTGAGGGCCTCGCAGGCGAGCTGGCCGGCGAAGGCTAGACATATCTCGGCCTCGCGCGTTGAGAATATTAGGGTGGCGTAGACGACGCAGAGTGCTTGGGGTAGGAGGGCGAGGTAGGCGCATAGAAGGGAGATGTAATCGTCAGGGTCCTGGGAAGAGGAGGATTGAGTTAGCCATGGCTATTTTTTTTTTTGGGCTATCGTGGAAAGCAGAAGTAGAAACTTACATAGTAGACGTGTGTGACGGAGAGGGAGGCGAGAGTTGAAGTATATTCGTCGCTCATTGTTGCTGTTGATAAGTTGGCTGCAAGTGGCTATTTTCAAACGAAATTGCACAACGCAAGTAAATGCATGATATTAATGGTTGGAAATTAAGGAGAGAAAGAAAGAAAGAAAGAAAGAAAGAATGAGAGCAAAAGATGCAATAGAAGAAACAGAAGCCAGAAGAGCTCGTAGGAGAGACTGTGTGTTATTCGCTGTCGGCGTTGACCATCATGTATCGTGCAGACACATCAGACGGAAGACAAGCACCAAAGGGAATGATGATGATGCAAGGAATGAATTATGTCGAGCGGCATGTGACGGAGGTGCCGATGCTGAGGCTGGAGCGAGAGAGAAACGTGGCTTGATTTCATGCTGGCTGTGGCGCAGAAACTCTAGGCGCTGGCCGCTTTTCTTTAGTAGCCACGGCAAGTGACGCATCGGAGTACTGCACAGCGACTTCTAAATCTCGGGAAATGCACCAATAATTTAGATTTGGCTATCCAAGGTCAAATATCTTTTTTAGTTCTTCATTGTGGACTTCGTTGCTCTGGAGTCCATTTCTTGAATATCCTCCTTGTCTTTATCATCTTCTCTTCATCTTTTCCCCTTCGACCAAAGCCGTTATTTAGTCGTGCGTGCGTTAGTCTGGCGGGTGCCTCTGGATATGATATGATTGGATTAGCAATTATCTCCGACTAAGGCAGAACCTCACTTTTACTCACGCTTTGCCACAGCTCGCTCACAACTTTTCCCGCCCACTCTCTCGAAGCTTGCACTTATCCTCTACATTGTTCTTTATTAGCTCAACATCACATTGCTGTTCTGCTCGCGCCATCCATCTCGTCCCTACAACTTGAATTCTCCAGCAGCAGTCTCCCATCCCCTCTTTTCTAAGCGGACATGCTGCAGCTGTGCAAACAACATGGATCTTCCCATAGCCGATGACGATGACGCTCGCGCCACTGAGCTTGAAACCCTCGAGGCCATCTATCCTGAGCTTCGCCGGACTGATGGCAGTCGGTTTGCCTTTGAGCTTGAGCTCCCCGTAGAACCAGCTGCCCCCGTAACCGTCACTTTTCCGGCAGCAGCCTCATCTGATCAGGTTCTCAATGGCTCAGCATCTGCCGCTCCAGCCCTGGAAGACTCTCTCCAGGTCTCTCACCTGCCTCCTCTTGCTTTACATATCACGCTGCCAGACGGTTATCCTGCAGAATGCGCCCCTCTGGTTAAAATCTCAACTACGCCCCAGTGGCTCTCGGCGGAGATGCTCTCACGTCTCGCGGGAGAAGCTCCCCGGCTATGGGAAGAAATGGGACGAGACTTGGTGGCCTACACCTACATTGATCATGTCCAGCGGGCCGCTGACGATGTATTTGGGGCCATCACTGCTGAAGGCACTCTTCAAGTCGACCCAGAGCATAAACTCGCTGTGCTGGACTATGATATCAAAGCCAAGAAGGCGGCGTTTGACAGGGAAACTTTCGATTGTGGCATTTGCTTAGGTATGAAATCTTACCCTTTACTGCGCTCCATGTACTTATACTAACTTGCTCTAATGCTGTGTTTATAGATCCCAAGAAAGGGTCAAAGTGCCACAAAATGCTTGACTGCAGCCACATCTTTTGCTTGCAATGCCTCCAGGATTTTTACAACGATGCCATCAAAGAGGGCAACTTATCAACTGTTCGCTGCCTAGCTCCTAACTGCGCCAAAGAGCGTGCTGCCGCCATCAAGGCTGCAGGAAAGAAGGCAGGCAACCCCAAGACCTTCGTTAGCCCCAGCGAATTGCTGCAGATTGGCCTTGCTGATGACATGGTAAAACGTTATGTTGATCTCAAGTACAAGACGGAACTTGAGTCTGACAAAAACACGATATATTGTCCTCGTCAGTGGTGTAATGGGGCTGCACGCTCCAAGAAGCACAAGAAGCCTTCGGGGCTTGACTTTGGAGAAACTTCAGATGCTGAGTCTGACCAGGAGGAGAAGAATGAAAAGGGGGGAAGCAAGTTTAATCTTGGCGACTTGCTATGTGTCTGTGAAGACTGTGGGTTTGCTTTTTGCAGTCGATGCTATCAGTCATGGCATGGGGAGTTCTTCCATTGCGCACCCAGGCGCCAAAACGGCGAGCTTACAGAGGATGAAAAGGCCTCCATTGAGTATCTCAAATTGCACACGAGTCCCTGCCCAACCTGCAACGCCCCTGCACAAAAGACTCACGGCTGTAACCACATGATCTGCTCACGATGTGACACACATTTCTGCTATCTGTGTTCCTCGTGGTTAGATCCAGCGAACCCATATCGACATTACAACCAACAAGAGAATGGCAAGGTCACATCATGCTACATGCGTCTATGGGAGCTGGAAGGAGGAGATGGCGATGATGTCGGCCTCGAATTTGCTGGCGGTCGAGGCATGGCAGTCAATGGCGACGCCAATGAGGCTGCGCCAGAAGATGAAGAGGCTCAGGAGTGGCTCGCTATAGCTGTCGAAGAGGTGGATGATAATGTTGAAAATAATGCGAATGCGAATGCCAACGCACCAGTGCAGCTTGACGAGAATGGCCAGAGAGTTGCGGTAGCTCGCGAAGCACCCCTCGTTCTACGACTCATGGACAACCCCGTCAATAATGGCAATAACAACGATAATAATCAGGGGCGTGGCGGACATCATGCTGCAAATAACCAGCCCATCAGAGCACGCGGCGGAGGAGCAGGAAGAGGACGTGGTAATGCACATGGCCCAAATCGCGGTGCAGGTCAAGCTATCAACTACAATGGTGGAGGTAATCCTGCTAATCGTGCTAGGGGCGCTAGAGGTGACGCCCGTCGAGGCCATGATGGTGGACGAGGAGGAGCACGAAGAAGAGAAGGCGGAGGCCCAGGTCGAGGCGGCATGATTCGTGGCGAACCTGCAGCAGCAGCAGCAGCAGCAGCAGCAGCAAGGCAACAGAATCCAAATGCCGATAATAACAATAACGAGGACGTACTCGATCCTGCTCAGGAGGCTTGGATCCGACACTTTGTTCAGATGGCACTCATCGATGCTGAAGATGAAGTTGAGGGCGGCGATTCAGACGAGGATAACGAGCATTGGCGTGGTCGGTGACCACTTGTGGCGACAGCACAAAGGCATTAAGTCGTGAAGGAAAGCTCTTCGAATGGGCATATACAAATTCCAACATTTTGATCCTTTCTCTGGACCATCCAAAATCCATACTATACTACTTCCTTCAGGCCAGTGATTTCATCGTTTTATTTTTTATTCTTACGCATCTACAGAGCAATCTAAGCAACAAATATTCCAGGATTATAAAAAACCGTTCAAAGGGATTACTTTCAGCTGAATATAATTTTTTTTCTTTCTCGGCGATGTAGTCGGAAATTTGGTCCGTTGCGTGGAGACATTACATCTGTTTGTCTGATGAAGTTCATACTCTGTCCTCGGTATCTATCTAGCTTGTATAGAACGTTACATAGATGAGGGCGTACAAGTATAATATACTGTACCGCTACTGCGACTAGTGCTTGGATGATCTTTAGCGAGCGGACGACGCCGCTACGCGATCTGCTTATTAGTGCTATTAATGCGTATGGTGCTAACTTGCATACGCAACTGCACTAATTTCAACATGACCAGAAAGGAAGCCTGCGATGGTCAGAGAACGATGCAAAGCAGAGCAGATGCCACTACCAGGCCCGAGCACACCTGTAGTCACTTTGACGAATATGTTGATCCCCGCCTATCGTGTTGAAAACAGAAGGTTGATGATCATGTCATCCGGCACCCATCTGCAGGGCCAGGTACGCACTACGAAGTGCCAGGTACCGCTTCCAGCCAGTAGAAGCCCATCTCGGCCGCCTGGGAAGAGCATTCTCCGTGGACCGCACCTCGTATGGGGCACTCTGGATCGCCGTATCTTTAGCATCGATGGAGCTGAGCAACCAGAACGTATGTAGACACATAGTTACATACTGCCACATTGGGCCAATGGTCATGGCGGAGATCCCTTTCGGGCCGGCGACTCAAGGCTCTTGTCCGTTGCCTCTTTGCTGCCGAGAGCTCTGGCAAGACATGCTTGTACACGCGTGTACATGTCGCAGTAACTAACGGGTCCCCTTGTCTCCGAACGCACGCGGCGGACGGAGCAACAATCGTGCAGATTTTTTGGGGGCCAGGGGCTGGAAAGCATGGGTCGGTCTATAAAAAAATGAAAATAGACGAAGAGGGAAACGACAAAAAAAAAAAAAAAGGCAAGTACGAGTGCAAAAACGCTCAATGGANAAGAAAGAAAGAAAGAAAACGAGCAAATGTACATAAAAAAAACGAAGGCTGAAACGACAAAAAAAAAAAAAAAAAAAAAAGCCTGCAGAAGGCACTGTAAGACAACCTAGCCAAAGAAGAGCAAAGCTTTGACACGACCGAGCACTGGAACTTACATTGCAGGATTCACCAGCACTTGCTTGTAAAAAGGGTAGCGTACTTTTATAGTATGAACCAGTATAGGCGGCATGTAGATGAGTATTAACGGCTAAATAAAGATAATGCCGCTCTTATAATTCACCTTTCCGGCCTATCAGAGCCGAGGCAGAGAGGCAAAAGAGTTTGTTGAGGCTAAAGGCCCAGCAAGGAAATGTCAGACTTGAAGGGTATGCTGCTTAGCTCGTTAAGCATAAAAGTTTGGATACCTTGCAAAATATCATCATCCGTGAGCAAAAGCCGCGTTGGCCTGGCCCCCTTCCTCATCTTTAACTGAGACATGCAGTTTAGATGGCGTAGCCACACAGCCGTGCCTCTCTCCTTCAGCAAACACTTTTTTGCAAAGAGCAACTTGCGGCCAAGCGGCCTTGTCTCACTATTGTGGTCAGGCGTTGCTGGACTCGGTCTGAAACCAAGGCGGCCGACAATCATTCACCCGCTAGCCGGATGCTTGTTTCCTTTCATAGTAGCCGTCCGCGATCTCGAACAAAAGTGCATTGGAATTTGTCGTCCAAGCTTCTCAGCCGACCATATCACTCCTATGATGAAGCATCCCTCTCACACATAATAATAGCGCCCCGCGAATGTAGAAACATTGCAGCTACCGCTGCTAGTGCCCAGGCTAGTGCCAGTACGAGCGTCGTATTGCTGCTGCCGATACTACCTCATGCGGAGTAGTAGTGCATGAGCAGACGACTTGTATATGAGCAGCGGTAGTACTCTGACTGCATTTTGAATTCGTCCGATCGGCTACTTCGGGACGGTACAAGAGTCCGTCTCAAATTAGCAGCATGGAAGTACACTGTTTGGCAATGGGCCGAAACGGACTCCTGGAGTAGAATCGATGATACCCCGAGGAGTCGATAGCACTCGTGAAGAACAGCAGAATGTTGCGTATGTGTGCTCTCCTACGAGCAGAGCAGTTGATACTTGTTGATGATACTAAGTCGACGACTGATGGGAATTTGATAACGTGATGAGTGTGTGTGCATACATGCACCCGTAGCGCCATCGTCCACTAGGAATAAGTGATATCCATGGCTTATTTCATAATGATGCGTATGCAAGAGAGATCTGACAACGGAGTGCCACTAACATCTCAGATCAACTCGTGAATTTCCGAAAACTTGATATCAGAGCGTGTATACTTTCTAGGATTGGGCCTCCCCAATCGATGTTGTGTAGTTACCGGATGGTCTCGAGCAATAGGTACGCTATTCGCCGAGGTTGGTTGTTCGTGGCTGGGATATGAATCACAGCAGCAACGTAGGTAAGTTGGCATTGCCCGCTACCAGCTGCCCACCAGGAATAAAGCAGATATCAAGTAGGAGGTTCAATACAAGTTTTTCTTTCTTTTTGGAGGGGGGCGCCATAGGATATCTTGGACATGGGTCACATGGTCATGCAAACGCTCTTGCCTTATACCGGACGTGCTGTGACGGACGTCTGGTCAAGTGGCAGAAATATCACATTAGGTCAAAGAAGATGTCAAGGGTGGCACTAGATACGACTCATAGCAGCAGTAGATCCGGCTCGTGTCGCGGGGTGAGCTAACGGTGGCTAATACTACAGTATGTAGTTGCTTTCTTTGCCGCATGAAGATGGGGTTGATGATCTGCTCTGTAATAATACCACTTTGAGCAGTATAAAACAGCCACTCGTACGAGTACTTCCCGAAGGATGGTGTAGTCTCAAGACAGGGCGATTGAGGTATTATTTCAACAGTGGGTGACATCCCGCTAGCCGTATCTCTGGTCGCTTAGCCGGGGTATACTGCTCGGTTAGAATGAGCGTCTCTGGATGAATTTCCTGCCGTTACTAGTGATGGCGCAAAGTGATAGACGCCCTGCGCTTATTTCATCGTATAACATTCCGAGATCAGTACGGAGTGTTGCTAAACGATACACAGCTTATGCTGTTAGGTGAATCGGAGGTTTTGCGGCATTCCGTCTGCGCGTATGAAGTGCGTGCTTAGCGACCTGCCTGCCCCTTCTCAGAGTAGATGGGTAATATGATGGAGGAGTCGAATATTCGCGCATATCATCAAGCCAGATCGTACATGTAAAGCGTAATCAAAACTGAATTATCGACATTTTTGGATTTCAAGCACATACATGTAACACCGCGGACTTTTGTTCGGGACTTCGATTATCGGCCGCTGCGTGATAACTCCGCTCCCTCGATATCCCTTCTCTCTGTCTCTGTCTCTCTCTCTTTGCCTTCTTCTGGCCATATTACAGCCGACAAGAAGCATAAAAGGCTGGCAAAGCATGCCTTGCTAGGCATAATTCGTAACTTGATCTGGCCAATCTGCTCCATGGCAGGCTATGCGGCCGCGGCACAGATGCTTGTATCCGCGCCCACAGCTTTATCAATGCGGTAGATGCTCCACACAAGCTAAAACGAGTGGCATATCCACTTGCCACTGCGGCTTCGAGCGCATGTTTGTGAGTTGCAAGGATTACTTCGTGGTACATACATCCTGCGGTACGTACCCTGTAGTCTCTTCTCTTGACAGGGCATGTACTTGCGAGCTGTCCAGGCACTACAAGTGCCTTGTAGCAATGCGACAACCTCTATCGCGGGGTTTCTGCGGGTCAAACTACAACGGCGCCTGTTCCTCACGGGGTAAGGTGGAAGCAGGGGCACCGCTGCCACCGGACCAGGAGTTTAGGCGCGTACTGGCCAACGCCGGCTGTAAGGGCCTCGGCCGCCGGTTAGATGGCTAACAGAAGCCTCTTCACAAGCGAGACAGGCTGTCTGCCTGTCGTGAACTGGCCGCGGCACCGTGATCGACGCCCAGCAGCAATCCAGGCAGGTAGTCTGTTGATTCAACCACAAGTGGGAAAGGCTGCTCTCTATTCATGACCTCAACAGCGGGCTTATGAAGAGAGAGGTTGATAGTAATATATATAGACCCTCTTGTAGTTGTGAATTCATCTCGCGATCGCGAAGGCCATTTCTTTATAAATAACCCTAGCCGCCCCGTCGTTCAAGGATTATGAATGCTTTGCAGACCAGGGATCTGCATCTTACTACCAAAGCGTCGTAGATCATCACGCCTGGGATGGCACCCTGGACTACTAGCACAGAAGTACATGGTAAGTATGTACTGTAGCAGTAGGCAATTGCTACCGAATACGACATGACAAGACGATCAAAGGTCCTTTTTCTCAGGATCTTGTAATTCAAATACCGGGGAGAACTGTAGGATTTTTTGCTAGAGCACTGCCTTGGGAATGACGGAAACAAAGGCAGTACTGAGCTCGATGCCTCGGTTGCGAAGAAGCAAATTACAGCGGACTGAACTGTGTATTTGCTCCGAATTCCCCAAAATAGCTCCGAGATGCCGGCAGAGCATGTATATATGTCTGTACAGATATGGAGCATAATTCTTGCGTGAGATATTAGTCGTACAGGTTTAGTACCTAGCAGATCCGATATGGAGTACATGCCGCAGCGCTCGCTCTTCGTGTAAATTTGCATATACTACTCCGTACTAGGTAGTGGCCTCCCAATAAGCATGCAAACAAGGCCGCTTAACTCGAGACTCCAATTATAGCGCTTTGCAGACGAGTCGCGAGTAAATTCGACGCATGTGCTTGTATTCGAAGGAGGGGCAAGGGAGC